GGGGCGGGAGCGGGGACACATGGAGCCCCGCTGAGCTCCCGCCCTGGGGCCCACGCCCGGCAGGGTGTGCACAGGAGCCGCAGCCTTGCGGGGTGGCGGCCGGCCCAGCCGCGAGGCACACGGCATGAGGCGCGTCCCGGATGTCACCACGGGATGGCGCCGGCCGGCCTGCGCGTGGCGGGGGCCCAAAGGCCAACAGCGCCAGCAGGGAAGGCTCCCCCACGCCCGCCGCAGCAGCGCTGTGGACAGCAGCCCCCTGCTCCCGGGGCCCTCCCCTCCGTCCCTTCTCCCGGCCCCCTCCTGCCCAGGCCTCTCCCCCAGCCCCCCGCCCTGCAGCGCTTGCACCGGGTCTCCCCAGACAGGTGCCTCACCCCCTTTCTGAGGCTGTCTATCGGGGTCCCCTGCCCCGTCCCCAGTGGCGTTTGTCTCCTCAGGGAAGGGCACGAGCCCATACCCGTTGGGGGGTGGCCCTGGTCAGACACGCCCAGTCGCGGGGAGGGAACAGCAGTGCAGAAATCCTCGCGAAGCGTCAACAGACCAGACTCACCCACCCATGGAAGAATCGTGTCCAGGGATGCAAGGAGCCTGGGGCCAGACTCAGCACCTCCTCCTGACACAAGCCCTCAGCACTCCGCCTCGCGGGGTAAACCCCACCCAGAGCGGAGGGGTGAGAGAACCCGACAGCCCTCCTGCGAGATCAGGACACGACCAGGACCGCGCCCTCGCCACCGCCGCTCCGCAGGGCACCGACAGCATCTATTCAGCAGAGTCAATGCCTCAAAGTAAATGTAACGGAAGAAGAAGCCGTGAAAGACCCGCGCTGTCAACCCCAGGACGCGGCTGCGGGAAACGGGAAGGCGCACGCGCCTGGAGAGCGCCCTGCGCGCAGCCTGGAAGAAGGGACATTGTTAACATGGCTACAGACCTTCCCCGCAGACTCAAGGCAACCCCGAGCACAGGGTCCCTGGCGTTCTCGAAATAAACAGAGCCGGCTTCCCCGAAATTCACACGGCGCCGCGCAAGAGCACGAGGAACCGAAGCGACGCTGGCGGGAGCAGAACACCAGCATCGCGTTTGCAGAATTCAGATTATACTGCAGACCTACAGCCATCAGCACGGCGCGGCAGCGCCATCAGGACACACGGCGACAAACGACGGAGAGCTCGTTGTAGGAAGTGATTTACAGGCGTGAGGGCCAGCAATGGCGCAAGGAAAGCTCTCCAATACACGCCGCTGGGAAGCCGAACGGCCACGTGCAAGAGAGCAGACCTAGACACTCTCTCACACCACACACAATTTCACTCACATGGACGTGAACGTAAGACCCGAGAGCACAGGAGACGTAGAGGACAGAGGCAAACACTCCACCACATCTGCCTCAGCGACGTCTTTGGGGAGACAAAAGCAAAAATACATGGCGCGGCTGACGACAAGCTAGAAATCTCCGCCGGATTTTTAGGGCGGGAAGTAGCCGGCCGTGGAGAAGGCAACCGAGGGGGCCCACAATGCAGGACCCTGTGGGACGCGCACCCCACGCCACCTGGGCGGATCAGGAGCAGGTCCGGGTGGAAGTGACGCCCGAGCTGAGGACCGACGGGGGTCCGAGGCTTGAGGTGGTGGGGGGAAGGAGGCCCGCACAGGCACGCCCGCTTTGCTGCGTGGACTGTTATTTGGGGCACCGGCGATTCCTGGCTTGGAGGAGGCCTAAGCGAAGACAGAATGCGGAGGGAAGTGGCAGAGAAAGAGTCCCGGAAAGAGGCGCGCAAGCCCGGGAGGGAGGGGTGAGCCCCAACAGTTCAGAGCTGTCCTGTCTCCACAGACCATTGCACACGGCTCGCCAGGAGTCAAGTGCAGCAGAGGCCCCCGGCCCGCAGGTGCACATGGCTCACCTGGCCGCAGGACAGCGGGCGGGTGCTGCAGAGGCACAAGCAGCGGCACGTTTTCTGGAAATTCTATCCTGTTGCAGGCACCAAATACAAATTATCAGTGAAACCAAGAGACCAGACATAAGACTAAAAATACAGATCTTGGGCCTCCCCGGAGGCGCAGCGGTTGAGCGCTGGGTGGCGAAGCTGCCCACGGCCTCTGCGACGCAGGTTCGATCCCCGGCTGCTCCCCGGCCACTGGAGGAGGGTCCCCCATGGCGCGCAGACCTCTCCTGCCGCCCGCTGCTCCCCTCAGCAGTGTCCTTGGGTCCTTCTGCCTGCTCTGCTCCCCGCTCTGGCTCTGGTGAATCCTCTCACCCTCCCGCGCTTCTGACTGTGCCCAGTGCTTGTATAAACAAAACAAACAAACAAACAAATAAATAAATAAAGCATGCCTCTATAAAATAAATAAATAAATAAAATTGAAAAATAAATAAATAAAGTATGTTTAAAATAAATAAATAATGAAAGCACAGATCTTAACATTGCGGACACTGACGGTTTCAGGGAAACGCAGTCACTGGCTCGTGCGCGCCAGGAAAGATGGGCGGTTTCAAGGAGCGCGGAGGTGTATAAACTGAGTGAGAATAAAATAAGCAAAAGCGAGACTTCCGCAGCTGGGTCCAACAGCACCTGGGGCCGAGAGGCCTCCCGAGCGGGGGGCAGGAATCGAGCCGCGGAGACACCAGAGAAGCACCAGGGCGCGCCCAGGGCGCGGCGGCAGCTGCGGGAGCCGAGGGGACACGGCGGCGGACCCATGGTGAGAGGATCACGAGTGGCACTTTTCCAAGATATCGGCTCCCGGTTTTAAAAAGCTCTGCGCAGATGCAAACAGACAGAAGGGAAAGCCCGGAACATCAGCCTCGCGCTGCACTCGAGAGCAAGCACTCCTCGGGCTGGAGCCGAGCGTCCCCGCGCCCCCTGGGCCGCGAGCGGCCGGGAAGCCGAGGGGAGCAGCAGGGCCGCGCCCGGTAAAGGTCGACCCTCAGGCCCTGCCGAGAAAACGCCCTCCAAGGTAAACAAATAAATCTTTAAAAAAAGGAAACACAAAATAAGGCCCTTCGCAGAAAAACGGAAACGCCGCACCAGCTCCGAGTCGGGCTCTCGCAAAAACGGTTCGAGCCCGAGGCGCAGGGGCTGGGGAGGGACCCCGCGGTCAGTCCGGGACCCCGCGGCGGGGAGCCCCACTCGGCCGTGACGAAGGGGACCCCGACACGCGCGGCGCTGGGGGCTGGCGTGGGGCGGCAGAGCGTGGACGGCTCCGGACGGCGTCCCGCGTGGGGCCGAAGGGAAAAGGCAGAAGGACAGACGACCCACCCCAGCACGCCCGACGCCCGCGGCAGGACGGAGGCGCCGGGCGGGGAGGCCGGGCCCCGGGGCGGACAGCGCGGGCGCCCTCGGGCCGGCCCAGGACGGTCCACTCCAGCCCCGAGCCGGACCGGCGGCCCCACCCCGCGGCCCCGGGGGCGCGAAGGCCGAGCCCTCGGAGGGCGGGTGCGGGGCTGGGGCGGCCGCGGCCGGGATGCGGGGCGCCCGGGGCCCCCGGGGCTCGCTCCGAGCACAAGTGGGGTCCGGCGGGCAGGCCCGCGCCCGGCCCCGCCGCGGCGGCTCCTACCTGCGCGGCCCCGCGGCGGGCGGGCGGCAGCGGCGCCTCCGGGGGCCTGGGCGGGTCCGGCGTCCGGCCGGGCCGGGCCGGGGCCGCCGGGCGCGCTGGCAGTTTCGGGGCGCGGGGAGCCCAGGCGCGGGGGGCGGGGGAGGCCGGCGGGGTCAGGCCCGGCCGGGCCTCGGCTCGGGGCGCGGCCTGCGGGGCGGGGCGGGCGGCGCATGCGCTCCTGCCGGCCGGCGCGGGGCGTCCACGGGCCGCGGGTCAGCGCTGGCCGCGCCGGGCCCTCCGCGGGGGCTGCTGGACGCCGGCGCCCGGCCGCCTCTGGAGACGGTGCGCCGCCCCAGGGACCCCCTCGCCTGGGCTCGGGCGCGTCTGGGGCGCAGCCCGGGCCGCCCGGCCCCCCTCGGCTCGCCCCTCCGCCGACCGCCGCCCCCAGCCCGAAGCGGCGATTTCCCCCTCGCGGCGCGGCCCGGCCCGGGCTCCCAATCGCCGCGCCCGGGGGGCCCGTGGGCCGGCGGCCCCGCGCTGGCCACGACGCGCGGAGGACGAGCGCAGAGACGCTCGCGGCCTGCGCACCCCGCCCGGCCGCCCCGGCGCTCCCCGGGCGGGGCTGCAGCGGGGTGGGGGCGCCGCGCCCCAGACCGGGCGTCCTCAAGGGCCGGAGGAGCCTGGGGGCTCTGCCGCCCTAGGGGCCCCGGGGCCGGACACCCGGGGGGCCAGGCTGGGCCTGGGCAGAGCGCAGGCGCCTCCCGGAGCCTCGCGGGGGCGCCCCGGGCCCGCGGTCCCCCCACCTCCCGCGGAGGAGCCCCCGCTGCTCTGCGCCCCCAACCTCGTGCTCCTGAGTTGGCACCTGCAGCCCCGAGACGCGCGTCCTGGGCCCCCCGAGGGCAGCTGCGCCCTCGCGTGTCCCCCCGGCCCCCCCGTGGCCGCGCACGGCAGGGACAGGCTCCGGGCGCAGGGAAAGTCCAGGCTCGCGTTTATTTTTGGGTTTTTTGATGAACAAACGTCAGTAGAAACGCGCGGGGAACGAGCCCTCCCGGCAGCCCCGCGAGTCCCCGGGGGGCGTCGCCCGAGGCCGGCCCGGGAGGCTCCGGAGCCGCGGGGGGGGGGGGGCTTTTCCGTGGCCCGCGGCTAAGGCGCGGGGGGGGGGGGGGCTCGGCCCGCGAGCACCCGGGGCGCCGGGGCCAGCACCCCTCGAATGGCGCCGTCTACACCAGCGGGAATCCAGTCCGAAGGCGGACGCCCTCCTGTGCCGGGCCGGCCGCGCCCGCTCGAGGACAGGCGCCGCGGAAGCGCCGCGTTGAAAGTGGTGACTGTGAACGGCCGCCGGCGTCCCGCGGGCCGGGGAGTCCGAGGCAAAACCAGTTTGCGCTGCCCCGGGACGGGACGCCGCCCCCGCGCGGGGCTCCGGGCGCTCAGATCTGCGTCTGCAGCGCGGGGGGCGCGGGCGGCGCGGGGGGCGCGGGCGGCGAGTAGGGCGGCGGCGCGGGGGCCGGCTTGAGGCCGCGCGCGCGCATGTAGGTCAGGAACTGCTCGGGGATCTCGGCCAGCACGTCCTTGGCCAGGCGCGCCATGCTCAGCACGTGGTTCCCGCCGCGGTCCACGTAGTCCCTGAAGGGCACGAACTGGCGGGCGGGAGGCACAGGTGAGCGGGGGCGAGGGGAGCCCCGGGGAGCGGGGAGGGGAGCTGGGGGCGGGCCCAGGGAGCCCAGAGGAGGTGGACAGGGAAGGCGGGGCGAGACCCGGGCGCTTTCAGCTCAACCTCCTGGGGGCTCCCCGGTGGCCCCTCTGAGATCTTTGGGGGCCCGGCAGGCGGAGTCAGGGGTTCTGACGTGGCCGAGACACAGCGCGGGCCGCAGAGAGGAGTGTCCACGGCTTGGCTCTGCCCTTCATGATGCTCTGGGCCCGCGGGGGCACCCCACGCCCTGCGGGAGGTCGGGGCTCCCGGGCGCGGGGGGCCAGACATGCAGGATGCACCTGCACCTCCATCTGGGGTCCGGTCTGGGCCACCGCGGATGGGGTGCAGACCCCACAGAGCCCTCGCTGGGCCCAGGCCTCCCCTCGCCAGCCAGGCTGCCCAGCCCCACGGCAGGCTCAGGCCGAACTCGCCCTCAGGTACATCTTTTTAAGTCGGCTGCAGCCTGAGACGTGCTTGTGCCGCCGCTGCAGCCGCTCGGGTGCCCAGCACAGGCCAGGCGACGCCGGGCCGACCTCCCTCCAGGGCTCAGAGACATTCTCATGAAACAGCAGGAAAAATGCCTCCACCACCCCCACCCCTGTGTCTGGGGGGCCCCACGGGTGCTTATTCTGGGGCTGGGACCCGCCAGTCCTCCCGGAGCTCCGCCAGCCTCACGGGAAGCTGGCCCGGCGCAGGGCCTCGTCCGCGGGGGCTCCCCTGGCCTCACCTGCACGATGTCCCTCTCCGCGGCCCTTCCTCGGGAGGACACTCTCACGTCATCTCCGTCCAGTTCCACCATTGCTTGAAGACAAAACAGGGCAGTTCTCAGCCACGTAAGCACAGGGTGCAAAGCCGGGGTGCCCGGGGCCTGGCAGCCCACAGGGAAGGGGCACCGGCCTGGCCCTGGATGCCAACTGCCCACCGGGACCCCGCGGGCCTGGCCCAGTTCTTGGGCCCAGTCAGGGTCTGCGCCTGAGCACCGGCCGGACGGGACCCAGGTTGACTGTCCCTGCTCTCTTCTAGGGGGGTACCTTGCACGGTCAGCGCAGAGGTCCTGACACTAGAGCCTGATCTCGGGGATGCGACAGGGTGGGACACCCGTGCACGCCGCCGTGTGGGCAGACTCGCAGCCACGGCCCTGGCTGCCTTTCTCCAGGCGGGCAGGCCCAAAGGCCAGTTCCCCCAGTGATTATGAAATCACCCCGGCGCCCAGGCCGGCTGGAGGGGGACGCGGGTGACAAAGCACGTGCTGGAGTCAGAATGTCCAGGGCCCACTGAGCTTCCAGTGCGGACTCTGAGTCACTGCTGACGCCGGGATGCCGATTCACGCTTAAGGCCCAGCCCGATCCCGGAGAATTCACCCTGCACACACGGGGAGGCCTCTGCGGCCGTGTCCAGGCGCACACGGCATCCACACCCACGTCCTGAGCAAGGCGGGCAGAGGCCGGAGAACGGGCCTGGGGCGGCGCAGGCAGGAGCGGCCACTCACCATCAAATTCGGCGGGCCCGACGCCAACGATGATGATGGACATGGGCAGTCTGGACGCCTGGGGAGAGCAGAGACAGGTCGGGAGCGGCTCGGAAGGACGGAGGCCCGAGCAGCACCCGGCAGACTTCCCGGACGCCGGTGGGAACAGCTCGGGACAAGCTGGAAGTGGACATGGAATCATCTGCTCGGCTCCGCCCCTTCCCAAGCCCTGGGCGTCGCCAGCTCCGGGGGCCACTCAAGGAGGTGCTGCCCGGCCCCCGGCCGCCTCCCTCCGCCTCCCGTCTCTCTCAGAGCTCCGGACTTGCCAACGCCTTCAGCTGCCAACTAGGAGCGAAAGCTGTACCCTGTATGTGAGGCGGCAGCAGCCACCTGCCCCCCCAGCCCCAGCTGCCCCCAGCAACCTCCACAGACAGCAGGTGCCGGCGGGCCCCACAGAGGGCGAGCGAGAAAGGGAGTGGAGCCCCACACGCAGCCCACACGCGTGTCCCCTCAACGATGCGCTCCCTGGAACCGCCGCGTGCAAGGGCAGCCAGCAGCCTGACCCGAGCCTGCGCGGGCGGAGTCCGTGACCGGAGCAGGGTCTGGCCCAGCCGGCCCCGCGCAGACACTCACATTCACGATGGACTCCTTGGTCTGCGCCATGTCCGAGATGACGCCGTCGGTCACGATGAGGAGCACGAAGTACTGGGAGCCGTCCTGGACGGAAGACGCATACCTGGAGGGCGAGGGGGTGAGGGCCGGCCGAGGAGCAGCTGTGCCGGCGGGACCGGCCGGTCTGGAGGGCCCCAGTTGCCCCCGCCAGCAGCCTGCGGTCAGGCCCAGACGCCTTCGAGAAGGGGCTTCGCGCCACGACACGACTGGGCCTCTCCCGGCCAGGTGCAGGCCCTGGGAGCGAAACCGTCGTCCCGCGGAGAAAAAGCAACTCCAGCTCCAGGCCACCCTGCCCAGCCGGCCCCCACCTGACCCACAGCCTCACTGCGTGGGCAGGTCCTGGAAACAACCCTCTGTGGCGTCAACACCTGATCCCTCTGCAGCGCGGCCCACCTGCTGCTGGCCCCTTTGCCTGGACACCCCGACTGGCCGGCTGTGCCAGCCCCACGCCACAGGGCGGAGCAGGCTCATCGCTGAGTGTCCTGCTAGACCCCGGTGCCGACCACACTCACGCCCACTGCAGAGTTAACCAGAGTGTGGGTCTTGGGCGGACGCAGGGGCGGGGCCTTAGGTTGTCACCTGCCTGCTGCCTGTGACGGGTGGGAGGGGGCACTTCTCACAGCCCCCTGCTGTGCTGGGACCTTGGTCCGAGGGCGTGGTCTCTCCCAGTGCCTAGGCTGACGGGACCACCTCTCCCAGGGCTCGGGGCTGACAGGACAGTCTCTCCCAGGGCTCGGGGTTCACGGGACGATGGGCCCGGGACCGGGCACTCACCTGGCCACGTGGTTGATGACGGGCGCGAAGTTGGTGGGCCCGTAGAGCTGCACGGACTTGAGGCTGCGGTAGTAAGCCTCCATCACCCCGTCGATGCCCTCGCAGTAGGGGTTCTGGGGGTTCCCATTCTGCGGGGGCCACAGCAAAGACACAGGCGGTTGGTGCCCGTGAGACAGACAGAGCGGAGGCGGCACTGGTCTCACCAGGCCTCCAAAGGACGCCTGTTCACACACTATGAGGACAGACATGAGCTGCCGCAGGATGAGGCCCGAGACAGGCCGTGTGGTCACTCAAGCCTCTCCTAGAAAAGGGAGGGGTTCCGGGGGGCTGCTCCCTCGTCCCAGAGCGAGCACTGTGCACCCCCACGTCCTGGGCGCGAGTCCCCTCAGTGGCTCCCAGCGCTGTGCCTGCTGGCCCAGCGAGTCTGTTTTCCATGGCGACGGGTGTTAACGTCAGAGACAAGCGCTGCCTGCTGTTGCACCCGACAGAAGGAAAAGACAAAGTACCCCCAAGCACTGTCAGTCCCAATTGATGCCCGATTGGAGGGCTCGAGGGAATGTGATTTGGGGTGAGAGACACCAAGTCAGGGTCAAAGGAGAAAAGAGGGGGCCGTGTTGCTAGGGAGATGGGCTGTGTTGCTAGGGAGATGGGCTGTGTTGCTAGGGAGACGGGCCGTGTTGCTAGGGACATGGGCCGTGTTGCTAGGAGATGGGCCGTGTTGCTAGGGACATGGGCCGTGTTGCTAGGAGACGGGGTATCCCACAAGCCCCATGGGGCTCCATCCAGACCCTACATGGCTGGAGGTACTACCTTCTCACACAGCTCTGTCCTGAGGAGGCCAGAGCCCCAAGTCCAGTCCCCACAGATGACACACACTGGGGTCAAGCTTTGAGGCCCAGCTCAGCTGGGGGGCTCGGCTCAGGTCACCCCTGGGTGGGTCAAGACCCTGAGCTCAGCTGCGGCCACCCTGGAGCTCTCCAGGGGCTTGTGTCCACGGCAGGGGGTGGGGCTGGAGGGGACCCTTCTGTAGGCTGTGGGACATTCTCCTACTCCTGCTGGTCTCCCAGAAGGAGCCCTGAGAGGCAGGGAGGATGGAGGAGGCAGAGGAAGGAGTACGGAGGCGGAAGGGAGAGGAGCAGCAGGGAGGAGCAGAGAGGAGCAGCATCAGGGAGGAGCAGGAAGCACCGGCCTGGCCCCTCTCCAGCATGAGTTGCTGTGGCCCAACCCAGCAGGGGGCGCAGGGCCGACCTCCTGAAGGTGGGTGGACAATGGGCCAGGCACACTGCCCTGCCCACACGGGATGGACCCACCTCGGGCCCGGCCTCTCCTCCCATGGGGATGGGCCTGTCTGGCCCAGCAGCAGAGAACCCGCTGTGGTGGCCGACCGGGTATCCTCACCAGGGCGAACTCGTGGGAGACCCGGCCGTCGGGGGGCAGCTTGGCGCCAAAGCCCAGCGCCGGGAACATCTTGTCGCTGTCGTAGTCCTGCACAATCTCGCCCACGGCCCGCAGCGCCATGCCGTAGGCGTTGAGCTGGTAGGGGCTCATGTAGTGCAGCGAGGTGGGCTGTGCCGGGTGCCCTGGGGAGGCAAGCAGGTGAGCAGCCGGGGCTCCCACGTGACCTGCGAGGGCCCCGCCCATGGCCAGGAAACACTCTCCAGCTCTGGTGCCCAGGCCGAGCTCCGGCCTTAGAGGAAGCAGGAGCCTGAACTCTGGCCAGTGGAAGCAGCTGACTCAGCAGCCCGGGGCTCCTGCAGTCAGCGGCTCGTCAGAAACACCCGCGTCTCCCTCCCTCCCAGCAGGAGTGGCTGGGCTTGGCTCCCAACCTGACCACGGGTGCTCACTGGCTCTTGCCGCACGGTCCCCGCAGCCAGGAGCCAGGGCTCTCGCCGCCTGCCAGACACTGGCCGCCTGGGACAGGCCCTGGCTCTGGTGGGGGCAGGAGCTGCGGGGGAAGGACGGGGACCACAAGCAGTTCCAGCCATGCCGCTGTGACCACAGGGCCGCCCCACACTCGTGCAGGGGCTGCCGTTGCTCAGGCCGTCCACAGGTGGACGCAGAGGCCGAGAAAGTGACCCCCAACTCTGCGCCCCCCACATTCCAGGCTGCTGCAGGTGGACAGCTGGTCAGGGCGCTGGCTGGCTCACTGGACATCACTGGACGTGAAAGGAAGGGAGCAGCTTTTCTATACTGGTCTCAGTCCTTCCGTGCCGAGCCTGCTCGAGAGTCCCAATGGGGCTTCACCTGGTTTCTTGGGCTTTTTGGCAGCAAAGGTCACGTCACCACCAATAGGAGCACGAGCGGCCACTTGGTCCTGGCTGCCCTCACCAAACAGCCCTGAGGCAGCCCGGGGCCAGGGGCCAAGCTCACAGCTGCAGCGCTCACCTCCGGACGCAGGCCCCAGACCACCCCGCAGCCGCCCTTCCGCGCACGCCCTGCGGGAGCCTCTGGTGCAGTGACAGGACAGGAAAGCTGTGTCCTCACCATGTCCTGCTGCTGATGGGCGCTCGCCACTGGTCTCTGTGCTGCTGCCCCTCCGGGTGCAGCCGGGCTGGCCGCCGCAGCCCCTCCCCCATGCGGCCAGGCGCAGCCTCTGCCTGATCCCTGCTGTGTGGGGACTCTCCCTGGCCAAAGTGGTCTCTTCTCTCTCGGGCCTGTCTCTGGGCGGGCTGGGACCCGGGAGATGCTGGGCTCAGGGACGAGCTGGGAAGTGCCCGCCGCTGTGTTTGGGTGTCTTTGCGGAAAGTTCTGGGAAGAACTGGGATTAATTCTTCGTTAAATATTTGGTAAAATTCACCAGTGGCGCTGCTGTGGCCTGCGTCCCGAGGGGCTGGGCTGCTCAGCTGCAGGCCCTGGAACGGCCTCTGTCTTCAGTCAGTGGAGCCGGCTGGTCAGCCACACTGGGTGGGCTGGAGTCCCACCTCGCCTGGACGCGCCATCGTGTCTGTGCCGCTCACTTGGCGGCAAGCCCACAGGTGACCCTGCCTGCACCAGTGTGGAAGCGGCTTCCCTCCTCCACATCTAACGACAGGCCCACTGAGGGCATCAGCACCGCCCAGCCTGAGAGTGGCCCAGGCCGCCGCAAGGGCCTCTGAGGCCGCTCCGCCCTAACGGCCTGCTCCTCTGCGGACTGCGGGACACCTGAGTCTGACGGCAGGAAGCCGAGAACAGGACTGGGCAGGGGAAAGAGAGGGGCTTCCAGGGAGGGCCACGGGCCAGGCCTCGCCCCTGGCTCCCTCCCACTTCAGCCCGCCACAGGGCCAGCTCCGCGGAGAAGCCAATTCCCACTGTGGCTCCTTCCCAAGTCTGCTGCGACCTGCGCGGGGGTGGGGGGGGGCGCCCCAGACTCCGCGCAGCGACGTGTCCTCACAGTGACGGCGTGAGAGCTGGAGGGACACGGGCAGGCAGGCGGGTCAGGCCCTCATGCCGTAGAGGCACTGTGCCTGAGGCTGAGATTCTCTCCACACACAGGATGGGGGCGGGGGACGGCCTGAGTGGGGCCAGCACTGTCTCATGAAACCCACGGAACAGCCGTGCCTGTACGCCAACTTTCAGTAAAGCCGGTGAGAACTATTACGCATTCTGTGTCCACCGTGGTCAGCATTAAACGTTTGGCTTAATACGTATATTGTAGCTTTATTGCATTTCTGAACTGTTTCCTAGTATGGAAAGGGAAAATTATCTGAATTTTATACCAAAAAATTCAGAAGCATCGAAAAACGGGAATAAAGTAATTAAACCGCGTGAAAATAAATATCCCCGTTTCACTCCATCGCGGACCGCTTTTGTCAGGGGTGAACTCACCGTTTGATGCTGTGAAGTCAATGGCCACCGTGAAGTTGATCTGCGTCCTGGGAAACAAGAACTGTTGATCATTCACAGCCCCTGGAAAGGTCTCCATGTGTGGGGTCATTTTCTAAGCGTCTCTGGTCCCACAGCTGCACTCGGAATGCAGCGGGGAGCACCACACTGGCCGCTTCAAGATGTCAGAGCCCGACAACAGCTCCTCAGACCCCTGAAGCTCACCAGTAGGGATGGCTCTGCCCAAGTGCTTCTGAGCGGGAGGCGGCCTCAGGCCCTGCAGGGCAAGAACCGCTCCAGGACCACCAGGCCCAACCGGGGTTTCCTCAGAGACACTGCAGACAGGACTGCTTGAGGCCAAGCGTGCGTGCTGGACACTCATGATTATCCACAGCAACACTTACCCGCCCTTGATGTAGTCCAGGAAGGAGACTTCGGTTTCCACCAGGAAGGACAGCAGCGTCACCTGGCGGGGAGGAGGCGAGGGTAACCCGCCAGCCCAGCGCCCGGTCAGCCAAGTACCGCCTTGCCTGGCCCGCGGGGGGCAGAGACCCCACCAGGGCTGTGGAGGGAGGCCCCCTGCAGCTCCCCCGGCCAGGCGGCGGTCAGCAGCCAGGGCAGGGGCCTGGCATCAGGTGGAGGAGCCTGGAGCCACCAGAGCTCTACTTGGGGCGTGTGGCCAGGAGGTGCCTGTGCTGGGTGGCCTGGCCCTCGGTGTCCGGCCTAACGGGCACTCGGGCAGCTCCGCCTTTCGGGGGCTCAACCCTGAGGCAAGGTCTCAGGTATTTTCCAGACACAGGCAGCTTTGATCCCCACATGCCAGGACACGTCCCCCGGGCCGGTGCCCCAGACCGTGAACGACACCCCTGCACCCCAGCAAGGAGCCCGACAGCCAGTGTGCTCTTGGGGCACAGCAGGGAGAGCTCACCCGTCCCCCCTCAACCCGCCGTACAGCCCCGGGCACCAGCCGCTCACTGTGCCCGAGTTGGTGTACTTCTTCTTCTTCCCCTTCTTCTTGGGGTTCACCACCTGAGGAGCAGGGCGGCAACGACAGCGGGTCAGGCTTCCCCACGCGCTTCCGGCCGCTCACGCCTAAGCCGGCCCTCGGAGCCACGTCGGGAGCAGCGACTGCTCTGTGGTGACAGGCGCTGGTGGGCACAGCCAGAGACGCAGCCGATGGGCCCGCAGGGTAACGTGTGGAGAGTCGCCCAGGGGCCAGCACTCGGCCTCTACACAGGGCGTCTAGGCCGGGTGCCCGCCCGGCCAAGCGTGAGGTGGGGAAGGGCGGCCCCGCCTGGCCGCAGGGAGGAGGCGCAGGGAGGAGACCGTGCTCCAGCCCACGTCAACCCAAAGGCACAGGAAGCCACAGGCAGGAAAACCCAGGGCGAGGGTCTGGGCTGAGCGTTTCCAGCAGGACTGGGTCAGAGCCGCTGCAAGGGCCTCGCCCCTCCGAGGAAGCGAGCAGGGTGGCCGAGGGCGTGCTGGAGGCCTCCCCATGTGGTGGAGCTGGGCAGGAGGCCGGGCAGCCTGATAGGGAGGAGGCTGTGCCTCCTTAGCCCCCGGAGCTCCGCTGTGTCACTGCAGGGGGCCCCGCTCCTGCTGGGCACAGAGACGCCTGCTGGGTCATCATGGCACCACAGGGCAAGCCACAGGGGCCGGGCCGGGGGGCGGTAAGAGCGGTGAGGCCGCCCGGGCAGCTGCAGCCACGGGAGGCCAGAGGTGCCCGTGCCCCGCGCTGGCCAGACTGGTCCCGGCTAGGCCACCCGCCCCTCCCCCGGGGCTTACTCCTGCCACGACAGCCACGTGGACGGGTCCACAGAGGACGACGGCCTCACCTCATACACGTTGAGCTGCGACTGCCCCCGGGACAGCTCCCTGTAGCTGGTGGTGAACTCGCCGATGAAGTCGTGGCTGGAACGAGAGCACGCAGCATGGGTGTCCACTGGAGCCCAGCGAGGGCCTCCAAGACGTGGTCTGACCTGACACGCCTGGGCCCAGGCGGGCGTGACCTCACTGACCGGGTGCTGAGGGGCCTGACCCGCCGTGTCCTCAGTGCAGTTGGGAGGGCCTCAGGGTGCCCACCAGGGAGCAGCATCCGCCCACGAGGGGACAGCTGGACACCAGGCCCAGTGCCTGCGCCCAGGGCCAGGCATGGTGCGTCCTGGGGCGAGGTGGCCACAGTGGACGTGAGGCCATGGCCAGCACCACAGCCATGAGGCTAGACCCACTAGCTCCATAAAAGCAGGCATGGCGGCCACAGAAGAGGGCGTCTCCCGGGCTCCTCAGACACTGTCTCAGCTGTGAGCGGCTGAGAGCTGGACCCGTGACTGGGAGGCCACCCAGAGGCGCAGGCAGGCCTACCCCGAGGGGAGGGACGGCACGGGGGGAGGTGGGAGAGAACCTTTGCAATTCCCCTGAAGCCAGCTCCTGTGGCTGCCCGCCGCATGGGAAAACACACGCCCAGCACCCCTGGCCCCCGCCTCTGGCCCACCGCTCCTGGACCAACTCCCCAAGCTGACCTCCTGTGGGAAGTGCGAGCAGGACGCCACGGGTGGGCCCAACCCCACACACATGCCCCACACGCCTGACAGCAGAAGCTCCCAAGGCTCGTCAAGCCACGTTCAAAGTCGGGACATCTGCGAACATGCTGGAAACGCTTGGCCACTCTGGTCCCAAGGCCAGCACTGGCCCACTGGCCCGAGCCAGCCCCTGTGCCAGCCGCTGCATCCAGCTGCGGTCCTGCTGCCCGCAGTGGGAGCCCACGCCAGGTGATCAGTGGGGCAGACGTGGGCGACAGCAGGACCAGACCAGGAGCTGCGCCGGTGTCACGTCAGACACGAGGGCTGTGCCGGGGCCATTTATACACAACACGGACACTGGACGCTGGCCCTGAAGCCCCAAGTCAGGAGGCGGCCACCTGGGGAGGGCACTGGGGGGAGAAACAGGGGGGAGCACCAGGGAGAGGACGGGGGAGGGAGGAGCAGTACGGAGGGAGAAGCACCGAGGAGGGAGGAGTCCCAGATTCAACCTCAGGAGGGCGTTGCCCTCGGCCCAGTGACACCACGACATGGTGTGGTCACAGCGGACGAGGGGCCGTGGCACTGCACCTGGCAGCGAGAGCAGGGGCTCGACAAGGTCGCAGGCCCCGTAGCCGCCACGACAGGGCAGCGCTGGACACAGCACGAGGGGAAACAGTGGTCCAGATGAGGACGAGATGAGGACGAAGCTGCGGGAGGCCTGACTACCGCCCGCAGACACGGGGACCCAGTGGCGAGGCCCCCTCCCCCGAGGGCTGGACACTCTCTGGACCTGCCCAGAGCCTGGGGGTGGGCCCAGGAGGGGCGGGGCAGACAGGGTGGGTCAGTCCCACGGGCGACCACCTCAGGGGACGCGTATTCAGGCTGGGCCGCCTGGGCCCTTGCCCTGCACCAGAGCCAGAGAATGGCCTGGGCCCCGCGCTGGGCCGCACGGCCCACGCAACGGACCTGGAGTCCAGAGGGGAAGCTAGACTGGACACGCCGGCCTGAGGGCTTCGATGGGTGGCTGCTGAGCAGGTGACCGTTACAGTACGTGTGCGAGGGACAGAGCTGATGGTTCAGGGACCGACAAGATGAGGTCGGAGAGCGGGCACAGCACCAGGGGCTGCGCGACAGCGGGTGACGCCTCGCAGCCGCCAAAGACACAGAAGCCCTCACGGATTCCCCAGCATCTCCAGACCTAGCTGGGGCGCAGGTGGGCACCCTGGGTGCCGCAGGCTGGTTCTCGGCACCCCCTTTCCTGCAAGGCTGAGGCCCGCAGGATCCAAACGCACTGCCGGGCCAGGGAAATGGGCGGGGCAGACACGTGCGTGGCCTGACCCTGCAGCCCTGCAGCTGAGAGGCCCCGCGGGGGTCCCTGGCTGGACTCCCCATGAAGAGGTGCAGTGGGGGCCTGGCCTCACTCAGAGGCAGGGAGGGGCCCCGCTCCTCAGACATGGTGTGACCACGCCCTGGGGGATGCCACAGGGTCTTCCCCATGGGCATGGCTGGGGGGGCCTGGAATCCGCCCCCCCTTTCCGGCAGGCCCAGGGTCCGGCCGCCCACCACGCCCAGCTGCAGGCACGGCGTGAGTGGTGGGGGCCGTGACGTCCTGCTCGGTCCAGACCCGCAGTTTTTCTCCTTTTATTAATTTAAGGAGCAAAACCTGTCGGGAGTCAAGCGTAAGGGCTGATGGAGCACACAGACCCCGGGAGACCCTCCGATCCACGGCCGGACGCTCACCTGCCGTCCCGGTCCCAGTCAAGCACCTCCACCTTGATGGTCCTGGCGGGAGACAGACACCGTCAGGGCTCGGCCGAGGCAGGAGCCACAGCAGCTACAGGGCCTGCAGAGGCGCCAGGCTGGGGCTGCCTGGGCCGTGTCAGCCCCGCTGACCCCTGGACGCCTTGGGGGGGCCAGAGCCACCTGGGAGAGGTGGGTGTGGGCAGGCCTGGCACCCCCAGGGCTAGCGGGGGGACTGGCCCCCCAGGGTCAAGGGGGCAGCCAGGGACGCCGCCAGGAGGAGCCTCCTGAGACTGCAGACTGCACGACAAGCGGTGATCAGCCTGCAGTTCCTGTGGGCTGTTGGTTAATGGAATAAATTCTCATCTTTCTGCTTTACCATTTTCAAGACAAATAAGATCACAGGGCGGGCTGTCCTCTTTCTACTTACTTATGTTCTTTTTGAAGCAAGTAGCATTTTACATCGTTACCTTAAGATCAATTCTCACAAAAAAATTGAAACTACTTTGCTATTAGGAAGCTGTCAGGGGCCCACAGCTGCAGGGCGGGGGGCGGGGCTGAGCGTCTCCCTCTTCATCCACCGCTGCCTGTTCTAGAAAGCGCAAGCCAAGCAAAAGCCAGGGGACAACTAGCGTTCTGGGGTGACTTCTGAGTAATGTGGGAAAACGTAAACTCACATTCAGAGTATTTTTAGCACTCTGTATGTTTTCGTTCTTGACAACTCGGTTTAAATTTTAATGCATCAAATTATTCCTCTCCCTCAGATGATCACGGATTGTTTCAAGCTCATTCTAAAATTCTCCCCAAGTCACTGCACTTCTGTGAGCGCAGTCACGCTGGCGGGGAGGCTGGCTGTGGTGGCCCAGCTGGCGGGGCGCCGCCTCACCTGTCGTGGTCCGCGTTGCACAGGGCTCTCACGGAAACCTTGAACGCCTGCCACACCGGGTTCAGTGTGTTCTTAACAACTTCTGTTTTATGGCAGATGGTAAAACTAAAAAAAAGAAAAAAGGTTCCTATTACTTTCAGGACTCCGCTGTTTCGAGTCACTCGTCTCTTCCTGTGGAGGCAGAGTAAATGCTGCCAGGCCCTAAGAGGCGTCCGCACCACTTAACACAGAGACACTGGCCTCACTGGCAGGGTCACTAGGACGTAAAGTCACAAGGTTCGACGGCCACTTCACCAAAATCACCTCCATAAATTCAATCAATCCCAAAGCTGCTTCAGAAATAACATGACATCTGAGACCAAAAAGAGCGCCCAGGCCTCTCAGACCCCCGAGGGCCTTGTCACGTAAGACAGATGGACAGACGGTGATTGATCGTTGATCAACTGACAGACAGACAGATGGGGTCTTCAAACTAACATGAACAACAGTCTGCTGGGGTTTTGGCTTCTCTGCTTAAATCAAAGCTGTTCTATCCCTCGTGCCCCTGCCAGAGTCCACAAACCCTCGGACACTTGGACTCTCCTCCTCTGCGAGGGTGAGGGAGGGGCGCATCTGCCCCTGCAGTGCTCGCTGGTCATGCCCCGGTGAGGCGGCCGGGGAGCCCAGGCCCAGGCTCGGGGCATGAGGGTGTGGTGGGTCACACAGCATCATGAGATGGGTGCCCGGAGTGCTACCCAAGGCCCGGAAGCCAGCCTGTGCTTGGCGGGCGGGTAGAGAGGGGAGCACGTGCCGAGTCCGCCAGCCACCAGCGAGGGGCCCGCTAACTGGGAGACCAGGTGTCAGCGGGGAGAACCTGTCCCATAAAATGCACCCACAAATCCGTCTCCTCCTCCAGGGAAAGGCCAGCTACTCGTCTCACACAAGACACACATCCTCGCCCCTCCGGACGGCCCCGGGACCAGCCCCAGGCAGGGGCACTGAGGGGACGCAGAGGAGACCTGCCACTAGGCAGCGAAAATTGTTCCTTTCAAAAGTCAGGCCAGACATTTAACAGGCTAATCGCTGCTCTTCAGACACAAGAATCTCGTTAGCATTTAACCCACCGAAGAGCCTCACTCTGACCCCCGTGACAACGAAGTGCTCTCCAGGCCACCCTGGGGACCCACCTGCCGTCTTCATTGCTGCGGTAGAATACCAGGAAAGGGTCTGACTTCCCAAAAAAGTCCTTCTTGTCCAGCTTGTTGGCACAGAACTGCATCAGAACAGCGTCCTGGAGACGAGTGATCAGAGCAGCTCAGAGCCTGTCGTGAGGACCGGGCGGCCCGGGCCCCAGGCGGGGCCAAAAGGCAGAGTCGCGGCAGTGTGAGTGGCCGGTGGGTCGCTGCCCAGTGCCAGGGTAGGCTCCGCCCAGTGGGGACGTCTGTGCTAAATCGCGGGGCAAAGGCTGCACAGAGCGACCTCACGCGAGTCCAGGGACCTGCACAGCCTGGCAGCTGCAGCCATGCGAGCAGCCTCACGCCAGCAGCCCTGGGGCTCATGGACGCTTCGGGGTGCGGGCACTTTGGGGGTGCGGGCCCCGGCACAAAGGTGCCACATGTCAGGGGCTTGAGACACCCCGCCTTACCCGGCAGCAGCTCAGCTCCTCAGCTGTGAGTATGATGGTGCCACACTTCTTCCCGGGGATCCCCCTGAGGCGACAGAAACATCATCTGTGAGCACTGCACACCCACACGGAGAACAGGTCATGCCCGTGTCCCCTGCAGCCACACAAAGGCCCCCGCCTGCGGCCCATTCCCAGCGCGGCCCACTGTCAGGGAGAGGCCGGCCAGGCCTTTGTTGGGGCCCCAGGGAGAGAGCAGGGCAGAGCAGGCTATCCGTCCCGGCTGCCCTGCCCAGTTGCTCCCGTAGGACAGGGGCCCAGATAGCAGAGGCGGCGGGGGCTCCCCACAGCCGAGGGAGGCGGGGAAGGAGCTGAACAGCCCACGCGCCCGCGACTCCAGACCGTTGGCCTCTGCCGGATGAGAGCACGGCTCCCGCCACGGATTCAATGTGACAGCACTCGGGTGACCCGGCCTGAGTTGGTCACAGGGGCTGCGGGGCACGGAGGGGCCTCAGCTGGCCTGCTGGGGCATCCCAGACGGGGCCCCATGATGAGGGTGGGCAGGCCTCCCAGAGCCAGAGGTGGTGCGCCCCGTGCTGGCACACGCCTTGCTGCTGCTGCCTGTCAAGGCCCCGCTTCTCACCATGGTGGGGTGGGGGTCTGCACCCAGGGACCTGCCCCCAGGGAGCCGAGAGCATCTCTGGCCAGAGGTGAGCGTGGCAGGTGCATGCCAGGAGCTGCTGCGGGTCTTCCAGCTGGCCAGACTTGCCCGGCCCAACTGAGCAGCCGAGCGCCACAGGCAGCCAGGGCCCCCGCCCTGCACGGGCTTGCCTGTTCTCTGGGGACCCCGGGCCCCGGGTCCCAGCCACAGCCTCACAGCCCACTCCGCGGGCTAGGCATCCCACGGGGTGACCGCGGCGTCCCCACGTTTCTGCTGGGAAACACTCTGTGTCACTTCAGAGTCTTCTGGCTTCTGATGGAGAAAATAAGGCGGGACAGAAACCCCACAGGAAGAGCCCAAGGCCTCCAGTCTGTAAAGTCCTGTCCTGTGTTCCCACCGCCCATTAACTCTCAATTTTAAAAACAGAGAATGTTAAAGACATCTATAAGTGTTGTTTTTAAAAATTATTTTTTTAGATTTCCTTATATTGCTGTTATTTCTGTATCTGGATTCTCCCCGCAGGCATGGGCCCCACGGTTCTCCACCAGCACAGCCCCAAGAACTCTCCACCGTCCTTGCGCCCATCCCTCCCTCCCCCTCCATGCTGGGTGCTGGGCAGCTGCTGGCTTTATCTTTTCCTTGACCTTTTGTTCAGGTCACCTCTGTTCCTCCTGTAAGTGACACCATCTGATATTTTTCTTTTTTCCTCTGGTTGATTTCACTGAGCAAAATCCCTTCCAGCTCCACCCATGTTGCTGTGGATGGCAGTTTTATCCTTTTTGATGGCTGCATAGTATTCCATTGTGTATACAGACCACATCTTCTTAATCCATGTCTGGAGGCATTTAGGTTGTTTCCATATCTCAGCTGCTGTAAACAGTGCTGCCGTGAACACAGCAGGGCAGGCGTCTCCTTTTGGATTAATGTTTGGTGTCCTGGGGTAGATCCCTAGGAGTGGAATCAATGGGTCCTATGGAAGCTCCATTTTCAGTGTTCTGAGGATCCTCCACATGGGTTTCCACAGTGGCTGGGCCAGTCTGCGTTCCCACCGGCAGCACAGGAGGCTCCTGTTTCTCCACATCCTCACCAGCATTTGTTGTTGCCAGTTTTTTTAACGTGAGCCATTCTCCCTGGAGTGAGGTGGTTTCTCAGTGAGGTTCTACTCTGCATTTCCTTCATCGTAAGTGACGTGGAGCATTTTCTCATATGGCTGTTGGTCATCTGCATTTCCTCTTTGGAGATGTGTCTATGTCATTCTTTTGCCTGTTATTTGACTGGGTTGTTTGCTTTGTTTCTGTTGAGTCATGTGAGCTCTTCGTAGCTCTTTGGTATCAGTCCCTTATCGACTGTGCAGAGTGCAAATATTTTTTAAGTGGCATTTTACATACTGTTGATTCCTTTTCCAGCCATAAAAGGGGTGAGTTACTGACCTTGCAAGGGCCCCGCTGGACTAGAGAGTGCAGTGAGCAGCCACACACTCCCTGAAACATCTGCACCACAGTCTCCTGCCCTCTGACTTACTAAGATGCATGTATATATACCTAAACCATAAGTTTCCAAACCCCACAAAGATGTGAAAGCAAAGCACACATCGAAAGAATGTTTAAAGGCAGTAGACATGAAAAGTTCTCAAACAGACACTCAATAATAATTTTCTATGAAATTGAGGTGAAAGAAAAGAAACCAGAATTCATGGGCTCACCGGCCCGTGAGGACCGGGGCTTGGAGCCTCCTGGCCTGGCGCGAGGGCTGGCTCGCAGGCCCGGCTCGCAGGCCCTACCACAGCGCTGGCTGGGCAGCTGGGGCGAGGGGTGCCACGCAGAGCCTGGGACAAAGGGCTCAGAGCTTTCATCAAAACAACCGCGCTACAGCTCAGCAGAGCACCCGGCAGGCACACGACATCCTCCTGACCACCCCCACCTAGTCCCCCACAAGCGGCCCCCCACCCCAGCACAGCCCCCACTGTATCCCCCGTATCACCCGCTGCGTCCTCCACAAGCATAACCCCCCCAAAATGTCCCCCACGAGCATCTCCCTCCACGCCCCCCGCAAGGAATTTTCCTTCACATACATGAGAGATTAACCGAAGTCTCTCAAAGTCGCTCTCAGCCCAGACCACGCCCTAGCCCCAGAGCACCACGTCACCCCAGAGCCCAGCCTGGGACTGGCTGGTGGAAACACTCACACGATGGGCTTCTCCAGGCGGCTCCCCGGGGCGCCGACGACCTCCCCCAGCGTGCACAGCACTTGGCCCAGGAAGTCCTAGGACAGAGGTACGTGGGTCCCTGCTCCATCTCACGGGCCATGCGCAGAGCAGAGCCAACACAGGGGCCAGCAGCTGCAGCCCCAAGTCTGCAGGAGCCACAGGCTCAGAGGCACCCCCAGTGCCATCACGGGGACGGGCAGGACCTGCTCAGCAGGCACCCTTGTCAGGCCCACGGGGCATGGGACAGACCAGACTCCTCAGCTCCGCAGCCCACCCCCGTCCGGCCTGCCGGGAGCCCACAGATGGGCTGGGAAAGCAAGGGCTTGGCGCTCAGGCCCGGGTGCCCTGAGCCCAAGACCACAGGCGGGACTGAGGATGTGGGGCCTTCGGAAGCGCCGAACTCCTGGGCTGTGGCGGCTGGCACAGGGTGGGCCTGCGGCTGGACCAGACACCACAGGGGACGCTCTGGGGGCCGTGACCTCGCGCAGAGCAGGCACAGGGAGGACCCGACCCCACGGACTCACGTGCTTGGACAAGTTGGGGCTCTTGGAGTCGACGTCGTATCTGAAAGATGAAAAGACTTCAGTAATTGCCACAAAACAGAGAAACAAGTCAGTGTCCCCAAAGCATAAATAACAGAAAACTCAAAACCGAAGCAGAGGCGGGAAGCAAGCGCAAGGCCTGGCAGGCGGCGGGAGCCCTGAGCCCACCTGGCAAGCGCAAGGCCTGGCAGGCGGCGGAAGCCCTGCGCCCACCCCAGGAGGAGCCACCCCCACAGCTGCGCTGCTGCACATGGCGAGCCTGAGGCTGACACTGCCCAGCACCGGGAGGGCACCCCTTCCTGTGGAAACAGCGAAGGTGCAGGGTCTGGGGTCAGGTGGCTCCTGTGAGCATCTGGCCTGTGCTTCACGCCCGGGGCCGCTGCCAACGTCCGGATGTTGGTGTCCGTGCGAGCGCCCTTTGCTCTCCCTCCCTCTTGTAACAAACCTGCCCTCTGGACACAAGCAGTGTCTCTGTTGCCTGGGAACTCGGTGGTGCCGCCGAAAGAGGGGCTCTGGGGAGACCTTTCCTGGAGCAAACCCTGGACCCGCTCTGGGGACCCAGCACCTTCAAACCGACGTCAAGAGCAGGGCAGCAACCTCGGGGTGGAGGAGGGGCCCGGGGGACGCAGGGGCCCCGTGGGCAGTGGACCCCTCGGAAGCAGGGCCCTCTGCCCCCAGCCAGGCCCGCGTGCCGCAGGGCTGCCCGCAGCGCCCCGCCCACCCTACAGAACCGCCTCAGTCAGCTCCTGGAACATCAGTTGAGCTTGAACTTACAAGTCAAAACGAAGATTCTCTCTTTCTTCAAAAAAGTAGTCCAGAATAAATTTTCTCACAAAATCAGGATTTAGCGTATTATCGATCACTTCAGTCCTTCCGAACTGTCGGGAGAGAACGCGTGAGGTGTGAATCCAGCCTGCAGCTCACGCCCGGCTCAGCAGCCCAGGAAGCCACCCCCGCCCAGCCCGGGCAGAATCGGACACGGCCGGCTACGTGCCTTGGGAAGGCCATGGACTGGCCGGCCGGGACAGCTGGCACAGAACGGGAAGCTGTTCGGTCTCTGGTTGAAGAGACACAGAACTAAAAACAACGACGTCGCTCCTGCACAAGCTGTGCCTTAGCCCGCGTCCTGCGGGGCGATTTTTAGGAAATGTTCCATCCTTACCTCTCTCCATTCTTTATTTCCAAGTCCTTGCACGTATAAGACACAAACTAGGAAGGGAAAAAAATAATCACAGGTGAACACCAGCTCTGAACGCTCGCGATCCCTCTCGGCTACACCGAGCGCACGCCCAGCTGGACCGGGCAGGAAAGCCAGTGCCGTCCTCACGCCACGGAGGCAGCTGTGCAGAGACCGAGGCCCAGAGCCGCACAGCAGCCGGCCCTGAAACGGGGCCAGAGGCAGCAGCGGCAGGGAGCCCCGAGGCCGGCTGCTCAGCCCCTCCCCCTGCACCACCTGGACTCCCCCGGCCCGGGGCACTGGTGGGCAGTGCCGCCCCCCCCACTACTGCCTTCCCCGCGTGGACACAGGGATCACGCGGCACTTTGCCATCTACGTGGCATCTGAATCAACCCAACGGAAGACGACGGCGCCAAAAAGCTGCCAACTTACTGGGGTCGGATTTGGAAAAGGTGTCTCTGTCCAGGAGGTTTCTGTGGGGAGAAGCAGAACGTGGGAGGTGGTGTGAAAGGCGGCTGTGCTGCGGGGGACACACGTAGGACCCAGGGTCCGCCCCCCACGGCCCCCTACACCCCGGAGCGTGGCCACTCTGCAACCCAGTCACCACCTGACCCGGTGCTGTGCCTGGCCCACCTCGCTATGGCTTCACAGGCGCCAGGCTGAGTGGAGACAACCCGCTAGGCTGCCCTCCCCTCGCGGCGGCTGCCGGAACCGCCAGGCCCCGCGACAGCGGCCCCGCGCGTCGGTCAGGCCGGAGCCGTGTCTGCGTGAGCACCGCCCCCAGGCGCTGACAGGGTGGGAAGGACCGCCCCCAGGCGCTGACAGGGTGGGAAGGCCGGGCCTCCCGGGGCTCAGAGGGGCGGCACCAGGGTGCACCCCGGGGGCTGCGGACTGGGCTCCGCCTCCACACCCTGCGCGGCCCCACTGATGTGCAGTGAGGTGCGGTGGAGGGAACAGCAGCCGCTGGAGAGGCCGGAGAAGACGGCGTTGGCCACATTCTCGGCACAAAGGAGACTCCGGGACTTCACACAGAGCCTGAGAGGAACCTTCTCGACGACAAACGCGACCGATACAGAAAAAGACACAACAGTTAAGGGAGCAACCTCCGGCCCCCGTGAGAGCTCAGGTCAGCGGCGCCAGCACACACTGCGCCCTGGGCAGGGGGAGGGCAGGGGCGCCACCGCCGCCGCCCTGGGGAGCCTGGACACGGTCACCAGCGAGACCGGGCTCCGCCCGGGACACAGGCCAGCCGGCAGCGTGTGGCTGGGCGTCGAGCCCCGGGACACAGAAAGGGAGATGGAGGACGAGGATACGCGAGCCCCAGCGGGGCGGGTCAGGAGCCTGGCTGGGCCCGGGGAGGACTGAAGCCAGGACGGCCCACAGAGGCCGCGAGGCCCTGGGAGGGCGCGGGCAGGGCGGTGAGCGCAGCAGGTGGCCCCTCCCGGAGCCTGGGGGGGGGTCCTCGGGGCACCGGGGCAGACGGGGGCTCCGGACGCCAGGGAGACGCACCCCTATCCCGGAGCAGCCGGACGCAGCAGGGACGGCCCCGCGGGCGTGTGGCTGGGCCGGAGGGCTTCCGACCCCTCTGTTCCTGCGGGCGCGGGCTGATCTGCTGTGGCCTGTGGCTGACACCCCTTTCCTCAAAAGGACGTGATCTGGGGCCTGTACCAGCCTCCGTGAGGCCCGCTGTGTCCAGTCGCTGCTGCTGGACGTCAGCGTGAAAACACGAGCTCCCCGCAGAGCGACAGAGACCGTCAACACAAATGACAGGATCACGTGCGCCCCTGGAGCACGGCTGTGAGGGGGCGTCGGTGCCCATTTCTAAGCCAAAGCACAGGGATTAACCGGCTTATCTGAACTCCCGCGCTGAGAGCAAAAGGACGCCGTGGAAATCAGATCTTTCCAAAGCAAAGACCAGGCTCAGCCAGCTCGAAACAGACCCTGGAAACTGAGGGCGAAGGGCCCTGCACCGTGGTGGGGTGACACACGCGTCTGCAGGGGGTCTGTACCCCTAAATCATGTGCAGTGTGACAGGCCACTTACCCGATAGAAGAAACAGTAAATGCAGGCCTCCCCGCCCAGCCCTGCGTCTCCTGCACACGGACGCCACGTCCCCCGCACGTCAGGCCCGAGACTGCATGTCCTGCCCCGCAGCGGCCCCAGCCAGGCTTCCGGGTCCCCACGGCGAGGGCCGCTGCCCTGGGGATGGCAGGAGAGGTGCCCGGCCCTCTGGGGAGGACCACGCCCAGGACTCAAGCCTGCGTTTCCGTCTATACCGCAGGCTGCCGCACAGGCGGGGCTGTTGAGGGGAACGTCTCCAGTAAGGTTCATGGCTCTGAGTTGGCTCAGGCGTCCCTCCCTGGCCACCGGCCCGCACCGGCGAGACCGCCAGGGCCCACGGACAAGGCTGCCCGCTGCCCGCAGGCCTGAGAGGTGTCTCCGTGGCAGGCGCTGAGCCCTGGACAGTCACCGGCCTGGAGGACAAGCGGCAGTGAGGAGACCCCTGTGGAGCGTCATAGAGGCGAGACTCCGGGGAGGAGGTGGCCCCGACCAGGGAGACGGAAGGCACCCCACACCCCACGCTGGGCGCGGAGGACCAACCAGGAACTCGCCCGACTCGGAACTACTCCTGAAACAGCTCGGGGGCCAACCCGTGTCACCCCCAGAGTCAAAGGGCAGCTGAGGGCCGTGCCCGCCCGCACGCCCTCCCCAGCTGCCCTCAGAGCTGTGGGGACTACCTGGGGGTCAGGCCCGCCCAGCAGCACGTTCAGGACTGGGCAGCGCGGCCCCCACCCCACAGCCCCGCCCCCGGCTATGCTCGGGGGACACTTCGCCTCTCGCCTGTGCACGTGAAAATAACTTCGGGGTGTTTCTTTTTTCCCCCCCAACAAACCATGGCTTCATCTCCCGTCAGCCCACCCCTGAACTTTTAAATTTTGGTTGAACTAAGGCTTTTCTCTACGTTCCTCCACCACTCTGTGGCACGAAATGAAAACGGGCAGAACACACGGGAGCACGAGCACGCAGAAGCCACTGTGCCCCGAGGGGCCAACAACCCCCCCCCGCCTGTCAGCCCGGCTCACACCCTCGGCGCCAGGCCGCGCACTCGTCCTCTTGCCTCCATGTCCACGGGGCCATCGCACGCAGGCCCAGGCGCCTCCCCTCGCTCGCCCTCTCTCTCTGCATTTTACCCCCGAGTGGGAAAACCGGGGCAGGACAGGACAAAAGGAATCCGCGCTGGAGAGGGGGCCAGCCCGGTCCGCTGCGGTGCGGGCACAGCCCTGAGGCCGCCGGCGCGGCGCCGAGCAAATACATGACCGTGGCAAAGGGCGGGTCCGGGGTCAGCGCGCACGGATCCCGGGTGCTCTGCAGACAGCAGCTGAGAAGGAAAAGAAATCCAGGCAACAGTTTCATTTAGTCGCTGGAAAAGAGTAAGAGAGCGAGGAGCGAGTCACGCAGGGGGCGGGCACGCGAGAGGAATCACAGGCTGCTACTAAGGGCGACGGGCCCCGGCCAGAGGGAGCGGAGAGGGCCCAGGCCCACCGGGCAGTCAGCACAGTCCACACGGCTGTTCCCTCAGAGTGAGTCTAAATTCAGGGTCGGGCCTCCCTGGGGGCGCAAGGGGTGAAGACGCAACCCATGGGGCTGTCCGCAGCCTCTGCAGCGCGAGTTCCATCCCGGCCAGGGAGCTGCCCACAGGGCGCAGCAGACCCCTCCTGTCTCCCCTGCTCCCCTCAGCAGTGGATCTCAGTGGATCCCCCTGTTCCGCTCCCCGCTCTGTCTCTGGGGAGTCCTCTCACCCCCGAGCCTCTCGCCTGCCCCCGAGGGCTGTGCGGGAGCCACGCCCAAGAGCGCGACGGAGCGTCCTGCTTGCCCCGGTTCGGTGCCTTGGCCGCAGGTCTGGCCTGGCGCCAGCGGGGACCGCGTCGTCCCGGGCGGCTCGGGCACATTCCCCTCGGGGACAGCACCAAGCCACGCGCCGCCAGGGTCCGGAGGCTCCACTGCTGCGGGGCCTGGCTCTGCCCCTTCCGCCTCCCCACAAGCAAGCCGGGTCTGCTTATGTAAACGCAGAGCGACCACCCTGCAGAGCTGCGCGACGAGTCCCCGCGGGACAGACCAGCTGCGCCGCCACGGTCCGCCCGCCCAGCAGCTGCCCAGGGCCGCGGGCGCACCAGGACACGTCGGTGCCCGGCAGACCCGGGGCGCCCCCGGCTGCCCGGACAAAGCGGGGCCGCTGAAGGCGGGTAGTGGCGAGCCGCCACGGGGCACTGGATCGTCTCTCTCCAAAAAGGCTCTGGAGTCACCAGACGGCCGATCGGGTGGTTTTTATTTTTCCCGAGCAGCTCGGCAGCGATGGGCCCACTGTTCCCGCGCCCGCGGGGAGATGGCATCAGGGGCACCAGCCTCCCGACGCACCTGCGCCCCCCCTCAGCGGAGAGCCGGGGTGTCGAGCCCGCCCGACGCCCGGCGAGACCAGCCCTGGAGTCCCCTCGGCCTCTCGGGGGCCGGCGCGGGGCGCAGTCACCGGGCGTGAGCGCAGTGGGCACGGAGCCACCCTGGCAGCACCGTGATGGGCGACACACACAGCTGGTCCCGCGCCGGACACCGAGGCTGCGCCGGCAAGAGCCACGCGTCGCTTATGACAGAGACACAGAGCCAGAGCCGGACACGGAGACACGGAGAGAGACACGGAGAGAGACACGGAGACACGGAGAGAGACACGGAGACACACACGGAGAGAGACATGGAGACACACACGGAGAGAGACACGGAGAGAGACATGGAGACACGCACGGAGAGAGACATGGAGACACGCACGGAGAGAGACACGGAGAGAGACACGGAGAGAGACACGGAGGGAGACACACACGGAGAGAGACATGGAGACACACACGGAGAGAGACATGGAGACACACACGGAGAGAGACACGGAGAGAGATACGGAGAGAGACACGGAGAAAGACACAGAGAGAGACACGGAGGCGGCGGGGGAGCAGCGACAGAAAGGCAAAGAGCACAGACAGAGCCAGGGTTGGAGAAGCGGAGTCGGCACAGCTGACCCAGCAGAGAGCTGAGGAGGGGGAGCCGCCCCGCTGTCCTCTCCGCCCTTCAGCCCCCCAGTTCCCTGCCCCCCGCCGCTCCCCAGCCCTTCGGCCCCGCCCTGGCCCGGGCTCCCCCAGTAGCTGCTCCTCGCCCGTCTCCTCACTCCTCTCCTCACGGGTCTCCTCACTCCTCTCCTCACCCGTCTCCTCACCCGTCTCCTCACTCCTCTCCTCACGGGTCTCCTCACGCCTCTCCTCACCCGTCTCCTCAACCGTCTCCTCACTCCTCTCCTCACAGGTCTCCTCACGCCTCTCCTCACCCGTCTCCTCACGCCTCTCCTCACCCGTCTCCTCACTCCTCTCCTCGCCCGTCTCCTCACCCGTCTCCTCACTCCTCTCCACTCTCCTCAACCGTCTCCTCACTCCTCTCCTCACAGGTCTCCTCACGCCTCTCCTCACCTGTCTCCTCACTCCTCTCCTCACCCGTCTCCTCACTCCTCTCCTCACCTGTCTCCTCACTCCTCTCCTCGCCCGTCTCCTCACTCCTCTCCTCACAGGTCTCCTTACTCCTCTCACCGGTCTCCTCACCTGTCTCCTCACCCGTCTCCTTACCTGTCTCTTCACTCCTCTCCTCACCTGTCTCACCTGTCTCCTTACCCGTCTCCTCACCCGTCTCCTCACGCCTCTCCTCACCTGTCTCCTCACTCCTCTCCTCGCCCGTCTCCTCACTCCTCTCCTCACAGGTCTCCTTACTCCTCTCACCGGTCTCCTCACCTGTCTCCTCACCCGTCTCCTTACCTGTCTCTTCACTCCTTCCTCACCTGTCTCACCTGTCTCCTTACCCGTCTCCTCACCTGTCTCCTCACGCCTCTCCTCACCTGTCTCCTCACCTGTCTCCTCACGCCTCTCCTCACCCGTCTCCTCACGCCTCTCCTCACCCATCTCCTCACGCCTCTCCTCCCCCGTCTGCTCACCCGTCTCCTCACTCGCGAGCTCGGCGGGACACGAGCCTGAGACCGGGCGAGCCGGGACGGGACCCCAAAACTGCCGCTGACAGCGCGGGTCACAGCCTCCGTCCCCGCCGAGCGCCGAGCGCCAGAGCCTCGCGAGGCCCGCGGAGCCTGAGGCCGCCCAGGCCTGAGGGGCAGCGGGCTGGTCTCACGTGACCTGCGGCTGCGCGGCCCCGCCCGAGGCCCCGCCCACTTCAGGCCCCGCCCCGAGTCCCGCCCGCCCCGCGAGGCCCCGCCCACCGCAGGCCCCGCCCCACATGAACGTCCCGCGCCCGCAGCCGCCGCCCGGGCCCCTCGGCTCAGGTGCTGCGCCCGCGTGAAGCACGCGCCCCGAGGGGGAGCTGCCGGCGGGAGGGTGGGCCGAGCCCCGGGGGGTCGCCCCGGCAGCCGAGCCCGGAAGGGGAGGGGGGCTCCCGCCTCCGCCAGGCTGCGCCCGGCCCGCGGCTGCGGTTGCTGCTGCGCGCGCCAGCCTGGGCAGGGCGGGCGCCCAGAGACGGGGGTCCCCGGGCCAGGAGGTGGCGGGGGCGGCATTTTAGCCCAAGCGCCTCCCCCTCCAGCGGCCGGCAGCCTCACAGCACGCGCCGGGCCCCGGCCTGCCCGCTCCCGGCCCCTGTCCCGTCCTGCCCGCTCCCGGCCCCCGGGGGCCCGTCCTGCCTGCTACCGGCACCCGGGGCCCGTCCTGCCCGCTCCCGGACCCCGCGGGCCCGTCCTGCCCGCTCCCGGCCCCTGTCCCGTCCTGCCCGCTCCCGGCACCCGGGGCCCGTCCTGCCCTCTCCAGGCACCCGGGCCCGTCCTGCCCGCTCCCGGCACCCGGGCCCGTCCTGCACCGCTCCCGGCACCCGGGGCCCGTCCTGCCCTCTCCAGGCACCCGGGGCCCGTCCTGCCCTCTCCAGGCACCCGGGCCCGTCCTGCCCGCTCCCGGCACCCGGGCCCGTCCTGCACCGCTCCCGGCACCCGGGGCCCGTCCTGCCCGCTCCCGGCACCCGGGCCCGTCCTGCACCGCTCCCGGCACCCGGGGCCCGTCCTGCCCTCTCCAGGCACCCGGGCCCGTCCTGCCCTCTCCAGGCACCCGGGCCCGTCCTGCCCGCTCCCGGCACCCGGGCCCGTCCTGCCGGCACAGGCACCTGCACAGGAGTGGCCAGAGGACGCAGGTGTTGCTTACGCTGTATTCAGTCTGACAAAGTAGGTTAATGGCCCCAGCGTGCAGGGCACGGTTGCGGCACCGCAGCCCGGAGCTCATTCGGGCAGGGCCAGCGCTGCCCTCAACCCCACCTTGTTTCTCCCTGCACCCAGCGTGGACCACGGGCACCGCTGCCCACACACACCAGGGTGAAGGGCCGCATGGGCCAGCTGACCTCCCTGCTCTCATCACTGAACAGGCGATTGCTCAGAGGAAATAACAAAAATCCCGAAATCCTGCGTGAGGAGCAGCCTGGCAAACCCAGCCCCGGGCGGCGGGCGGCGTCCCCCAGGGCCTGGCCTCCGCTGCAGTGCTCTTTTCAGAAGACAGAGGGAACAAGCCAGGTGAATCTTCCTTTCTGAGGTCTTACCATTTCAGCTATACACATTTTAATTGGGTTACCTAATTAACTGAAAAATCTATGAAAATTAACATAATGAAGAGAAATGATTGTAAGCGGAGCTCAGTAACGGCAGGAGAGGTGGCTGCACCACACCCAGAGCCGCACCGAGCACCTGAGCAAGGGCCCCCTAGCCACCTCCGGCTGCCTCCAGGGGCCCAGCCACGCCCTGGCCTGGCCCCAGCAGGGCCTGGGGGTCCCAGCAGGGGTCTCTTCCTGTGGGGGCAGGAGGCCACAGCACCCCCAGGTGTCCTGCAGGAGTCACCCCCAGCCAGAGCTCACAAAGTCCACCGTCTACACCCCCCACGAGGTGACTCCCCTGAATTCTGCTCCCCTTCAAGCTTCTGCACCCAAGTGAAGCCCGGCCCGTTGTGAAGCTTCCCGAGCCTCGTCCCCCTCAGGACTCTGGCACCGCCCCAGCCACGAGGCCCCAGCCACGGGTGAAGCGCAGGCAGAAGTGGGGCAGGCAGGGGCCCCGGGTCGGCGGCGGCCAGTGCAGGGGTCACAGCGTCCACACGCCCCGCAGACGGGCTGGGTGCTGGGGGGGGTTCCAGAGGACCCTCTGTGGCGCCCCTGCACACTGGCACCCCCACGGCGCGCGGCTTTGGAGAGGAGCCCCCGGCGCACGGCACCTCCCCGCCTCGGCGGAGCTGCCTCCCGCTGACCCTGGTCGCGGGGCCCGGGGCACGCTCCGGAGCGGCCGCGTCCTTCGGCTCCGGGCTTGTTCTGGAGAAACGAGCCGAGCCGGAGCGCGCAGCCGGGGGCTGTGCACACGGAGGCCGGGCTGGCGGCGGCGCTGCGCGGGGAGCAGCCGGAGCTTCCACACGTCCCAGGGAAGCGCGGCGAGGCTTCCCGCCGGCAAAGGGCAGTGGCGGGGAAGGGGCGCCGCCGACAGGACCCGCTGCTCCGGCTGCGATCTGGGGGCGCCGCCCGCCGGTCCTCTGCGGGAAGCCGGCCGGAGGGCCGCGGGGCCGGGCGGGCGGCCGCGGGAGCGGGGCGCGGCGCCCGGGAGAGGCGGACGGTCGCGGCTCCCCCGCGCCCAGCCGGGCCGCACGCCGCGGGGAGCCGGCCGCGGGCCAGCCCGGAAGGGGGGCGGGGGCGCCGGGAGGCGCAGGAAGTGGGTGGGGAGGCGCCGGCGCCGGCGGGGTCCCGGCGCGCGCCTCGGACGGGTGCGGCCTCCGGCCGGCGCGCGCTCGCGGTCGGGGTCCCGGCGCCCCTGCGCCCCTGCGCCCCTGCGCGGCTGGTCCCGACGGCTCGGGGCGGCGGCCGGGTTCCCGCGCTGAGTCACAGCGCGGCCAACTTTCCCGGCGCGTCCCGGAGAGGGGAGCCACGTCCCGGCCGGGAGCCCCGCTGAAGCGCCCCTCCCCGCCGCGGCGCCCCTCCCGGGCGGCCCCCCGGGCGCCCCGCGCGCAACTTGGCGGCCGCCGCCGGGCCCCGCGCGCCCCCGGCCCCGCGCGAGGACGGGCGGCCTCACCTGCAGGACACCGACAGCTCCACGCGCGTGGCGGGGATGGCGGCGCCCAGCGGGGCCAGGTCCGCGAGGCCCGGCGCGCTGGCGCAGCGGCTGTCCATGCTGGCCGGCGGCCGACTGAGCCCGCGGCCGCGCGGGAGGAGGCGCGCGGGGCGGAGGCAGCGCGGAAGGGGCGGGCGGGGGCGGGCCCGGCGCCGAGCGGGGAGCCCGGGGAGCCCGGGGAGCGGGGCGCGCGGGGCCTCCGCTCCGGCCTCTGCGGACCCCCGCGGCGGCGCGGGGAGGTGGCGCCCCCAGACCCCGCCGTCCGGCAGGCGGACCCCGCCCGCGCCGCCCGCGCGTGCCGATCCGGGCGACGCCCGCTGGGCTTCCTCGCGGCGGACGGCCCGGGCGCGCGCTCCCCCGCCGGTCCCGGGTCCCTGCGCCGGGTCGCGGGTCCCTGCGCGGCCTCCCGCCGTCCGCGCCCCCTGACGGCTCAGGCCCGGATGGGGCGCGGCGGGAGGGGAGGCTGCGGGGGGGGCCCCCCTCGGGGTCCCTCCTCGCTTCGTGCTCCAGGACCCGGGGCCCCAGCCCGACGACCTCGCTCCCAAAAGCCAAGTTCTGCCTGGAGCCGCAAGGCCCCCCCCCGAGAAGCGCGGCCCCGCTCTGCGCCCCCATCTTACGGGTCGGGACCCCGGAGGAGCCCCGCGAAGCGGCGCAAGGAGCCGGGCGGGCGCAAGGGGTGCCCGGGCCTGCATGCGGCGCCCCCCCCCCCCTCGCGCGGCGGGAAGGCCGAGGCCTGTGACTGCGGCCCCAGCCGCGGACCGACCCCTGGAGGGGCCTGGCTGCCCCGCACACCCCGCCCGGAAGCCGCGCCCCACGCGCAGCGTCCCCCGCGATCCTCGTGTCCCCTCAGCACCACAACAGCGGCCACAGCCATCTCGCAAACCCCAGGCTCGCAGGACTCGGCCGCGCCCCGCAGCTTTTGGGGGGCCCTGGCTGGGCTTCTGCACCCGGGTAGGGCTGCGCCAGGCACACCTGCAGCCCGGCCTCGAGGTGGACACCCGCGTCCCTGCTTCTGGGAAGGGTGTGTCTGGTACCGGGGAGCAGGTCACCAGTGTGGATGTAGGACCCGCTGAGAAACTCCTAAAACGTTTTACAAGGTGCTCCGACTGCCATCCCTCCCCACAGCCCGTCTCATTTGCTCCCCGTTGCCCCGGGGGGCCTCAGAGGGCACGGCCTCTGCAGGGCGGAGGGTGAGTCCAGGGGCTGTTTGCTGCCGGTGCCTTCCTTGGCCGAGTGTCTGCTCCCTTTGCTGGGCGGTGCCCACGTGCTCCGGGCCGCTCCAGCATGGCTCCCGAGTTTGGGGAGGTCTTGGTGTGTCCTGTGTGCAGCTTTTTGCCCGGCTGACTCACGAGGTAATGCTGATTCCAAGGCCGCTGCAGAGCTGGCCTCTCTCGGGTGAGAGTCCTGACGGGACATGTGCATCTCCCACTTTGTGAGGCTCCTTAACATCTCACAGAGATAGACATCCTGCAGGAGGAGGGGTTTGGAGACAGCCACACAGGAAGGACATGTGACCAGAGACAGGGGCTGGAGTGGCGCTACCCCGCTGGGAGGGCCCACGGAAGTGGGGGCACCGCCAGGATGCCCCAAGGAGCCCCGAGGAGGAAGGGGCTTCCAGGACCAGAGGCTGGAGCAGCCGCCCGCCCAACTGCCCCATGGATTGTTGCCCCCTGTGGTCCAAGCTTAACGAGCTTTTTATCAAGTGTCCAGGTGCTGTGGCCACGCCCCGCAAGGACCCTGGAGGAGAGCCGTGAGGGCGAGCAGGCTCCCGAGTGCAAGGTTCTGAGGCTTCTACGGAAGACCCTGCAGCCCTCACTGGCCAGCCAGCTGTGCGTGAAGCAGCTCCGTTCAGCACATGCAGGCGCGGAAGACACAGCACAGGTGGCCAGCTCCACAGCCCTGACGTGGCCGCGCTGGCCCACCCCGCAGCACTGCGTGGCTGCGGCTGAGGAGCCCCTCTTACTTCCACATGAAGTCAGCAGTAGTTTTGCAATGATGTAGTTTCACACGTCTTTCAGAAACATTATTTTCAGGGCCTCCCTGGTGGCGCAGGGGTTGTCTCAGCGCTACGAAGCTGTCCACAGCCACTGCAGTACAAGCTCAGTCCCCGGCCAGGGAGCGGACCCACATGGCGCAGCAGACCTCTCCCGCTCCCCTCAGCAGAGGATTTCAGTGGATCCGCCTGTTCTGCTCCCCCACTCTGTCTCTGGGGAGTCCTCTCACCCCTCCCCCGGTTTTTGTGTGCATAAATAAAAAATAAAAATCTTAAAAAAAACACAAAATGTTATTTTTGCCTTTTAAAAATTCAGATATTTTCCATAAACTCAGTGCCCACATGCTGCCTTCTGAAATGCATTTTATTTTTTTAAAAAGCCATCAAACAGGATTTTGCATTTTAACTTCCCAAAGCAGCAAGGCCAATAATCCAACAGATTATAATGAGCAAACAACACAGTCCACAGAAAGGAAAAACAAACACAAAATGGTGTCACCCTCTTATCACAGGCGTGATTCAGATGCGGGGCTGCCTTTCCCTGCAGAGGCTGAGGGTGGCTATGGGGGCTGTGGGGGATTACAGGGGGCTTGTAGGAGTTCCGGGGGGCTGTGGGAGGCTGTGGGAGGTTCCAGGGGCTATGGGGGGCTGCAGTGACACCCCCTTCACTGCTGCTAGGATGCCGGGGTGTGGCCTTCGTCAGAATACGTGGTGACATTAGCTAGTTAAAGCCAGTCCTGCTGGAGGTCTATGTGAGGAAAGAAGCTGTACTTCCACACGGTTCAAACACTGACCCAAAATACAGAGAGACTCCACATAAGGCCCCAGCATCACAAGATTTCTAGAAGAAAACATAGAAGAAAAATGTCTATGACCTTGAGATAGGCAAATATTCCACAGGTGTGGTGTCCAAAGCATGGTGTAAAAAAAATTGATTTTTTAAAAAACATCAAAGTAACACATTAGACTTCATCCAAATCACAAATTCCTATTCCTTGGAAGATTCTGTGGCATCAGATCCAAGGCGCCTGCTCTCCGAGTTTTGCATTGCAAAGAGCACCCCCCACCATTCCCTGCATCCCTGGGGCCCTGGGCCCGGCTGGCCAGTGGGGCAGAGGCCCTGGCTTCAGGCACCCAGCCCTGCAGGGCACTGCATCGTTCCCCAAAGTGCACATTTAAGCTAGCCCACACACGGGAGTTAAAGAATTTGGACCAAGGTTTTTTTAAACTCGAACGACGTGGTTAACGCAACAGCATCGTAATGTAAGGAGGCAGATGAATCCAGAGGCTACATTTCTTTTTGAAGGTTGCTGTCGTGAACAGCGACATGACACGGAGGGCCCTAGGAACTCACACAGGCCTCACAGCTCCACCTCAGGCACCATGGGATGTGGGGGGCCGTGGGCAGCGGTGATGGGCGGGGCCTTCTCAGGGAGAGCTGGGTGGTCCTTACTGAGCCTCTGGAACAGGAAGAGCACGACTTACAGAAACCGAGGTGGTAGCAGACGTTTCTTTACGTCGCTGATGCTTACAGACACCTAAATAACTTGCACGTTTGCTGTTCTTACTTTGCCCATTTTAATGTCTCTTAAAATGTTATTTTTTAAATCATTCACAAAGTGATTTTATTCTAGAACCAAGTTAATTTCAAGAAGCAGGAAGCTTTTTGATCAGCCAGCCCGGCTCTCCGAGCTGCTTCCCGTAACAAACACACAGTTGTTTCACTTCTTTTTAGCTGGTGTTAAATTTATTCATCTCTAAATTTCCAGGCAAGCAGCATTAATTAAAGATCCTTTTCCAGTTTTATTTAAATAGTCTTCTTGCTTTTGCTCTCTTACAATAAACCAAGATTTTAATTAAAAATAAGATTTTATAAACCTAGGACAAAAAAGGAAATTGAGAGCCCTCCCGCCCTGCTTCAGAAAATAGCAGCTAAGAAAACTTACATTTCAGGTAGGAAAAAATCAATGTAACCGCAGGGCAGTAAGTGCCCGATGAGACAGGAGTTTTGTGGGTTTAATCTGCGTGGGAGGGAAATCCCCAGGATCCTCTTCAACGGGAAAGGGGAGTCCCATCCCAGAAGAACGGCGAACCCGTGAGCCCACACCCCTCCTTCTCAGAGGAGGGCCTTCCCCGGCAGCCTGTCCAGCCACCCAAGGTAACGGCGGCCAAGCGCAGCCGGCTCCGGAGAAGCGGGCTTGAAACGGGCCTAGTGAGCAGGAACACGCCCCTCCCGCCCGCGGACAGTCTGCTGCGGACGCCACCAGGTCCTCACCCACCCGGCGGTTGTCCTGGCGCTGCCATCTTGGCACCACTGTCCCCCTTCTCCACCCTGCCCCGCCACGCCAGCCACGCCAGGCCCAGCAGCCACACCGGGCACACCACGGCCCCCCAGAGCAAGGAGAATATCCCAGTTGATTTTTCTTAGGGACAGGAGGCCAAGAGAGCGGCCGTCCTCTAGACGCAGGGGCGGCTGGGGAGTTCGGTACCCGGGCTTTTAGCTTCGATTTAGAGAAATGGCTGTTTCCCACCCAAATTCACCACGTGAGGAAAATCCACACACAGAAAGGAAAGTGAGGCTGCATGCACACACACCCACCCCCTACACACGTGAGGGAGCCCAGAGGCGCCGAGCCCCCAATGCTCATCATATGTGCCCCTCCCTGCCAGGCCGCGGCCCCCTGGGCTGGCTCCTCCAGGACTCTACCAGGTGGGCCACGAAGCGGGAGAGGAAGAGGGAGGCGGCAGGAAAGAAAGCCAGCTTGTGGGTGTGCCTGACCCTGCAAGGGAGGCAGCAGCTGGGGCTCCCGTGTCTGACGCTCAGTAGAGCCGCCTGACCCCCCGGCCCGTCTGCTCCCCGCTCTGCCTCCTGTCGCTTCCCACCCTGGCGGAGATCCCCGCAGTAGTTCTGGCGCCTTTAAACCTTGACCTTAGACGTCTCGCCCTGGATCCCTGCCCGCAACACGCTGCGGTGGCCACACTTGGTGGAGCCCCGGGCTCTCGCTGTGTGGAGCCCCGGGCTCTCGCTGCCTGAGCCGCCCAGGCAGCCATCCGTGGCCCACGGCCCCACTGCTCCCAGCACAGCTCCTCCCTGGCGGCCACCTGGGCAGGCAGCGGCCTGAGGGGACGGCCCCGGAGCTCAGGACGCCAGGGGCGGTGCCGGTCCCGGGCCAGCTGCCTATCGTCCAGGCTGCTCTGCCTGGGGATCCAGGAGCTGAGCCACGCACGGCCGCAGGTGACGACGGCCGGTCCCCAGCATCAGGCAGGAGCCCTTGGCAGGCCGGACCCGCGGAGGCTCAGCTGCATCCCTGGGACTGACTGCGACGGGCAACGCGGGGCTTGGCTCACAGCCCGACGTGGCGGGGGGGTGGGGGGTGCGGCCCGGGCAGGCGGGCGAGGGCCTGGTCTCAGCGGTGGAGTGGACACTCCGCCTGCCTGTCGAGGCAAAGTCCCAGGATGCTCGGGCCCCAGGCGGAGGCGCGGGCCCAGGGAGGGCAGGGGACCCAGACAGGACAGCTCCGCGGGTGGGGCCTGGGGACGGCGAGCAGCCTGGGAAGGACGAGGCCGTGGAGGCCTGAGTTTCATGGAGTGAGAAGTCTATATCCCGTCAGCCCTGGGGCCGCGACCCTTCTGCTCACAGACACCCTGGCCGTGCCCGTGCCGTCAGCAGCAGCAGCACTTGAAGCTGCAACTGCATGACTCTCCCCTCCATGCAAGAGCCCAGGTGCCCGGTTCCTGGGGCCCAGGGGTGCGCTCTGCTCGCTGTACCCCTCACCCTGGGCACCCCCGCAGGGAACAGGCCCTAGAGTGCTGGGAAGCCCGGCCTCTGCGGGGCGAGACTGTCTCTCCTGAGGATGCCCCCCGGGGTGGCAGGTGTGGCTGCTGCTGACAAATCCGAGGCCGGCGGGCTCCTTGGCCGTGTCCTGGGCCCGGTTGTGAGAGCAGGGATGACATTTCCTCACCATGTGACTCAGGCAGGACCCGCTGGCCCCCACCGGCCATGCCCCAGGCCTCGTGCTGTGCTCCAGGCACAAGGAAGGAGGAGATGGAGCACAACTTACTTTTCAGATGGGGGAGATTTTTGCAGGAACGTGTGTTTCTATAGAAACGCGTTTGACACCAAGTGAGCTGCGGGCGGAGCACAGATAATCGCTCAGAGCACCGAGTTCTCACCTGCCTGCGGCACAAGGGCTTCCCCGCAGCCCCGCCAGCCCCCAGCTCTCGGTACAGCAGCCACAGCTCTAAGACACCCCAAGGCTGCGTGGTTCTGGGGTTCCGGTGAGCCCAGCCCGGCTCTGCGGGGCGCAGTATCAATCACTCCTCCACAGCTCCCCGCTTCCACTGGAAGTCTTTAATTAACACATCCTGCAGCTCCTTTATGAGTCAGCCCGATCCCTAAAAACTATTATTTGGTGGCAGGGCTAGGAAAAGCCAGCAGTTGTCATGGCAAGCGGGTTAGCAATCCAGCCATTTATGGGAAAAGCCGCCACCAGCCACGAGGCCGAGCCTTGCCCGCCAGCCCGAAAACTTAGGGCCGGTTTCAGCCCCGCACAGCTAAGGCTGTGGCTCTCAGTGGCCACCCTCACTGGTGCCCTGGGGGCGCGGAGGCCGCACGGGAGCCGGCCCAGCACAGGACCTCAGGGCAAAGCTGGAGGCCGAGTTCAAGTCCAGGCTACCCGTGGGTCCCCTGCAGGCAGCCCCAGGGTCTGGGGAAACTAGTCTCGGAGTTGCCTGCAGAGAAGTTGCGGCCCAGCCTGGGGCTCCCTGCTGGGGCGCCAAGAAGCCCTGCCCGTGCCCCCCCCACGCCCGCCCCCCGCCAGCCCACGACCCAGGGGTTCTCGATAGTCTTGAATAGTTTAACTTTTTACTTGACATTGGCTAGTCCAACGAGCGACCCCTGAGTGACCGGCCTCGATGTTGTCCGAGCGCTGGCCCCTGCCAGCCCGGGCCTGTGCTCGGCCCACCGGCCTGGAGCGGGGGAGGCAGAGCCGGGGGCGGGAGGGGCGGGGGAGGCTCGGAGCTCGCAGTGCTGGCATCGCCCAACAGCGCCCAACAGGCCTCCTCCCCAGCGTGGGCTGCGCCCCCATCACCCCCTCATCACCCGCAGGGGCACGCCAGGCTGGGGCCGAAGGCGGCGTTTTGCCCAAGGCGGGGGAAACCCAGGCTGAGCCTCTATTTATAGCCGTGCCCGCCAGTGTCTGGCTGATAACATTTCAATCAAAAGATTTAAACGTGCATGTGGCTCGCATTTCTTTTCTTCCTCGTTCCCTTAAGAAAATTCTGACCACGTGACCCTCAGCTTGCAGAGAGGCCCCGAAAACCCGCCACCGGGGTCCTCCCAGCCCCGCTGTCCCCCTGTCCATGGAGACTGACCAGCGCCGAGCCGCCACCACCGCACCGACAGCCCAACCGCCGGAAGCCTGAGGGTCCGCGGAGGCGCAGTGACCGCTGGCCCTGCTGTCCAGGGGCAGGGCTGCTGCTTCCTTCACGGAAACCCAATGTGTTTGTGTTTCGCCAGAGAATTGTCAAAACCCTCCACCAAGCCACCTGTCCCTCGCACGGAGGCCGCGGGGCACTGGCTTCACCCAGCACTGGCCCCGCCCGCCGGCTGGCAGCACCCTCAGCACCCCCCACCCAGTCAAGGCTCCAGCCGAAACTACAGGCCTCCCTCCACCCTCCTGCTGCCCTGCGCGCCCGGCCCGTCAACTCCGGCCAAAACCACCGCCTCAGTTCATCTCTGACCCCCAGCTCGTCCACCCACTGCCCGCGGCAGGTCTGGCTGAGATGCCCGGGGACCGCCCGGGAGCCTGATGTGGGCTGGGCGCTGACCCCAACAGTCACTGTCCACTCTGCCCTCCCTCGGGCCTCCCGCCTCCCATGGCCAGCGCCTCCTCCACGCTCGTCCCCAGGCGGCGTCACTGCTTCTCATGCGACTGTGGGGACACACACCCCGAGAAAGACCTTCCCCACCAGCGCACAAGCCAGCCTGCGCCTCCACCAGCACGCGCCTCCCGTCTGCCGCCACGGCCCTCACGCTGCCCGCGCGGACGGGGCCCCTGCTGTCCACGCCGGGTCACCCGTGGGAACGGGGCTCCTGAGCGTTTCCGTCTCTTACTGTCGTACCGACCATCCTCTCGTTTTTCTCATCCACCATGGGAGAAAGAGTCCGTCCAGGCTCAGAGTAAACGGCAGGGCAGCAGCCCTACCAGCAAGCGGGCCCTAAAAGGGCAGGGGCAGGAAGGACGACACAGCCACGAGGGCGCGATGTCCCGGAAGACGCCTCACAGAAGGCACCTCACAGCACGCAGCAGTGGCGGCAGCCTGAGAGCTGGCGGGGCCGGTGCTGGCTGCGACCACCCACCGCGGCCAGACCGCAGGCAGGACACGCCCAGGAGCAACAGCCTGTCACGGACACTCGGAGCACACGCATCTGACACACGTTCCGGCTGCCGCCCCCGCGGCCGGACGGCGGACACGCGCAAGGGCGTGCCACTCACCGGGCACAAGGCCGGGTCACTAAGTTCGCGAGGACGGAGGCCACAGCGACTTTCGTTTCTGATCACGGTGGAGGCAAGCGAGAAACCAACCACGACGAAAAAGCAGGAAAAGCCTCTAACACGCGGCGCCCAGACCACAGACCACTGACAGCACAGGGGCTGCGAGGAAACCAGCGGGCAAAGCGAAAAAATACCCCGGGACAAGAGACAAGGAGGACGCAAGCTGCCCGGGCCGCGGGGCGCAGCAAAGCAGCCGGAGGAGCAGCCGGCGGCCCCGCCCAGACTCCAGGCGCAGCCGGGCAGGCAGCCGCCGTCTCTACGGAGCTGGAAAAGGCGAGCAGACAAAACCCAAACCAGGAGGAGGAAGGCAACGAACGCTCAGAGCAGAAATAACTGACACAGAACCAAAAAGACGGCGCGAAGGGTCATGGAACCCAAAGTTGGCTCTTTATAAAAATAAACAAAAACAGACAAAGCTCCAGTAGGGCTCCCTGAGGAAATAAAGGGGTGAATTCAACACACAGAATCAGAACCAGAGAGGAGAAGGTGCAAGGCCCGCGGGGCCACTCGGGTCACCAGGGGTCGCCGTGGACCCCGCCCGCGGGCAAGCACGGCGGACAGCCTGGAAGAAGCGGGCGGGTCCTGACCCGAATCAGGACCAAGCGGGAGATCCCAGGAGACCAGCTTCAAGCAGGGAAACAGCAGCAAAGGCCTCCCCAGGACAAAGGGTGGACGCCACAGGCCCACACTGCATCAACCACAGCAGGAGGCCACCTTCTGCGAGGAGCCCGCTTCCGGGGCGCCCCTCCCAGCGGCTCCGCCAGGACGCGCTGGGGTCACTGAGGAGGTGGGGGGTGCTGTCAGAGAACTGGCGGAAAACGCTCAGCAGACGACACACAAGCTTGAAAATGTTTAATCGAGTCACTTTTCTAATCAAACAATAACTTTCAGACGAAGTAATTTCTTACAGTTTTAAATAACTGTTGCAGATAATTTTGGTTGCTACTTTTGAAATATTTCTCCACCTCAAATGAAATGGTCAGCTCGTGGGAAAGAGGCGCCGAGATCCAGAGACTGATTTTCTGTAACGGATGAGAGAAGAAACAGTCGGCGAACGGCCACGCAGGGCAGGGGTTTAGCCACAGCTGAAGTCGGGGCGACTGCCGGGGGCACCCCAGTGGTGACGGCCCGTGGGCGGAGCAGAGGGTGGGCCCGGAGACCACGGAATCCCTGCTGGCAGTGACGGCCAGGGCCCCCCGCTACAGCCAGGTCACCCCCAGCCATGGCCGCCCCGGCCCTCACTGGCCCTGCAGGGGCTTGGGGCGCATCCCTGCCGTACCCCGTTGGTGTCGTACTGGATCCGGTTGCTGGGGATGGGGTTCCCATTCAGGGAGATCAGGTTTGGCCTCGAGGGGAAGCCCAGGATCTGGACGGTGCCGTAGGACAGCGTGGCCACGCCCTGGTAGCCGTTCTTGACCACGTTGGCCCTGAGCACCCTCTGTCGGGGGGAGAGAAAGGCTGACCGGGCTGGGGCACTGCGCGGTGCGGCTGCACAAGCGCCAGGACGCTGACGGGCGTGGGACTTTCAAACTCCACGGAAACACTTTCGCTCACAAAAATGAATGGCCGTCACGGTCACCGCGGCGACGCGACTTACGTTGCTGAATCTGTACTCCACGTAGAAGAACTCGTCCCTCTCGATGGAATCTGCGAGACGCCCGGGAGAAGACAAAGCTCAGCCCCGCCTCCCCGCGCACGGGTCCATGCTGCGGCCGAGAGCCGGTCAGCCTCCCGTCACCCGCGTCCACCGCGGAGCAGAAGCTCTGCCCGGCTGTGGCCTCCGCCTGGAAGTCCCGGCCAGCCGGTGGGTTGCGAGCCCGGGGCCTGCCACACCCACCCCTCCTCCCCCTCTCCTCTGCCCGCAAGGGGCGCTGGCAGCCCCGGCGCCTCTGAGCGTCCCGCCCAGGGCGAAGGGAGCACCGTCCCCCTGCAGCTCCTCGCCGGGCCTCTCCGGGCGCTCCGGGCCGACACCGTGGCTGTCGGGCAGCGGGACGGTAAGGGCCGTGTCCTCCCACGCGCCCGAGCCTCAGAGGGTCTCGCAGGCGGGGCTGCCCCACTCACCGATGGAGTCGCCGTCATCCCAGAAGAGGGTGCCCAGGGCTTCTCCCTGCTCGTCCAGGGCTACGATCAGGCCGAAGGGGTTCATGCGACTGTGGACAGAGAGCCTGGGCTCAGAGCCGCAGGCCTGCCTCCGCCCCCCGGCGCCCCCAGAAGCCTCCAGGGCCCTTCAGAGCCCCCGAGCCCCCCAGCCTACACTCTCCTAAGCTCCCCAGGAGGCTCCCCCTTGAGTGCCTTGGCCCTGCTCTGCTCAGAGCCGCTGGGGCGGGGGTGGAAGGCCCGGCAGCCACCCCAGTGCCCGCGGAGGACTGTGAGGAGGCGGCCAGGGAGGGGACGACGCCCAGGAGGTCACGGGAGCGTGGGGGACTGGGTGGGCTGCGCCCCACGGTCCAGCGGGGTTCTGGGCCAGTCCCAGGGATGGGGGAGGGGGATAGGACAACGCGGCCATCTCAGGAGCCCCCACACGGCCAGGACGCAGGGTCCACCCCGGGCCGGCGGTGACCTTGAGGAGAAAGCCCAGGGCCACACGCGCGTCTCCCACAACACGCTCATTTCACTGGATTTCTCCCGCTGAAGTAAAGGCGGGGAGGCCCTGTCCTCTGGGCAGCTGCGGCGGGTGGGCTCGGGCCAGCGTGCAGCCAGGCCCTCGGCCGTCAGGGGTCCAGCCGGAGCCTCTGTGGCCGCGTGTGTTTCAGCCGATCTCACTCGAGGTCAGAGCCGGTTAAAGGCCCGAGAGCCGCGGTGAGCTTCAGCGTGTGGTGGACGCGCTGCTGACCCCGCCGCTGACCACGCCGCCAACCCCGCCGCCTGGAGCTTATGTACACGGGCCAGTCCCTGGCGAGACCCCGCGAGAGCAGCGCTGCCTGATGTGACCGCGGGCCGAAAGTCCAAGGCTCCCCTGGACCCCCCGCAGTGGTCCCGCCTCTGAACCCTGAGGCGGCCAGGGGGGCTGCGGGTATGGTGTGGGCTGGGGCTCTGGGGCCTCTCCCTGCTCCCTCCTTCCTCCACCGCCCAGCTGCCCCGCCTGCCCCTGCGCTGGCCCCCACACAGACACACCGCGGCCGGGGTGGGGACAGCCTGGGCCCGGGCCCGCCTCACCTCAGCATGGTGGTCCTGTCGGGGCTCTGCGTGGGCAGGATGTACCCGCCGCGGATGAAGAGCGGGATCAGGTCCAGCGGGGCCGGGATCTCCACCAGCTTCCGGCTCCAGGAGGGCGGCACCTGGTCCCCCTGAGGAGAGGCGGGGCGGTCAGCAGCACGGTCAGCGGGGGACAGCGCAGGAGGCGCAGCCCAGGAAATGCCCTCGGGCAGGCTGCAAGTGCACGTGACTCCCCATCTCCATCAGCCGCTCTTATGAAGCAATGGCCTGTGCTGGGGAGTTCCAAAGCCTCGGGGGACCGGTGGAGCACTTAGGGCACGAGAATAACCCGAGCAGGGACCATCAGCACCCCCCACCCATCCCCTGCCCCTTCCCGTCTCACTGTCAGCCCCCAGGCTGCTCCTTCTCCCCCTTGTGCTCCAGCCACTTCTGCGCCTTCCTTTGTTCCTGAAGCCGCCCTCAGGAAGGGGAGGTATTAGCCCCCCTCCCCACCCCCAGCCCCCAGCTGATGGCTTCAAAATAAGAGTGCAGGTGTCACTTTTGGGCATAAAAATTTCTCAAAAACTGAGCAAGAGCAGCCAATGCTCCTGACAACACAGGCACCAGGAGGAGAGGACCCTGTGGACACGCCTGGCCCTGCAAGAGGACCCCACACCCGGGAGCTGACCCCACCCCCAGCGCACAGAGACCAGGGTAGCTGGGACAGGCGACGGGCCATGTCTCCCGGGACTGTGGCTGACGCAGCCGCCAGCTGGACCCGAGCCGGGTCCTCGCACGTCAGGTGCCAAATACAGAGACTGTCCCAGGACCCCGAGCGGCCAGCAGCCCAACGCTGGCCCCACACCCGGGAACTCCGACAGCAGTGCAGACCCCGTTCCTGGGAGCCGCGCCCCAGACTCAGCCCAGGCCGTGGGGCCGCGCGGGGCCTACCGTGTAGAAGTCAAACCAGGCGGCCTCGGGGAAATACACGGTCACCGACCTGGCCCCCTGCGGAGAAGACCCCATGTCAGAGCCTGGGCGGTGCCTGGCCCACGGACCTCCACCAGGCCCGGGCGGCCGCACAAGCCCTCACGCCCGCTGCTCGGGACACCCAGAGCAGCGTCTCAGCTCACCCCGAACAGCGGACCCCGCGCCGGCTGCTCAGGGCCAGCTGCCCGCTCCTGAGGATGGCCACTGCCAGCAGCTGCCCCCTGCCCGCCGCCCGTTTGCCCGCCTGCCCGCCGAGCGCCCACCTCCTCCAGCACGGGCACGACCATGAAGGCCGGGCCCCACAGGAAGGCCGTGTCGATGTCGTGGGTCAGGGGGTCGGAGATGAACCTGAATCGTGGGTGAGAAATGGCGTCTCCGTTAGGAAGACCTGGGCCCCCCACTCAGCCCGGCCTCAGGGAGATCGAGGCCCCAAAGGCCCTGGAGATGTGGGGGGGGCTGGGGGCACAGCCCACCCAGGAAGCAGTCTCACCCCTTGGGCAGCTGGGGGACGCCCGGGGTCCCGGACCCTGGGGCCGGCCGGAGCAGCGGCTGCTTGGGCTGCCAGGGCCGCCTGGCGTCGGTGGCCGAGTCTCCCCTGGCCCTCCCGCAGGCCCCCACTGGGCCGCGCCCCCAGCTGGATGCCACCGGGGCACGGGCGAGAGGCCGAGCTTACTCGTGCATCAGCGCCCGCACCACGGTGTCGCCGTACACGTGGGCCTGGTAGAAGAGGGTGTACAGGTAGGGCAGCAGCGTGTAGCGGTTCCGCAGAGCCGTGCGGGCGATCGCCGCGAACTCCTCCCCGAAGGCGCCCGGGTCCTGCTCCTGCAGTGGACGCCGGGGTCAGCGTGGGAGGGGCCCACAGGGCTGGCCCGTCTCTCTCCAGAGTGTCCCTCCCCGCCAGGCCCAGCAGCCGGCCCTGCAGCGCCATGGGGCCAGGCCCGGGACAAGGCGCCTCGGGGCGCTCTGCATGCTGCCCCGAAGGCCAGCCCTGCCCACGGGTTAGGTCCCGCGCGGCCCGCGCTCAGGAACCAGGCTCGCTTCCAAGGGCCGCTGTGGAGACGCTGCTTCTCCATCGCCCGGTCCCCCATTCGCCCGAGGCTCTTGATACCACCCGTGAGACCTGCCGACCATCTCGAGCGCGATTCCGGCGCTGGGGCTCGCGGCGCGCAGGCCCGGCAGGGACCCCGCAGGCCCCGCGGCGCCCCGCCACTCGCCTTGCTGCCCCGCGCGTTGCGGTTCCTGGACAGCGGGTAGAAGGCGCCGAGCTGCATCCAGCGCAGGCAGAGCTCGTAGCTGGCCTCCTCGTTGAAGCCGCAGATGTCGGCTCCCACCTGGGGGAGGCCGAGGCTCACCCGCCGTCCCTCAGGGCGGCGCGGGCGGCGCGGCGGGGCCAGCGCGGGCGGGGTCGGGGCAGCGCGGCCTCCGCCGCCCCCGCCCGGCCCTGCCCGGCTCCGCCGAGGGCCCCTCCCGCCGGCGCGGGGTGCAGGCCGGGCCAGGGGTGCGGGGCGCGGGCGGGCGGCGCGGCCCGGGCGGGGGGGGGGGACAGGCCCGCGGCCCCGCCCGCCCCGCCCACCGGCGCGCCCCTGCCCTCCCGGCCCGCGGCGGCCTGGCGGTAGCTGGGGGCCCGGCGGGGCTGCCCCCCGCACCCCTCGAGAGGCGGACCCCGCGGGACCGCCTCCCTGCCCGCGCGCGCGGGGGCGGGGCCCGGCCGGGGCGGGGCCGGGGCGGAGGCGGGCCTTGGGCAGTGGGCGGGGCCAGGGGGCTTGCGCAGCGGGGCGGGGCCTTGGGGAACGGGGGGGGTGTGGCGGGGTGTGGGCGGGTGTGGGCCTGGCCAGGGCGGGGCCCTGGGCTGGGCGGGGCCTTGGGGCGGGGTGGGGCGGGGCCTTGGGCAGGGGCGGGGCCTTGGGCGGGGGCGGGGCCAGGGGGCTTGCGCAGCGGGGGCGGGGCCTTGGGGAACGGGGGGTGTGGCGGGGTGTGGGCCTGGCCAGGGGCGGGGCCCTGGGCTGGGCGGGGCCTTGGGGCGGGGCGGGGCGGGGCCTTGGGCAGGGGCGGGGCCTTGGGCGGGGGCGGGGCCCGCTGTCACTCACGAAAGGGATGCCGAAGAGGTTGAACTCCAGCATGCTGATGACCGACATGTGCAGGTCCCGCCAGCGGGAGAAGTTGTCGCCCAGCCCGTGGCCGCCGTAGCGCCCGCTGCCCACGAAGGTCGAGCGGCTCAGCACGAAGGCGCGCCTCTGGGTGGCGTTCTGGGCAGCGCTGCGGGCACGGGTGGGGGTCAGGGCTGGGCCGACCCGCCTCCCCAGCCCGCCCGCCCGCCCGGTCCAGTGTGAGCGCCCACCCGGGAGTGGGCACCACACGGCCAGAGTGACCAGCATCACCCGCGGAGGTGGCCGGTCCATCCCACGGACCAACCGCGGGCCCCAGCCATGCCCAGCGCCCTTCTGTGGGGAGCCACACTGCAGGGGGGCAGGGGGAGCCAGCGATGCCCAAGCCCTGTCCAGGCCCCGTCCTGCAGGCAGTCAGCCCCGAGGGCAGGCGGCTGGGAGGCCCCCACTGATGCTGACCATGCGCGCTGGGAGGCCCTTGAGCTGTCCCCAGGACAGAAGCAACCCTGGCGCCAGGGCCGCAGGGGAAGGACCAGCCCGCGTGCTCGACTGGAGGGGGGTGAGGGGTGGTCGCAGGAGGGGTGTGGCCACTCTGCAGGGATGTGACAACACACAGAGCCCCAGGGGCGCCGGTCAGGACCTGTCTGACGTGCCACAGAGCAGTAACAAGCTGAGGCTGACCCTGACTTGTAGGGTGGCTGCAAAGAGTCAGTAGGGACGCAGACAGTTACAGTGTCGTGCAGACAACCGCTACGTCCCCCTGCGTGTCGTGAGCGCCTGTCCAGTGTGCGACTGTGGCCACGGCACGTCACTTAAAGCCGTGCTTCAGCCAGGCGGAGGGTGCTGTGTGTCCCACGCTGTGACCGTGACATCTGTGCCCGCCCCAGCTGTCACGGCCTGGTCTGCCTCGGGCCACCAGCCTCCTCTGCCTGGACGCAGGCCGGCCAGCCCCGTCTCCTCGAGGCTGAGGTAACGGGACAGACCCGGCGGCCAGCTGACAATGGACACTGGGACGTGACCGAGCGGCGGGTGTCCACCGAGACGCGCTCCACATCCCGGGAAGCATTTCCGGGGTTTTCGTGGTATGAAGTTGCGCGTTCTGAGACGCACCAGCCCCAGGATGTGATGCGCAGCCGCGGGGCCGGGGCTGTCCCTGCCTGCTGCTCGTCTGGTTCCACAACTCTGGGGCGTGTGGGGTGGGCGCGACCAGCGGGCTCTGGGGCACATGGGGTGAGCAGGACATCCAAACCCAAGGTATCAGCTCCCCGCCTTTTTAACGAAAACTGGAGCTGGCTTATCAGGATGGGGCCAGGCGCCCCAAGCGGTCACAGCACGGCCCTCTGGACCTGGCAGCTCGCCGTCCTCGTTTGCGTGCTGCTATTCCCAAGCAGCTTGTTTCGCTAGCATAGGCGTGACCTCGTGCTGGGTGTGTTAAACCAGCCACGTTTTCAAAACACGTGTGCAGGTGCAGGTTGCGGGACGTTCTCTGAGCCCTGCTCTCGGCCGTCTCAAACGGAAGCGTTTCCAGCGGCAGCAGAGAGAGGCCGGGCTGCCTGCAGCCCTCGGAGCTCTGGGCTTTGCTCCAGAGCTTCCAGACGGAACACATTTGCATGTGGAAGAAGAATCGGTTCTGTCTGGAGCCTCAAAGCCACCCACGGGTCTGCCTTTGAGTCGCTTCACGAACCCACATCCGACTGGGGTGGCTTGGTGCCGGCGATGGGGCCTGGCTGAGGCCGGGAGCTGCGGCAGCCACAGAGACGCATTAGCTCGGCACAGAGTCCAGCCCAGACCTGTGAGCTGACCCCTCAACACGCTGACCCGCAGGGGGTGCAGAGGAGCGGGTGGGTGAGGGGTGGGGCTGGGGCTGCCCGGGTGTGGGGGTGCCCATGCCAGAGCAGGAGGCGGCAGCACCGGGCACCCTCAGGTTGTCCGTGGCTCCAGCCCCATGGGCACCCCCCAGGCTCCAGCACCCGGCCAGGGCCAGCTGTAGCCTCTCTCGTCCCGCCTGAGGCGCTGCCCCTGCTGAGGCCGTGACCAGCTTTTGTGCCATCTCGACCAGGAGTTAAAGGCACATGCAAAATAGAGTCTCAGCAGAGAAGACTCTGTGAGTCCTGAGAAGCCACCGTCACAGACTGGGCTGACCCGCCCCCCGGGCGCTGGCCCGCAGGGTCTCACAGCGCAGGGCGGGGACTCACTAGAAGGTGGGCATGGTCTGCGACCAGCCGTACAGCGAGTGCGTGTCATACAGGTCCCCCAGGAAGGTCCTGGAGTCGGGGCACAGCGTCTTCTCAGCTAGAAATCCGCCGGTGATGTCTGCGGATAGACGGGCACCCTGGCCGTCAGCGGCCCTCCTGGCAGCTGGCCATGGCCTCCGGCTGGGCAGCCTCGTGTGCTCAGGAACCCCCTGAGAACGTGGCCCCCACGCCGTGGTCACATTGGACGCGTCTCGGGCTGTCGGCACCTGGACAGTCCTCTTGTACCCGCCCTCCGAGGATGGGGCAGGGGCAGGCGCCAGGCACGCCGGGTAGGGCGGTGCTCCCCCCACACGCCGCGGGATGGGAAGCCCACAGGGCCTGGTGCTTCCTGTGGCTCACCGGGCACAAATGGGGGGTAGTTCAGACTATTTTCCTCACACCCCGGCTCCTGGCCTGCTCGGAAGTTGGACGGTTCGTTCATGTCCTGGGCGGAAGCAGAGCTGGGTGAGGCCGGGAGGGGTGGCGGGGCTCTGCGGGCATGGGCGGGCGCCGAGGCAGGGGTGCCGAGGCAGAGGCGCCAAGGCAGAGGCGCCCGACAGCCGGGATGCGGCCTGAAGGGCCTCCCCCTGCCGGGAGAAGCGGGGGGCGCCCCTCTGCCCAGCCCCGCCAGCGCCGCCTCCGCCTCCGGCACACGCAGCCTCCGTGTCGGCCTGTCCGGGCGACTCAGGACACCAGCGTCCGGCTCAGAGACGCGGCGAGAAGCCCTGGCTCAAGCACAGTCGCGTCTCTCGCGTCAGTGACTCCCGGCCCCAGTCCTCACCTGACTGACCAGCCTGGGAGTCAGCCGGACGGCCTCGCCCACATGCAACAGGCTCACAGGCGCCTGCCCCGTGTGGACAAGGCCCCGGCCGGCCTGTCCCGCAAGCTCCCCCACCCGCAGCCGCTCTGCCCGGCCAGCGTGGGGTGTCCTGGGGCCCTCTGCTCGCAGCCACTTGTACTCTCCCTGAAGCTCTGCCGGTGACACCCCAGGCACTGCCGAGTCGAGCGTCTGGGTCGCCCAATGGCCACCCCCTAAATCCTGCTCAACACCACAGGCTGTGGTCACACCCACCCAGCGTCTCCTCCTGGCCTGACCTCTCCTCCTGCAAGTCCTGCCCCACCCCCCACGCTGGCCCCTGCTGCCTGGGTGCCCAGCCTGCTGTCCTGCTGGTCTTCCAGGGCCCTGGGCTCGGCCACTCGCCTCTGGCACGCAACTGTGCCCGCCTGCCCTGAACACCCGGTCCCCAGATCTCCTGCCCACTGCTGTGGCCAGTGTCTGTGTCCACATCCCAGCCCCAGAGGGACCGGGCTTGGCGCACAAGCCTGCGGACTCACGATCCAGATGCCGTCATAGTCCAGCACGCTCCGGAACTCCGTGCACATCTGCACCCACCACTCAGCAGCTCTGGGGTTGGTGTAGTCCAGGAACACGCATTCCCCTGGCGGCCAGGCCTGTGGGGGGCAGCGGTCAGCAACCCATGGCCTGGCTTGGCCATGGGGTGCCCAGGTGGTCTCCCCAGACTCTCCACTCTCCCAGGCCACTGCACCCCTTCCCTGCAGGCAAGTCTGTGTCACACAAACAGGCCTCAGGCCACGTGTGTGGCTGACGTGGCTACAGTGACATGGAGGGACATGGGGCCCCATGGGGAGGGGCGGGAGACACAGAGGCTGAGGCTGGGCGGCCAGCTGGGAACAACCCCAAGCTGTGAGGATGGACGGCCATTCCCTCGCAGGCCCAGCGTGACCCCAGGTCACCGAGGCAGGGTGGGGGGAAGGGCGTGGTCGGGGCCAGGGCAGTGGCCGGTCAGGGAACTGGGCACGGAGGAGGGCAGAGCTCGGCCACACCCCTCGCTTGGGAGGCAGAACCTACGGGTGACACGGGAGATCAGGGCAGATGGTCCTGAACACTTTGGGTGGAGAAGGCCGGACAGGAGCCATGAGCAGCCAGGAGAGGGCTCGGCCATCTGGGAAATGCCCAGCTGGCTCGGTCAGAGACAACGGGCAGCCCTGGGATAGCCAGGCACAGCGGGGGACGCTGACAGCGTTTGGGCAAGACGGGCCTGGACCAGTGCCCCACATGGAGACCCGGGATGGCAGCTGACAGGGCCCTGCACACAGCGTGGAGCTAAGAAAACGCCAGCTGGCCCCCGGGCGCTGACCCTGCCAGACACGGGAGCGGCCACGTCTGTGCTGAGATGGTGAAGTGGGCCCTCAGGGCCCCTCCGGCCTCCCCGCTCACAGTCAGCCCGTCCCCAGGAGGGGCCACTAGAAAGGGGCAGTGGGCAACCAGCGGCCCTCATGCATCCCCACTTCCGCAAGCTGACCTTGCCGATGGCTGGGGTGGCCCCGTCGGAGTTATTGACCCAAATTCCCAAGTCCTGCCCGAGGTCAAAGGGCCTGTAAGTCCCTCGCGGCTCATCCTTTGTCAAGAAAGGGTCCTGCAGGTTCCAAGGACAGGGCGCGGGGTGAGAGCCGATCCTGGCCCAAATGCCCATTTCTGAGCAGGGTCTCCAGCGTGTTGCCCCCCATGCAACCCCTGCACCCTGACCCCACATGCGGGTGCTGTGTCAGCAGGGGCCATGCGGACGCAAGCACGGGGAGCCCCTGGCCACCACCGGGGCTTCTGGTTAAAGCCTCGTGTCCTTTAGCTGAACATGTCCACGGGGGCCTGACCTGGGCTGTGCCACTGGCACCTGGCCAGCTACTGGCCGCTCTGGTCAGCCAACGCGGCAGGGAGCCTGCTCCAGGAACTCCCTCCGCCAGACCAGCCGTGGCCCTCCGCTGGCCGCGCTCACCAGGGTGATGGCATAGTGCACACCCTCGTTCTTCAGTTCCTTGATGTACTCGGGCAGGCCGGTGAAGTTGACCCTGTCGTAGGTGAAGTCCATCTGGCGCTCCATGTAGTCGATGTCCCCGTACTGCACGTCCTGTGGGGGACACGGTGGTCAGCCCTGGGAAGCCCAGCCAGACGGCCAAACCTGGGGCCAAGGACAGAGCAGGGGAGCAGAGGAGCAGGGAGACAAGGGCTGTGCACACAGCGGAGCACTACTTGGCCATGAAAAAGGTAAAGTCTTGCCATTTGCGAGAGCATCGAAGGAGGGGGTGAAGCTGCATGAAGCAAGTCAAAAGGAGACAAACACTTTTGGAATTTCACTCCCATGTGGAATGTAAAGCATGAATAGGTGAAGTAATTAAAATAAAAATAAACTTTTGGGCCATAAGACCACCAGGTGGCTCCCAGAAGGGACAGGTGGAGGGAGTAGGTAGGTGGGGGAAGGGGACGGGGCGCGGAGGGTCAGACTGAATCCTGGGGGGACGTAAAGCCGATGCTTGTCTGGCGCGTCCACGGCAAACCCTGCTCCATCTGTCACGGCCACGCATTGCGGTCACGGCGGAGATGACCGTGGCACCTCACCGGGCACACGGCAGCCCCGCCCTGCCGCCCACTCACCTGCGGGATGTCGTACTGCCGGAGCCGGTCCACGGTCTTCTTCAGCTCATCGATGCTGTTGTAGCCCCAGCGGCTCAGCTGGAAGCCCAGAGACCAATACGGCGGGAAGTGGGGGCGTCCGATGGCCTGCGACGGGGAACAGGGGCCCAGCAGTCGGTGAAGGTGAGGCCAGGCCCTGGGCTGCACGGGGGCACCGAGCCAGCAGGCAGCACCAGCCAGGTGGGAGGAGACCGCCGGGGTTCCAGACCCCGCCACTGCCCGGGCTTCTTCCCCGCAGCAACACGCCTGCAGAGGGAACGCTCCCGATCCCGTGCGGGGTCCTTCCCAACCCACACACCCCCGAGATGAGATGGGCAGGCCCGGGGGGCGCTTCAGGGAACAGAAAGAGCAGGAGGGCATGTGCAGGGCACCCCGTCGAGGGACGGCAAGACTCCCGTGACACAGGTGCAGGCGCCGGCCAGGGCTGCTTCTCTGCAGCAAGAGACACAGTGACCAGAAGCAAGGACACGCCCTGCGGAGTGCGCGGAAACATCTGCAGTCCACGCAGCCCATAGGGATGTCAGAGAGCCGCAGAGAGCTCGCACGGCTCCCAGGAGCAAAGAAACAACCCAGACAAAAATGGGCAGAAGAGCTAAAAAGACACTTTTCAAAATACGAAGTACAAACGGCCAACAGGCACATGAGAAAATGCTCCACGTCACTTACGATGAGGGAAATGCAAATCAGAACCTCACTGAGAAACCACCTCACTCCAGGGAGAATGGCTCACGTTAAAAAAACTGGCAACAACAAATGCTGGTGAGGATGTGGAGAAACAGGAGCCTCCTGTGCTGCCGGTGGGAACGCAGACTGGCCCAGCCACTGTGGAAACCCGTGTGGAGGATCCTCAGAACACTGAAAATGGAGCTTCCGTAGGACCCATTGATTCCACTCCTAGGGATCTACCCCAGGACACCAAACATTAATCCAAAAGGAGACGCCTGCCCTGCTGTGTTCACGGCAGCACTGTTTACAGCAGCCGAGATACGGAAACAACCCAAATGCCCAAAACCAGATGACTGGGTCAAGAAGATGTGGTCTGTAGACACAGTGGAATACTCCTCGGCCCTCAAAAAGGATAAACCCAGACCATTCGCAGCAACATGGATGGAGCTAGAAGGGATTTTGCTCAGTGAAATAAGCCAGAAGGAAAAAGAAAAATATGGATGGTTCCCCTTACAGGAGGAACAGAGGGAAACCGGACAAAGGGTCAGGAAAAAGACAAGGCCAGCAGCTGCCCGTGGATCTGAGGCACCCAGCGTGGCAGGGGATGGAGGGGCCAGAACAGGGGAGGGCCGGGCGCAGGGACAGTGGCGACTCCTCGGGGCTGTGCTGATGGAGAACCGCGGGGCCCACCCTGAGGAAGCAAACACTGTCCAAACAAAACACCCCAGAGCACCAGCCGGGCCGCAGCAGAGGCCACTCCCGGGGCAGCCCCGCCCGCTCACCTCGGTGTACTGCTGCACCACGTTCTCGGGGCTGGGGCCCAGGAACATGTAGAAGTCCAGGATGCCACCGATGGTGCGGAAGGTCAGGGAGGGGTAGGGGCTCAGGATGACCTCTGCGGGGGCGAGGAGACCCCGTGAGTGCAGCCAGGGTGGCGGCCATGCCACAGCCACCCCGACCCCCTCCCCAGGGCCCACGTCCTGGACGCTGCCAACGCTCAGCTGCCAGCTGCCAGCGCACGGAGCTCCGCTCTGCAGACACCCCAGCCTGGGACAAGGTGAGGTGCTGCATGTGGACCACACTGAGGGGAGGGAGGGATGCGACCCAGGCCCCGCCTGTGACCACGGGCAGCTCAGCGGGTGTAGGCGCCTTCACCCCCTGCCCCTGGGGAGGGGCGCGGCCTGCGAGGCAGGAGGGCTGGGGCGCCTGTCCTCTGTGTCCATGGTGGCCAGGCACAGTGGGCAGCGCCTCCCGCTTTGAAACAGCCGTCCAAGCAGACCCAGCCCTGGTCTGGTCAGCACGTGGGCTCGCGGCCGGGCAGCCGCCCCCGCACGCACCCTGGGCGTTGGCGTTCAGCAGCAGGACGCCGTGGGCGTTGAAGTCGTCCTCCACGCACATGTAGAAGGGGTGCACGCCGTAGAGGTTGCTGTAGGCCTGCGGGCGGGAGGGAGCCTGTCTGGTGCCTGCGGCTGCCCGTGGACCGGGCACGGTGATGTGGAGGCGCCGGGCGGGGCGGGCCGTCCTGGGGGTCGGGAGCCATTACCACAGGTGACTGGTCCCTGGAGAACATCCCGTATTTGACGAAGTTCATGTCGTGCTTGAAGGACGCGTGCTCGTGCTCCCCGAACCCATAGACGGCGGTTGACGGCACGGAGGTGGTCACCTGCAGGAACTGGTTGGAGAAGATCAGGCCCCCGAAGCTGGTCTCCCACCTGCGGGACAGACGCGGACGGTCAGCACGGCCCCCGGCGAGCGGGCAAACAGCAGCCGAGGGGCCGCCCAGCCCCCCGCGCCAGGACGGCCCGGCGCTCACAGCACGGTCCTGCTCTTCCTCCTGATGATGCGGAGCTGCAGCCCCGTGCTGTTGACAAACTCCAAGTCGTAGCTGGGGCTGACGGCCGAGCTGGAGGGAGAGTCGATGTCCAGGGGGACCTCGAAGCGCTTGTTGTTGGGGTCGTAGATCTACAGCAGACGGGGGGGGGGTGTCACCGCTGGGACGGGGTCGCGGCGCCGAGAGCCCGCCCGGACGGCCGCGCCCACCTTGAAGCGCAGCCGCTCGCTGGTGTGCAGGTCCACCTCCAGGACCAGCGGGGAGATGTCGTTCCCGAACAGGGAGATGGTGTCGCGCTTCCGCAGAATCAACCTGCAGGGCCAGCAGCGGGTCAGCGCAGCCGCTCGCGCCGTGCCTGGGGGGTGGGGGGCGGCACTGGGGCCCAGGCCCTCACGGAGGAGAGGAGAGCGGGGTGAGCGCCAGAGCGGAGCCGGACGCTGCGCATCCGCGTGGCAATAAGGACAAGGAGGGGCTTGCTCCCCCGCGCGTCTCCACGCACAGGAAACCGAAGACGGAGCGAGGGCTGCTTGCTGGTTACACTGACCCACGCAACCGCCTGGCAAGGGGTGGTCACTCCAGGGCGGGGCGGGGCCCCCAGTCCTGTTCGGTGGGGTGGGCCGCCAGGGACTCTAAGCCGGACTCGACGGTGACTGGTGGGGTCACGGCCCCGAAGCTCTGGGTGCAGCCCGACCCCAGCGCTGCCCCTGTCCTTGCCCCGCGTGTGCGCCCACGCCCGGCAGCTGACTCGCCTCCCACCCCACCACCACCACCCTGCCAGCTCCTTCACTGGCATCACCAGCCCCACCCCACCATCACCATCACCACCATCACCTCCGCCGCGGTCACTGCCGCCACCACCACCACCCCGCGGCTGACGGCGCCAGCGTCTGCCGGTGCCACCACCACATGCCATCACCGCCCCCAGGGAGGCCTTCAGGTTGGGGGAGGCTCGGCTGCGGGCCAGGCCCTCCGCCAGCGGCACTCACTGAGTGCTTCTGCCAAGGCAGGGCCTCCCCGAGGCACAGAGCCCCGACGTGGGTGCCGAGCCCCACCTGGTGCGTCTGGGCCCCCGAGACCTGCCAAGCGCCGGCAGCCCCCCCGCACCCGGCGTGGCTCCCAGCCAGCGCCCCCCGTGGCCCTGATTTAACTGACGGCTTTCGTTGGTCCTGCTCAGGGCTCTCGTGCACCCGAGCTCCCCGCCATCGAACGTCACATTTTAGCCTGTGTTCCGCGCATCCTGACAGCCTCTGCTCAAATCTGTAAACTCAACCCACGGGCAAAGCCAGGAAGACAGAAGTGGCCTTGGGCGCCCGTGGCTCCTGTTTGAGCCACGGTCCCGCGTCCCCTGGCGCCCTGAGCCCAGCCGGCGCGGGGCGTTGTCCTCCTCGAGGGCGTGCGCTCCCCCGGCCGCACACCCCCACCAGCCCGCGTCCGGACGCCCCCTCCCGGCCCCCGCGGCTGCACAGGAGCAGCTCTCCAGGCCCAATGGAAACTGAGGGGCTCGCTGCACGGCACCTGCGGCCCCCAGCAGGCAGGGAGGCGAGATGGCCCCTGGGAAGCAGACACGAGACCCCACGGGAGGGGGACAGGCCACGAGGCCTCGCCGCTCCAGAACCCTGGCCAGGGAGCGTGACTTCGTCCAAAGTCAGGGTGTCACTCGTGACGGAGCCGTCGCCTGTGAACTGGGGTGCCCGGGACACGCACGCTGGCCTTCGTACAGGATGGAGCAGCGGCAAGAAATTCCCTAGAGCCCCTCCTGCCCCGTCATCTGCTGAGAGCCCAGCACACGCAGCGGCCCAGGGCCAGAGGGGGCGGCAGACCCGCACTGGGGGACACTCAGGCTGAGGACCCCAGGAGCCTGCGCCAGGCTCCAGACACCTGGAGTCACGTGGTTCTCAGGTCCCGGCCAACGGACACAGAACTTGCGCCCAGGGGCAGCGCACACCACAGGCCTGAGGGGCAGCGGAAGCTTGAGGAGGACCAGGGACAGCGGAGAGGTCAAGACGGTGGTCAAGGGCCTCCCTGAGGCACAGGGGCGAAGTCTCAGCACCATGAAGCTGTCCGCAGCCACCGCAGCACGAGTTCCCTCCCCGGCCAGGGAGCTGCCCACAGGGCACAGCAGACCCCTCCTGTCTCCCCTGCTCCCCCCAGCAGTGGATTTCAGTGGTTCCACCTGATCTGCTCCCCACTCTGTCCCTGGGGAATCCTCTCACCCCCCGGCCTCTGGCCTGCACCCCAGCCCTTGTAGCATAAATAAATAAATCTTTAAAAAAAGACGACGACGACGACGACGGTCAGGGGGCCGCTGCGCAGCTGTGACAACGCTGCTGCCGTTGGCTGCGGAAAACGGACGTGGAGGGAACGCTGCTGCGAGAAAGGGGAACATCCACTGACTTCGCCCCGGCGGGGGGCGCGGAAAGGAAGCAAGGAGGCAGACGACAGACCCCGGACCTGCGGCTGCAGAACCAGGCTGGGGGTGGCAGGGGAGCACGGGGCTCCCGGGGAGGGGGTGGGGCGGGAACACACATCTGAAGGGGGTGACCCTGGAGCCCCGAGTCACCTGCGGTGTCACAGGCCCTGTGATCTCCACACACGGGACTCCAGGGAAACAGAAAGGAAGGCGGAGAGGGGGGAGCAGGGGTGGGGGAGGCGGGCGCCCGCCCCGCCTGCCCCCCGCACCTCCAGCCGGTGGCCGTCCTCTGGGGCTGGTCCTCCAGAGCGTAGCCGTAGGGGCCGTCCGAGGGGTAGAAGCACCAGGGCACGTGCAGGACGCCGGAGGCGCACCAGAAGCAGCCGCGGGCCTCGCAGCTCTCCTGGGACGCGCCCTGGTGCGGGTGGCAGTCCACGCGCCGCTGCAGCGGGAACTTGGTGGCGCAGGAGGCCTCCTGCTTGGAGCTGTAGAAGCAGAAGGGCGCGGGGCTGCTGCCCGCGGCGCACCAGTGGCAGCCGCGCCTCAGGCAGGCGGCCTCGTTGGCCCCGCGCTCGGGGTGGCAGTCCACGCGCTCGGAGGGCGCCACCAGCGCGCAGGAGTCCAGCTTCTCGAAGCACCAGGGCGCGCCCGGCGTCTTAGACGGGGCCCAGCAGCAGCTCCGGGCGCGGCAGCTGGCCTCCGAGGCCCCGGGGTCGGGGTGGCAGTCCTTCCGCAGGTGCACGGCCAGGGACGCGGAGCAGGACGTGCCGGCAGCCGGCAGGGCCAGCGCTGCGGGGAGAGGGCGGGTCAGGGGGCGCCCGGGAGGCGGCGGGACCATGGCGAGACCTCGGGGAGCGGCCCCCCGCGGGGGCCCGGGGCCAGCCTGCCCAACGCGCAGCAGGTCCTCCCACCCCCGGCCCCCCACGCCTGTCCACTCCTGTCCCCACCACTGGCTAATGCTCGCTGTCCTCGTCGGCCCGAGAGACCCCCTCCCCGGGGCTGGACACTCTGTCGGACCCCAAGGAGAACCGTGTGGAAAGCCCCAAGCAGCACAAACCACCACCGCCGGCCGGGCACGGCCCCTGCCCCTCCGCCCTGTCCTCCCCGCACCCAACTTTCCCACCTTGGAACTTGGGGCCACACCACCAGTTGCATGGGCTGCGCCTGTCTCTGAGACTGGGGAGGCAGCTGCCTCTCACCTCCTCGGACCCACCCTGCGCTCACGGTCCCCCACTGGTTCCCCCCTCTCCTCCCGCGCCCACAGCCCTGTCTGAGAGCCAGCAGGTGCGCGCAGGCCTGGCCCAGAGCTGCCCGAGCCACCGCTCGGCTGGTTTTGGGGAGCGAGGCTCATCCCACCCTCCAGGAGGGCCGGAGCCGCCCCAGTGGCAGGCGCAGGCTCGTGTGAGGGGGGACGTGAGCACCCCAGGACGCACCCGCATGGCCTGAGCAGCCACCAGGCCCGGCAGGACCCGCAAGAGGAGCCGGGCAGCGGCTCTACGGGGCTCAGGCCAGCCCTGCCCTCCCCCATGGGGAGCCCCAGTGGAGCCCAGCGTGGGCGCGTGGCTGGCAGCCAGGCCCTGACAGTCAGGCCCCCGCGGTGGGGGGTGGGGGACCCCAGCCACGAAGGAGAGCCGGCCCAGCCCAAGGTGGCTGCAGCTGTGCCTCTTCCGCGCTGCGTTTGGATGAAAACCAGTCCCAGGAAACTCGGCCACGGCTCAGGCGCTCACCTGCCAGCACCACGGAGCAGACGCGGAGAAGGCCCTCGGGCTGCATGGGCCCCCCGGAGCCCCGCCTCACGGCCAGGGCGGTGCTTACAGCGGGAGCACCTGGGCCAAGAACACCTCCTGGAAGCCTTCCTGGGGGCAGCAGCAGCAGCCGGGCCCTGTGGGAGATTGGGGTGAGCAGGTGGGGGTGAGCAGGTGGGGGCGGCAGGTGGGGGTGATCAGGTGGGGGTGAGCAGGTGGGGTGAGCAGGTGGGGGCAGCAGGTGGGGGCGGCAGGTGGGCTAAGCTGGGTGGCAGGTGGCGGTCCCTCTGTTGGCCATGGGCTGGAGCAAAGGTGGTGCCAGACAGGAGAGGAGATGGCAGGGACGTCGGGTCCCCCGTCCGCCTGGGGGGCTGTGGGCCAGGCGGGGGGAGGCCAGGGGGCTGCCTGTCTCCCTTCGGAGCAGACTGTCCCCTCTTGGCCCTTGTCCTGCCCTGCTTGATCCACAGGTCCGACCCCACCCGGGGGCCAGTGGAGGGAGGCGGGAGGGCCGCGGGCCGGGCCGCAAGGATGGGCAGGGCTGCAGGGTGGCCGGGGCGGCCTGGGGTCTCCGAGGCGCGTCCCACCACACACCCCGGGGGGGCCGCCCGGTCACTCCCAGGTGGGCAGCAGGGCCCCCAGGGCAGTTCACGTGAAGGGCGAGGAGGGAAACTGCGCCTGCAAGTGGGCAGGAGGGCAGTGGGAGGAGCTGGCTGGACGGCCGGGCCAGCAGGGCGGGCGCCACGGGGGAGGGGCCGCGGCCCCCCGGGCGCGGGCAGAGGGGTTGACTCTCACGGCCATACAGACCCTGGACACCTGAGCAGGAGAGCAGGCCGCAAAGACAGAGACCCCGCAGCTCCCGGAGCTCCCGTCCCTGGGACAAACCTGCCTGGACACAGCGGAATTCAGAATGGCCGGGAGCCCTTAGAATGCTGGGGGGCGGGGGGGGCGCAGGTCCCCTGGACAGGGGTGGGGCGGCTCCCTCCCCTGCTCCCCGCCTCCCCCTCCTCTTGTTCCTCCCCCTACAGACCCTCCTCCCCCCACCGTCCCGCTCCCAGAAGGGGCCTGAGACCCCGGCCAGCCTCGCACAGAGAGTGGAAGGCCCAGGTCCGGGGGGAGGGCACCAACGGGGCAGTGAGCGCAGCTGAGGCGTGGAGGCCCCGTGTGTGCGGGAGCCGCCCCGTGTGGTTTCCCAGCCAGCCTGGCGTGCCCGGGGCTGGAGGTCAGAGGTGCCCGGTTGACCAAATCCCTTCGGCTCCACGCGCTGCTTTAGTGGGCAGGGTCGGACGTCCACGCAGGGACACGAGAAGGGGCTGGACCCCAGTGGCCGGAGACCCAGCGCCCGCGAGTGGCACTGGGCATCAGCCTTCAGCCAGGACGGCAGCGAGCCCGGGGCGAGACAGCGCTCGCCTGGCGGCCCCGGGCCTCTGCCCGAGAGTGGCTGCCCCGCGCGGCCCGTCGGCACGTCCATCCACCGGGGCCCCTGGCCGCCCCTCTCAGGACACGGGACGCAGCCCTCCCTCCCACCCCCACGCAGTCGCACTCCCCCCACTGGGTTCGGCGCCCACGCACGCCCCTGGCCCTGCCCGTCACGACTGGGGCTCCCTGGGCTCCCGCGGACATGCCTCCGTCCACCCCAGAGGCCCGGGTGGCAGCCCCCAGGGGCAGCAGGGCCCACCACAAAGGCCGAGCCCCTGCCGGTGCCCTTCGGACAGGAAATCCCCACGGGAGTCCAAGTGCGCGGGACTGAGTCCGCGCCCCACGGCGGAGAAACACACCTCCAGCCGCCAGGCGAGAGCCAGGAGAGAGCCCCGCCTGCCGCTCCCCGCCCAGAGGACACGGCTCCGCTCGGACCCCAGCCTCTCCCGAGCGCACAGCAGACGCCTGAGCCCAGCCAGAGGCTGTGGCGGGAGCCGCCTGTCCCCACGCAGACACGGAGACCCCCTGGCGGAGCCGACAGGACAGTCTGGGAAGGCGGGAGCCAGCGAGGCCGGGGGGCCTGTATCTCGGGCGTCGCGAGGCTCCGCCGGGCTGCTGCTCACGCCTGCCTGCGAGCCGGCAAATCCGTCACCGGCTTCCCCGCGGGAGAAACGCACGTCGGAGACAGCGCCCGAGCCACCTCCTTGGAGAGAGAGCCTGGAGGGGGCTTGCGGGGATACCCGGGCGTTGCCAGGCTCGGCGGCGAGGGCTCGGCTCTGACCAGGGAAGCAGGAGGCACAGGCGCGGGCGGCAGGGAGGGGGCCGGGCAGCACGAACTCGGCTCGCAGCTCAAAGCCAGTTCCATCCTCAAGGCTTCCCCAGAGCAGGAGTCTCCCGGGCTTGCCATTTTCATGTGAGAAGGAACTTTGGGATCAGGAGGCTGCTGGGGGCTGACTCAAGGCCGGAGGAGCAGGGCCTGAGTCTCTGCCCGCGGGAGGCCGCACCCCAGACCTGTCCTGACTCCAGGGGCTGCGGCCAGGGTTCAGGGCAGAGTGGACTCTGCCTGAACCGGGCTCCCCTCAGTCCTGCCCAGGCCAGTCCACCCGGGAGCTGGCGGCGCCGCCCTTACCCTGTGTGGGGCAGGGCCCCTCGGACCCCAGGGCCAGGATGGGCAAGGCCACACCAAGGCCACCCCGAGCTCACCCCGGCCCACGCGGATGGCACAGAGTCGCGGCCACGCCTGCGGCCACGGCCCTCGCTGGCCCACCCTGCAGACGGGCATCGCCTCCAACAGCCTGGGGCCCCGGTGAGCGGCAAGGAGCCGGGTCAGCCGCGCCGCCCACCCTTCCACGCCCACTGCAGCCTCTGCGGGGAGCAGGTTGGCCCCCGAGGGCAGGAGACCCCCGGACCGAGGGTCCTAGGAGTAGCGAGAAGCTCCCGCCCTGTCCCGGGGGAGGACTCCGGGCTCCAGGGAAATGGGTCAGGTGCTTTGGAAGGAAAAGCCGGAGAAGCACCTTCCAGGTAACGGCTGCCCTGCGTAGGCCTCAGCTTGGCGCTGACCCTTGGGCCGCTTGTGAAATTCCTCGTTGGGTGTCATCCCGGGTCAGCCGAGGCCCGGCAGCTCCCGTGACAGTGGACGAGGAAGGGGCTTGGGCAGAGACGTGGCTACGGCCGGTTCTGGCTGGAGAAGCAGCTCCAGATTGGTGGTGGAGATGCTCACCTGGCGCAACGCCCCGCAAGCCCGACCCTCCCCCGCCCGCCTGGGCACCACCCGGACCCCAACACCTGTGCCCGGCGAGCATCTCCAGGTGGCGACACGCACTGTGCAACCCCCCAGCCCCAGCCCAGCCACAGCCCCACCCCACCCACCAGCGCCCCATCCCCCCTCCACCCGCCAAGCAGCCCCTCCAGCCACTCCCTCCGCTGTGCAGACACAGGGTGAGGGGCTGTTTGGGTTCTGGGGTGTGAGTTTGGTGCTTCTGTTCCCTTTACCTGCCGCAGACGCCCAAGCCCCCCGTTGTTTGCCTTCCTCTCTCTGACTCATCTCCCTCCCAGTTCCCACCACGTTGGCGTAAACACAAAGGTTCCTTTTTCACTGCTGCGTAGTATTCCACCATGTGTACAGGCCTCCCCTTTGTCCACCACTCGTCTGCAGGCAGTCTTCTTAACTCACGGTGGTCACGGGGACAAGAGAAGGTTTCCGTGTGACTTGGCCCCCCCTTTGCGTTGAGGTAACTGATGTTCTTCATGGCGCATCAGCCTCGCAGGGTCTCATCACCGGAGACTCGGCGCGTCCGTCTCAGGGTGTGCACTGCAGAGCGCCGGCACAGAGCTCTGTCTATTCTGAGGACCAGACCTTGCAGTGATGGCCGTAGGTGCTCTGAATTGGAAACCACCCCCGGGGGCACAGACAACCACGGGCCTCTGTGAGGCCGCACCAGGCAGACGTCACGGGCTGCGGTTCCCGTGGGCGCTGCAAATAGCGGGGCGCATCCATGCGCCCAGTCCCACCCTGTGGGCAGCGCCAGTCTGCATGGTGAGAAGTGAGCCCCAGGGCCCCCTGCCTCCCACCTCCGTGGAGCCCCACTCATGCAGGCTGCTCCCCGCCGGCCCAGCCCCTGCACTCAGCGGCTTGTGGACACCCGACGTCGGGTCCTGCAGCTGAACCTTTGGTCACTCGGGAACCTGGAGCTGCTCAGAATTGGGGTCTCACTCCGAGAAGTGACCACGAGGGCCTGGTCTTTGCTGCCAACTCTTACTCCTCCCAGCTCGCCTTTGTCCTGTGTCTCTGGCTGGACACAAGGCAACCCAGCGCCCGGTCGGGGAGGGTCCACATCGGGGCGGGAGTCTCTCCCATGCCGCTTGGCCAGGAGACGCCCCGTGAGGGAGGGGTGGCCGCGGGAGGGTGCTGTGGGCAGAGAGCCCCGGTCAGGCCTCAGGCAGGGTCCCCCTCTGGAAGAGCTGCACCTGCTCGAGCGTCAGTGTCAGGTTTGCTGTTCCCCGTGGCCGCCTGCGACGTCGGCGCACAGCGCAGGGGTGCACGGAAACTCCGGGGCCTGAGTCGGGGCCTGAGTCGCAGGAGAGACCCGCACGCCAGCCTCGTGCCCCTGGGGCGGCTGAGCCAGAGGAGCCCGCGGTTGCCCGTCGTCAGGGCAACAGGAGGGCCGTGGGGCGGACGCTGCGGTGACAACTCAGAGATCATTTAGTGACGCTGGCGAGACGCCCGCTGGGAAGCCCGCAGGGCCCGAGGTCGCGCTGACCTTCCAGAGACCGCCCGTGGCGTCTGTCCAGGCGCCCAGGGCTCGTGGTGGACAGCCTGGCGGCCCCTCACGCACCCCCATTGCAGCTTACAGCGCGCCGCTGTGGAAGAGCGATTAGTGCCGCGCTTCAGGCTGAATTACTTTAAAGTTCATCAAGCTGCTCCGCAAAGGGCAAGTCAAGAAATTATTCTTAGAACGTCAACGAGCCGTGAGAAGAATAATTAACATTCAAGGGATCGAAAGCTTAGAAGAGACCTTTCCTTCCTCACTGCTCAGAGACTGTTCTCTCAAAAGGAGCCACGTCCGCTGTGGGGAGGCAGAGGGGCCTCAAAGCGGTAAATACGGATCTGCCCCTGACCCAGCAGTTCCAGAGTCCACCCGGGAAAGCGCCCTGGCTCCTCCGAAGGGCTCCCTGCACCCCCGGCCCCGCCCTCAGCGCAGCTGCAGCTGCAGGGCCGGCCGGGACTGCCTCCCGTCTGCAGCAGACGGAGCTGGGTCTGCAAGGAGGGACCCGCGTCGGGCCTGGCCGGGTCCCGGGGCAGGGCTCGCACGCTGGGGTTACTGGGCGGCCAGCCCCGAGGCAGGCGACAGGAGCAGGCGACTGCGGGAAGGACTAAGGCCTGGGCCTGAGATTCACCTCAGCCGGGACGCTTGGGCGACATGTGGGCTGCGGGGCTGAGTCCCTGGGGGGCGTCCGGGCAGGGGAGCAGTGGGAGGCCCTGGAGACACAGACCTTCCTCCCCTCCCGCAGCTGCCAGGCTGCCATGCAGGCTCAGACCCCGCAGAGGCCGAAAATGCCTTTGCAGCTGGACCTCCCGAGGCGGCCCACGGCGGCCCACGCCCACCAGCAGCTGCTGACGGAGACGAGGGAGATGGTGTCCCCGCGGGGCTGATGGCCCCGGAGCGCTGCCGGCTCAGAGCCGGGGCCGCCCGGGGGTCAGGTCTGTCCCCGGGGTCAGGTCTGTCTGCTAGAAAGACGGGCCTGGTCAGGAGCCCGGGCGCCCTGGCCGCCGGCCCGCGCCCCGCCCCGCCCTGCCCTGCCCTGGCCGCCCCTCCGGGCCGCGGGGGGGGCTCCCCTGTGGGCTCCGCTGGCCAGCAGGGCGCGGCGGGGCCTGGGGGGGGGACACCGCCCTCCGGTGCGTGGACTGTCCGGGGACGCCCGGCCCTGAGGAGGGGCCCATGGGGAGGGGCCGGAGGGCGGAGGGGCCGTGGCGCCCCTTCCTGCGCGCTGCGCCCCGTGTCCACCGGCTCAGAGGCGCGCCGCCCTGGGGGAGCCCCTCAGGCCTGGGGGGCGGGGGAGGGTGCCCGACTCGGGGCTGGTCCTGCAGCCCGAGGGCGGCCCCCCGAGGGGCAGCGGCGCCCGGACGCTGTGGGCGGGCGGGGGGCGCGGCCGGGGCCCCCCTACCTCTGCGTCCGCGCAGCGCGGGCCTGTGCCAGGGCGTCCCCGCGTCCCGTCCCGGGAGGACCAGCCGGCCTGGGCCCGCGGGCGCGGGAACGGCCGTCGCGCGGGCGGGAGGCGTCGGGCCGCGGCGGGCGCAACGGTCACCCCCGCGCGGGCCGGGCTCGGGGCAGCGCTCGGCTGGGCCTGGGGTGCCTCCGCCCGGGGGGCGCCGGCCGGCGTGGGGCCCCCGCCGGCGTGGGGCCCCCCAGCCCAGCCCAGGCGCCCCCCCCCGCCCCCCTCGCCCGCGCCTGCGCAGGCAGCCGGGGCCGCGCGGCTCCCCCGCTCGAGGCGCCGCCGAGGGGTCGCCGCGGGGCGCAGCGGGGCGCGGCCCGGGCGGGCGGGGTCTCCCGGCGGGAGGGAGCCCGTGGCCGGCCCGTTGGGCAGGCGCTGGGGACGCGCCCCTGCCGCTCCACACCCCACGCGGACCGCGCAGGGGGCGGGGCCCGCGCGGCGACACGTGTGGGGGTGCCCAGAGGGGTGCAGGGCCCCCTGCGGGCACAGGTGGTCGCGGCGGGCGTGGCTGCGGGCAGGTGATCTGGGACACTTGGCTCCTCCGTGCCCCCAGCGACCGCCACGTGTGGGGCACGCTGGACCTAAGGGCAGGAAACCCCAAGGCCAGGCACCTGCCCAGGCCGCCCTCCTGTCAGCAACGGAGCCAAGTTCCTGCCTGTGGTCAGGAGCCGGGGACCCCACGGAGGCGCGCAGGCCCCACCGCAGCACAGGCGCACTGAGGGTGTGAGTGTGCACCCCTGTGTACACACCTGAGCACACCTGAGCACACCTGGGCACACACCTGGGCATGCACCTGAGTGCACACGTGTGACTGTGAGTGCCTTGTCTAGAAAACCAAGACGTTTTCCCCAAATAAAGCATCTGTTTTCTCCTCCTGACCCACCGGGCTGCGTCCTGCTGGCAGCATCACCCCCTTCCCGTCTACCCGAGAGCCGGCTCCATTTTGTATCCAGCCTGTGGCTCCGCAGACGCGCTGGCTGTGGGAGGCCCGGGCTGGGGCGGGGCGGAGGGAGCTCCCGCTCAGGGTGTGGGACACAGAGCCCTGTTCCGAGACGGGGGACGCACACACTTGACCTTGAAGGCCCGTCACGCCGCTCCAGGCGGCTTCTCTGACGGGCCGCGGCCGGAGCGGTGACCGGGTGAACCAGCGGCGGGCGCGGCTGTTGCAGCCCCGGCTGCCTGTGGCTGGCCCGGCCCAGCACTCGGAGTGCAGGACGGCACCTCCGTGGGGAGGCCCCGCGCGAGCACCAGGCTCCGCTGTGTCCTGCTGCCCCCCCTTAAGAGCACAGGGCAGACACCCCAAAGAGAGCAAAGGGGGCCGACGTGCACTTGTCTGCCCTTGGCACCTCCCCCCAACGAGTCTCCCACCCCGTGCCGGGCCCCCGGGCCCTGGAATGTCTCTGGTTCTTTGTGGCCACCTGCCCTGGCGCTGACCCAATGCTGCCACCGTCGCGAGCGACCTCCAGTCCTGCACAGGCCAGAAAACTCCCCCTGAAGTGGGCTCCTGGCCTGAGAGCCACGGGGACACTGGCCGGGGAGTCGCCGGCGCCACCACTCTGCCTCCAGAGTCTGTGCAGGGCGGCTGCCTCGCCCCGAGTCGTCCTCCAGGGCCCGGCCAGCTCCTGCGGGCCCAGCACCGGGGCCAGCATTGTCCACCAGAGCCGGCCCGCCGTGGGGCCCGCGATGTCCCACGGGGCATGCCACGGCCGCTCCGCGTGGACCCGGTGTCGTCTCTCGTTTCCACGCCAGCCTGGCCAGAAGCTTGGCTCTGTCCAGGGAGAGGGAACCCCGACGGCCTTAATGCACCGCCCGAAGCCCCCTAACGTGAAATAAGGACGTTCCAATGCTGTCCCGCTCCCGAGTTCTGGGGGAAAAAAACGCCGCGTGGGCTGTGGGGCTGCCGGCAAGCGCGCGGCTTTCACCAGGCGGCGCCGCCCTCGCGGGCTGCCCGGGGGGAGACGGAGCGACACTGTCCCCCGCGGGCCGCCGATGCTGCCCGGGACGCCGGCACCTGCGCAGAGGCGGGGCTGGCCGCCTGCAGAGCCGGGGCCCACCCGGGCGGGACCCCCCCACGCTGGCGCCCCGCCCGTCCGCCCGCCCCTCAGTGCGCCCCCGGGACCCGCCCCCGCCGCAGGCCAGCCGGGGAGGCGGGAGCAGCCCGAGCTCGCGGGGGCGCCGGACGGTTCTGGAAGCCTCGTTCCCAGTGAAACAGTTTCTGTGCCAAAGGGGGGCTTGGGGCCTGGGCCTGCGTCAGAGCCGCTGCCATGGAGACAGGACGCCAGGAGGCGCAGGGGCCGCCCGCGGGGGGAGGGGCTGGGGGAGGCCGGCACGGAGCCGTGCCCGCCCGCAGCAGGGGCGCAGGGGGGGGGGGGGTGCGGCGGGGCGCGGGGGGCAGCCAGGGGCGCTCACTGACTGTGTCGGGTGAGGAATGAAGTTTTTCAAACGAGGCCGGGAGAGGCCGGAGAGAACGTGCAGAAGGTGGAGGAAACAAAGGCGCGCCCCGGAGAGCGCGCCCTGGAGCACGACCCCCGGGCCCCCCGGGCGCCCCCGCCCCCCAGGAACCCCCCCCCCCCGCGACAGTCCTCCGCGGGCACCTGGGGTCACTCGCGGCAGCTCGCCCGGAGCCGGCCCCGCAGAGGACGCGCCGCCCCCCACCCCCGCCGTGGACTCCCCAAGTGGCTGACGGTGGCCGAGCCCCGCCCCCCACGCCTGCTCCCCGGAGGCCTCGCGGGTCACCCAGAGGCGCAGAAGCGCTGCCTGGGAGGGCGCCCCCGCCCCCAGCCCCGTCCACTGGGCCGGACCGCCAGGGCCGGGAGGCGAGGCGGGGAGAGGGGCTGGGGGAGCAGCGGGGCGGGGGGAGCAGCGGGCGGGGGGGGGGGGGGGGGAGCAGCGGGGCAGGGGGAGCAGCGGGCGGGGGGAGCAGCTCCTGGCAGGGCCAGCAGCCTCCGGCAGCGGCACCCAGGGCGGGCCCCGGGGTCTGTGGCCAGGACCAGGGGGCTCGTGAGCGGGGGAGGGGGCACTCACCTCCGAAGAGGCTGGGCTGTGCCCCGAATCAGGCCCGGGTCGAAAGCCGTCGAGACCTCGGGAAAAGAAGGTTCATGAATGAGAGCCACCCCTAAAAATAAGTTTATGGGACTCAGTGCCCGCGGCCCTGCGCTGCGCCCCGCGCTGGCCCCAGCGACCCCACGCTCACCTGCGGCTGCGTCCTCAGCTCACGGCCCCCGCCGGGTCCTCGCTGCAGCCGCGCGGGTGGACAGAGCTCCCTGAGGACAGACAGGCCCCGGGCGCCGGGAAGGAAAGTCCCTCTCACAGCGGGGCGGGGAGGCCCCGGCCGCCTGCAGGGAGCCCCGCCTGGCGCCGGGCAGGGCGCGGGCAGCAGAGGAGGCAGTCCCCTCCCCTCCCCAAGTAACAGGGTGTCGCCGTCCTGAGATTTGGGGTGAGGTGTGTGATTTTCTGCTGTCTCCTGAGCTCTCTAAGCACCGCTCGACTCCCGCCCTCAACGCCCCCGGCCGGTCCCCATCTCTGCCGCGGAGACTGCCCCACGGGGCCGGAGAGCAACGCAGCGTCCCGGGAAGGAAGCTGGGGGGGGGGCTGCGGAGACGCCCCCCTTCCGCGCGAGTGGAGGAAGAACAGGAGCAAAAGCAGGTGGCAGCGGCGTGTTTATTGAGCCCCAGCTAAGCTCGCATCTACGGCAAACGCTTCCAGGGCTGCGGTACCCAAGACAGTATTTTCCAATGTTAAACCATCTACACAAAATTAAATTTGCAGAATTTACAAATTAAAGTTCTCAGCAGACAGATAAATTATACATCCTTTTGTAAAATCCAATCTACAGCGTTTAGAAGTCCACACGGCGAGGAGGCGCCTCTGCCCCGCCCGGGCACCCGGGCACCCGGCGGCCGCTCTGGCCCGGCCGCAGACACGGCGTGTTTGAAACCCGCTCAGCGGCGCAGACAACGTTAGACAAGGGAGGAGACGCGACTGTTAAACAGAAAATGAAATCAAACAGCAATACAGGAGCAACTCCAGGGGAAAACCGATCAAAATAGATTTCCGGAAGGACGTCACGCTGTCGGGGGCCGGTGGACGTGGAGCCTGGAGGGCCGGGGCGGGGGGTGCCCAGCACGCACAAGTGCAGCGACACGTCGTGGGCCCCGGATGCGCGGGGCACAGGCCACCTGTGCCGGCACAGACCGGGGTCCACAGCGCACGGACGGCGTTTCACATCTCCACTTCCTGTGCACCGGGCGGCCCCCGGGGGTGGGGAACCCCCAGACACCGCCCGGTGGGTGTTTCTAGGGCGCCGTGGGACAGCCGTGCGCAGCTGCAGGTCACGGGCCCTGGGCTCATCTGCGGACTGGAGGGCTGTACCTGGAGCTCAGCGGCGCGAGGCGGGGCGGTCAGCACAGATGCACATGCGTGGCGGGACGGCGCCGGCCAGCAGAGCCCTCGGGAGTGGGCTTAGGGGCGCCTGCAGCTGACCTGCCCAGGACCTGACCCGGAGCAGGCACGAGGGCCACACGGCACCGCCGGCTCCCGCTTGCCGCCTCAGACGCTGGCGCCGTCCTCCCCCGGGTCCCCCGCGTCAGGCGCCTGGCCGTCCTGCAGGCTGCGAGCTTTCCAGATCCTCACGGTTCGGTCGCTACAAACAGGAAGCGCGAGCACATGAGCCTCGGCAGAACGCGGCAGGGGCAGCTGTGGTGCGTCGGGGCCCGCAGAGCCGGCCGTGGGCGCTCGACGGCCACCCCCACGCGGGCCAGGGGGACAGAGCACAGGCTGGACGCAGCCCACTGGCGCAGACGAGGGGCGACCGGGACAGACAGGGAGGCGGCAGCCCCTCCCAGACACCCACGCCGATTCCCGCCGCCTGGCTGCGCCACGGGGAGCTCGGGGGAGCCGCTGGACACTCACTCGGAGGCCGTGAAGACATGGGTGGCGTTGACGGAGATGGCATTGATGGGGCTGTCGTGGCCTCTCATCTCCCCGAGGAGCAGGCATGAGTCCAGGTTCCAGAGCTTGAGGACGCCACCCCTGCAGCCGCTGAGCAGGGCGGGCGGCCCGGGCAGCACGCCCAGGGCGCACACCCAGTCTTTATGTGCGTTGGGCACTTGCTGGGGAGAGACACGGCTCAGGGGCCTCGGACCGCGCCCGGCTCTGGTCCTGAGGCCCCGCCTGAGGCAGCCTTGGCCCGCGAGGCTGTTTCCCCCTCTTCTGGGGGGTCTGGGGGCCCTGAGTGCCGCCCAAGTTTAGCCTCAGTCAGCACGACCTCGACCGAGCAGCACGACCTTGTCAGGCCCCCAAGCCCGAGGCCCCCAGAGACCCCGAAGCCTCCCCAGGTCTCACCGAGGTCCTGCCGAAGTCCCCCCGAGGTCTCCGGAGGGTTGCCTCACCTGCAGAAGGCCCTTCTGCGCCAAGTCCCACTTCTTGATGCCGTTGTCCCTGGAGCCGCTGAACAGGCTGTCCCCGTGCAGGGCCAGCGCCTCGATGCCGTCGTAGTGGGGGGGCTCAAAACTGTGGGAGGGGGCCACGGTGCCCAGGGCCCCTTCCGTCACATCGAACATCTGAAAGGAGGCGGGGAGAGCGTGGGCCAGCCCAGAAGGGCCGAGCCAGCAGCGTGCAGGCCGGGGCGGCCCCTCCTGGCGCGGTTACCAGGTCCCGGTGGGGACGGGGCGGACGGCAGGCGCAGAGGCCACCGTGCTCTCCCGGCGCAGGGGACGCCACGCCCGGGGCAGGGGCCCCGCTCGAGCGCATGGGACGGTCAGCTCGCGGGCCTCGGTCCCGCGAGCTGCGGGGAGCCAGCACCGGAGCCCCCAGCGCCCTCGGCTCCCCCGCCCTTCCGAGACGAAGGCCTCCCCTGCTCCCTGCTGCAGGGCCCGCACCCAAGCCTGAGGGCCCCCCTGGGCGCCCCCAGCACACCCCCGCCCCGGGCTCTCCCTGCTGGCGAGTCCCCAGCGGCCGTTCCTCCGCTCTGGGCCGGGGCTCGCACCCCCTTCTGCCCTGCGCGCTCCCGGGGCCCAGAGCACCGCCCAGCGCCTCGGCCCGCCCGCCGGGTGGGCCCCGCGGCGCCTCAGGCCCGCGCCCTGCCCGGCCTCCCTGCCGGCCCGGAGGCCCCGCGGGCGCCGGCGTCGGGCAAGGGCGGCCGCAGGCCCGGGGGCGGGCGGGGCGGGCGGCCACGCACCTTCACGCAGTGGTCCTTGGAGCCGGTGACCACCAGGTCCTGCCCGCCGGACAGACGCTCCACCGCCAGGCACATCACGGGGCCCAGGTGCCCGGCCAGCCGGGCCGCGGACTGGAACCTGCGGGCGGCGCCGCTCTCCTCGCTCTCCGCCCCGCCCCGCGGCCCCGCCCCGCGGCCCCGCCCCTCCCTGCAGCCCCGCCCCGCGGCCCCGCCCCTCCCTGCAGCCCCGCCCCGCGGCCCCGCCCCTCCCTGCGGCCCCGCCCCGCCGCCCTGCAGCCCCGCCCCGCGGCCCCGCCCCTCCCTGCAGCCCCGCCCCGCGGCCCCGCCCCTCCCCGCGGCCCCGCCCCTCCCTGCAGCCCCGCCCCGCGGCCCCGCCCCTCCCTGCAGCCCCGCCCCTCCCTGCAGCCCCGCCCCTCCCTGCAGCCCCGCCCTTCCCTGCAGCCCCGCCCCGCGGCCCCGCCCCTCCCTGCAGTCCCGCCCCGCGGCCCCGCCCCTCCCCGCAGCCCCGCCCCGCGGCCCCCCCCCCCCCCCCCCCCCCCCCCCCCGCACCTCCGGAGGTCCCACAGGCGCACGGCGGTCCCGGCCGCGGCGTAGAGGGCGGCGCCCGCGGGGCTGAGCGCGATCCGGGCGACGGGGCTCTCCCCCGAGGCGGTGGCCGGCGAGCGGGCGGCGCCGGCCGCGCACGCGTCCCCGGGGCTGGCCTGGCCGGAGGACCTGCGGGGGCGGCGCGGCTGAGGCGGGCCCGCTCCGGGGCGGGGCGCGGGGGGCGCGGGGGGCGCGGGGGGCGCGGGGGCCTCGCCCGCCGGCACAGCCCCGGGCCCGAGGCAGCGGCGGGGGCAGCGGCGGGCGGGGGAGGCCGGCGCCCAGCTCGGGGCGGCCGGGCAGCGCGGCGGAGGGGCCGGGCCCGGGCTCCCGCGGGACTCGGCCAGGCCCCCGCCAGGCCTCGCGCGCCCTGCAGGGGACACAGTGCTGCGCTTCGAGGCGATTTCTCAGTTCCCGTCTGAAACAAAGTCTCTTTTTGGACTGGACCCCCGCGAGCCCACCGGACGGGTGGACGCCCCGAGACCTCGCACTCTGCCGGAACCTGTCCTGTGCTCAGCAGAGAAGCGGTCAGCTCGCCGGTGCCCAGCTGCATCCGAGGCCACAGGCTGCTCTGTGTCTCACAGACAGAGCCCAGGGCACAGGGGCCACCCTCTGGCTGCCCAACGTGGCTGTGCCCACTCGGAGGTGGACAGACCCTCAAAAACGCCTCGTGGCTGCCCGGCCCTGCCCACTGATGGCCCCAGTGCCTGGCTGCCCAGCGGGGGTGGGGCCACTGCCCAGGGAGCCCGGCACTCACGTCAGTGTGCGGACGCACTTGGCCGAGTCCCGGATGTCCCACACCTTGATGTGCGAGGTGGACGCGGTGAAGACCAGGCTCGCGTAGCTGCAGTAGCTGACGGAGGCCACGCTGCTGGGGTGGCCGCCCAGCGACATGATCTCCTGCCCCGTGACCAGGTTCCACACCTTGCACGTCCGATCTGGAACAGACCCGGACGCCTCAGCCAGGCCGCCGCGGAGGAGGCAGGCGGGCCAGGTGGGGCCAGGTAGGGCCTGTGCTGCTTGGGCGTCGGGATGCAAACTGGCCCTGAAACCACAGGGCGCGGAGCCCACCTCCCCAGGCTGAGACCACAGGCCCAACCCGCCCACTCACAGCCCCTGCCCAGCAGGGACCAGATGGCGTCCCTGTAAAACCTCTTTCTGCTCTTCCACACGGAGAACATGGACCTGGGAGGGACCCCCGCATCCGGTGTGCAGCACTGGGGTCCCTGCCACCCCCACAGCTCCCTCACAGCTGCACGCGCTGTCCACGCCTGCTGGCCGATGACGCTGGCCAGGGCGAGCCCCTGAACGTGCCTCTCCCCCACGAGCTCATTTCCACGTCTCCTGCGACAGTCCACTGTCCACGCCGGGACTGACTGCCCACATCGCCGCCTCTAAGTCCACACCCACACACCAGCCTTCCCCTCATATCCACCCACATCCACCCCGCACGCCCCTGGGCACTCGGGGCTGACGGGCTCTCTCCCCTTTGTGAAGCCCGAGCCTGCAGCTCTTCGGAGCAGGGTTGGGTCCGTCCCCGCCCTGGCCAGGGCCACGGGGGCCCAGCAGCTGCGAGAGCTGGACCAGCTCACTCACTGGAGCCTGCCCCGCCCGGAAAGCAGGGCCACGGGGGTGGAGGCGCCGCAGTGGGCAGCTACTGGTGGATGCACTGGCCCCCCACCCCTCCACCTCACCAGACACGGAATGATGGTGTCCACCTCTGTCTCTGGGCTTAGTTCCTGCTCTTGAAACAGCAGGGACGGGTCTGCCCTAGGCCCCCCACCACGGGCTTCCAGTGCGCACCCCCTCCCAGACCCAGGCTGCGGGGTGCAGGCACCTTTGGATCCCGTGAAGAGCAGGTCGTCGGTGCAGTCCACGCACAGCACGGCTTTCGAGTGCCCCTCGGCCACGTGGACGCACTGCAGCGGGGACGTGCGGACGCCCTTGGGGGCCGGGAACGGGTGGATGGTGCCCCTGGGGAGGAAGGCTCATCAGGGAGGCTGCTCGGCTCCCCCGAACACACGGTCAGCAAAGCCCGGCTCCCTCTGGGCAGCCGAGGGCAGGGGCACTGGCCAGGCACTGGGCCATCTCATCTCATCCAGCCCAGCGAATTCATGGGAGGGCTGGGGGCAGCGGACGCCGACGAGGACAAAGGGGCGTGTGGACAGGCCCTTTTGGGCAGAGGGAGGCCCGGACCCAGACGCCCCAGCCAAGACGGGCGTGTGTGGGGACGGGACGGCTTCACGCGAGGACCGCCGGGCGCAGGCCGGTGCGGATGACCAGCACGAGGAACGCGCTCGCGTCTCCTCAAAGGAGACGAATAACGGAGCATTTCGAGGCTTCGCGCTCTGCTGCTGGAATCTGGGGTACTGGGGCCTTCACCCCGGTGCCAGAGCACAGGAGGGGACGGTGCTGCGGGCCGTGGCCAGGCGGGCGCAGGGTGGGCGCTGGTGCACCCTCGCCGGGGCAGAGCTGATGTTCGGACCGCAGGGACCCAGGGCCCGGCGTGGGGTGTGGGGTGCGAAGCGGCGCTGCCCCGGCTCCGCCACGAGGGGGCGCTGTGCTCCGGGGAGGGCGCCCAGGATGGGCCAGACCGCGGGCCCTGAGCTCGAGCTTCGGTCTCCAAGTGCCAGCCGGAAGCGGCCGCCCCAGCACACGCTGAGGTAAGCAGGGCGGCAGCCTCAGGCAGGGCGGGTGGGCGGGGCGGTCGGGGACAAGGTCCGGGAAGCCCTCAGAGCGGAGGGCAGCAGCCCAGGGGGCGTCTCTGCAGGTGGAGGCAGCACAGGGGTGGGTGCTGCTTGCCAGAGCCCCCCTCACTTTGGGCCCCCCCGGTGCTCCACAGGCGGCCAGGACAGCCCAGGGGAGGCCCAGGCGGGACGTGGAAGGTCCAGGGGTCTGTTCAAGGGTGACAGGGTCAGGGTCAACAAGGGACCCTCCCCAGGGCGTGCGGGGAGGCTCAGCTGTCGCGGCTCTCAGAGGGCAAGGTGTGCCGACCCAGGACTTCTGGGGGCACAGCCTCACTCCAGGGCCAAGTGATGGCGCACAAGGTGCGGGACCCCGGGCCGAGCCCGCCAGACACACCACCTCCAGCCCGGGGACCCTGCGGCCACGACGGGACTTGAGGGTCTCGGAAGCCGGAGCCCGCCAGCCCGCTTGCGTTTCCCCGGCTCAAAATGGGAGCAGAACCTCCCGGAAAGCCGGGATCTGGCCTCTCAGCGCCCCCAGCTACGACCCCACCGCCAGGCTCCACTCCTGCAGGGGGCTGGCCCGCAGTGACCGCGCGGTCCAGCAGCCGCACAAGAACAGCCGTGCGACCCACGCCAAGTGGGCCATCCCCAGGCAGACGGGTGCCCCCATGACAGGTCCCCACAGAAGCCCCTCCCGATGGCCAGCGTGCCCCAGGACGCAGCGTGCCCTCTTGTCAGGCCCCGGGGGCCTCTGGGGACCTCGTGCTTACATGTTTCAACGTCACACCTCGGTGGAGACAGGCCCCGCCCTGAGCGCGCGCGGGAGGGTGGGGGGCGGGGGGCGACACAGGCCGCGCGCGCCCCGGCGGTGACAGGGTGACAGGCAGGGGGCACCGGGAGGCCCGCTCGGCATTCCGCCCACTGGGGTTCACACGTCCCCGCTGCGGGGCCCGAACCCCACCTACCTCCTGGGTCGCAGCAGCCGCAGCACGGGGAGGAGCAGAGAGAGAGAAGTGGGTGAGCAGGGGTGGAAGCGGGGCCCCCAAGCCCTCAGCAGACAGAGCGCAGCGGCCACTTCACAGCCCACGTCGCCCCGCACAAAACCCTTCCTACAAGCCCCCTCTCCTGCCTGCTTTGCGCTGCTATCTCGTTTTCTCTAGCGCCATCTTTCCTTCGAGCACAGGCCTGCCAGGCCGTTTCTTTAAAGTTGCTACATCAAGAGGGAAGAGCAGCGTCAACCCCCCGAGGTCGCAGCGGTGGGCGTTTGCTGAGACAAAGCTCGCAGGAGCGTCTCCTCCCGGAGAGACGACTCGGGCTGCACACAGAAGCCAGGCAGCCTTGCAGCGCATGCAGGGGCGCAGCAGGGACGCACAGGGGCGCCTGCAGCCACGGGTGCTGTGGCCCCAGCCATGCTGCGGAGGGCGGGGCGGCCGAGGGGCAGGGCCCGGCAGCAGGGCGGGTACCTGAGGGCCTCGGCCGGAGAGGGGTCACCTTCACCAGACCTACAGTGAGAGAGGCAGAGTCAGCGCGGGCGCAGCGGGCGCGGGGGCGCAGGGTGGGTCCAGCCCCGGCAGGGCTTGGCTGGCCCCCAGGGGCCGCCCCTGGAGCGCAGGCCGGCAGGATGTTGAGGGCGGGAGTGGGCCCTGCCTGAACTCGCGGCGCCCACCAGGCGGCTGCCTGCTGAGGCCCGGGCGCTGCCAGCCATGTGCGTGCAAGGGTGGGGGGGGGGCACGGCGCAATGCCAGCTCGGGCTTGTCTCAAGGGCACAGAGTCCAGATGGGCCGCCAGAGGCAGGGGGCTGTCGGGGTTTCAAGCAGCTCAGCCCCTCCTGTTGCCCTCCCTGGTGGTCGGGGGCATCCTCCTGGGCGGGAGCACGGCCGCGGGGAGGGCACAGCCCTGGTCTCCGAGAGCCAGGAAGGGTTTGGGGGGGCGGTTTCTGAATTGCCGCCCCAGCCTCGGCTTTAGAGAAGACCGCGGAGGCAGCTTTCGGGGGCTCCTGGCACGTGTCAGCTGAACCCAGGGAGCGGACCAGACTCTGGGCGCAGGAGATCGTGACCCACACAAGGCGGACAGACTGCAGGTGCCGGCTCACCCGCAGCCCCACACCCTGGGCCACTGCTGGCTCTTTCCTTAACGAGACACGTGGTGTAACAGCGACAGAGGTCTTTCTCAGTGACACACGTGTCAGCCTGAAGGACACGTCACCCGTGACTCAACTACACACATCGAGTATCAGATGGACACAGTCACACGACGCTGCCCCAGAACCCGGCCCAGGAACGCGGCTGGAGAGCCGGGACTCAGGTGCCCCCACGTGCAGCGGACGCTGAGCCGTGGGTGGGGCGGGGAGCAGCGGAGGACCCACGTCAGGTCTGAGCGAAGCCAGCAGGCTAATCGGCCCCGAGCAGCCGGTCAGGGCAGGATTCTTGCGAGATTCTGGGTCCTCAAGAGGCCTTGCTCACCTCCGGGGGTGAAGACTGCGCCCACACTCCTGCCGCGTGTCCCCACAGGGACCGCTGTCCTGCCTCACCCCGGGGCTCTGATGGCTGGGCGGGGCTCCTCAGCCCACACACAGGCGTCTTGTGGACGCCCCACCCACAGAGCAGCTGTGGCCCTGTGGACCCAGCTCTCGCCAGAGTCCTCTGGGCCTCCCGGTGGCTTGCAGACCCAGGCCTGGCCCCGTGCAGGAGGTCCGCGGCGGGCAGCATGGGCACGTCCACACCTGGGGGCCCCCCGGGGGCTGGGGCCTTGGGCTTCACCCCTGCGGCTCGGACAGCCCTGGGCACCGTCCTGGAAGGGGCAGCAGGGCCCTGCCTGGGGCCTGGACACCAAGACTTACTTATCCTGCGGGGCTGACGGGGCTCCCTGAGAAACAGTAAGTCGATTAAAGACACTCAGCTCGCTACGGGGCCGGCTTGGCGGGGAAGGAGGAGGTGAGAGACTAGCCTCTGAGGTCCCAGAATCTGAGCTACAAGAAAACAGAACAGCAGACGGGGCTTTCAACGCGCTGACCGGGAGTGAGGCCTGGAGCAGGGGCAGGGCTGAGCACCTGCGGCTGGAGCGGGGCCTCCAGGCTGCCACAGGCGCTGCACTTCTCCCGGTGGCCACGAGGTGGCGCTGCCTGGGACCTGCCGCCCCCAGCCAGACTGTAAAGCTGCGGTGTTTGGGCTGCGCCTCCCGCCGCCCTGCAGACCACCCGGCCTCCACGGCAGTCAGCGCGCCCCCCAAAGCCTCCCCCACCCCTCCCACCTCCCCTCATCCCTGAAACGCTCTGGCGGCTTGAAAGGTGGGGCCAGGCGCCCGGAGGGCCAGTCCCCACGCTCCCGGCAGCTGGCGGGGCCAGGGCAGAGCACTCGGGCTGGCCCGGTGGGGATGAGGGCGCAGGGGGCACGTGGAAGCCAGCCTCGGTGTTGGCGTTCTCGGTTAAAGCGCTCACAAACAGGCGTGCGCCCCGCTGAGGGGCTGGGACCCCAGGGGAGCGGAGCCGCCAGCCCCTCCCCCACGGTGCAGGCTCACCCGCAGCAGGACGCGCCCTCCAGCCGGCAGCCCGCGCCAACCCACAAACAGCTTTCCGCAGAGGTCAGCAGGAGGACAGCCAGGGCAGCCAGCAGTTTAAGAGTGAAGGACAGCAAGAAGCGGCCGGCTCCCTCGCCCCGGCCAGCCCACATGTCGTCGGCCCTGACAGAGGCCATCCACGGCCAGCCGGCGGCCAGCTGACTGCGCCTCTCCTGGGTCGGGAGGGGCGGTTACAGAGGGGCGCTGAGGGGCTGAGGGATGCCAGCAGAGTCCTGGGCTGGGCTGGCTGCCGGGGGGACCCTCCGGCACCGCGTCACCAGCACAGGAGCGGCAGCCGAGCCTGGAGGCTGCACTTACAGCTTCTGCTCCTTGGGCGTCGGCTTCTCTTTCTCATAGGTCTTTCGCCGGCTGAGGGGGGAAGGCCCCGGGGCCCTTTTCTCGGACATGGACGGCTGCCGGGAGCTGAAACAGGAGGAGAGTCTGATCACTGCCCTGGAAGGCGCCCGCCCCAGTGGTCGCAGGCCCCAGCGTTGGGAGCGAGCAGAGGGGGTGAGCTGGGCCCAGGGCCAGGCCCGCCCCAGGTGGCTGAGCAGCTGAGACGAAGCTCGCCCGGACACCAGGGTCTGCGAGGCCGGAGCCACCACAGCGGAAACGGCTTTTAAAGTTTGACAAGAAGGAAAACACGAGGAGATGAAAATGTGAGCGAGGAGACTCAGTGGATTCGCATTTCGAGTCACAAAGCTTGGAGGCGGCCGCGGAGACCACCTTGCTGAGCCGGGGGGTCCGGTGCGCTCTGCGGATTCACGATGACAACGAGGCTCTCACAAGACACCCCCTTGCACAGCCAGACCGTGCCCAGCGGGCGTCTGCACCCGAGGCAGCGCGTCGGCGCCCCTGGCAAACCCGGGAGAAGAGCAGCTCGGGGCGTGCGCAGCGGCCCGGGCCCGGCCCCGTTTGAAGTGAGACCTAACTCCACGCGGCCGGGGCCCAGGGGAGGACGGGCCGTCCTCGGACTCAGCCGCGGGCACAGCAGCAGCCCCGGTGGGTGCGGGGAAGGGAGGCCCGCCAGCCGGGGCGTCCTGCGCATGCGGGCAGCTCCAGACGGGCGCAGAGTGTCCAGCAGATGACGGGCCGCCTGACCACGCTGCCCACATGCACGCACAGGTGCACATGCGTGACCACACATGGGTACATGCTGGGCACAAGCTCCGCAGTCACATGCGCTGACCCGCCTGTACACCGCACACACGCAGCACTGCTGGCACACGCAAGGCTGTCGCGGCACACACGCAGGCCCGCGGGTCCCCGCACACGCATGGTCACATGTGCGCAGACGGCTGCCTGGGGACACTGAGCACACGACGTCAGGGCCCGGCTTGTGAGCGCCGCGCCCAGGCGGGCATCTGTCTCCGTCTGCCTGTAGCCACAGGTGCTCCCGGCGCCGCTGCCCTGTGGACACCCCCTACCAGCCTGTGGAACACCCCATGCAGTCTTCCCGCTACTGTGTGACCCCCCATGTGGGCCCCCCTCCCACATGGCCCCCAGCCCCTCCCACGGGCGCCCCCTCCACCCCACTGCGGCCGCGGCTTCTCCCCACAAGCCCCTTCCCGCTGAGACCGACTGGCGGCAGAGGCCAGTTGGGCGCTTCTGGCAGCACCGCCTCGTCCAGGTGACTCCGAGTCCTGACTCAGCCCTCACAGGAACCGCGACCCCAAAGCCTGACCCCAAACCTGACCCTAAAGCCTGCAAGTGAGGCGAGCCAATTCAGCGCTCCGTCTCGCACGGTGGCGGGACCTGAGTCTCCGGGACCCGCGGGGAAGCCCGCCCGCTGCAGACCCGGGGCGGCGCCCACTTACAGGCCTCCTGGCTTGGGGGGCACGGGCTCTCGCTCCCCGGCCACAGGGCCCCCCGTGGGCGCGGGGCTGCCGGCCTCCTCCAGCGGCGCGGGGGCCCGGGCGGGCAGGCGTCCCCCGCGTCCGGGGCGCCCTCGCCGCTCTCCGCATACAGCAGCTCCATCTGCGTGGTCGTCCGCCGCCGCGCCTGGGGACACGCCGGGTCAGGGGCTGCTGGCGGAGAGGGGCTGGGGGGACGCGGCTGGACCCTGGACTGCCCCGCAGGTGGGTCTGGGGGCTGGCGTCAGCAGCGCGTCCTCCCAGAGTGGGGGCGGCTGGGGTCCCGGGCGGGCTCTGCCCCCCGTGCGGGCGCTCACCTTGCTCTTGGGCTTCGCCTCCCCACAGAGCTTCATCAGGTCCGCGGACAGTGAGCTGCGGGCGGGGAAGGGCCCCGGTCAGGCAAGACCTGCAGGCCGGGCCGCGGTGCAGGCCAGTCCTCCGCCGGGGCCGCGCGTCCAAGTCACGACGAGCTGACTGAACAGCACCCTCCTTCCCGCCTGAGCCCCAAGTTCTCGCTGTGACGCGCGTCTCCCCTCACCGCCTGCGCCCCCGACCGCAACCCCAGCGCCTGCCGCAGGGCCTCTTACCTCCCCTCGGACCCCGGGCTGTTTAAAGGGGCATCCTCGTCGCTACTGTCCTCCCCGTTTTCTATAAAAAAGCCCAAAATGTGGGCGTCAGCGGCAGGCCAGGACCCGCAGGAGCAGGCTCTGTGCGGAGACGCAGCTGCGTCCGGGCCCTCGTCGGCACGGCAGACACGCCCAGGGGCCCCGGTCACGGCCCAGGACCCGCACGTCCGCGGGAGAACCATCGCCCAGGACGGAGGTGAGGTGAGGCCGGGTCCACGCGCGGTGAGAGCCCCGGACCCGCTGGCCAGCGAGAGGGGAGGTCGGGCCCTGGGGCGCCCGGAGGGGGAGCCCTGCCTGCCCAGCGTGAGGGGCGGCTCCTTCAACACCCTCTGGGCTTCTGCTTTCGTTTTCAAGTGGAGAAGTGTGTGCCTACAGGCGAGTGCACGCACCCGTGTGCAGGTGTGGTGTGCGTGCACCTGTGCAGGTGCGTGGTGTGTGCACAGGTGTGTGACTGCGCTTGCTCTGGGGCGGAAGGGCTGGTGAGGCCCCACTGCCACCTCAGAGCCCGCGGGGGACACGCCCGGGAGGGGCACAGACAGGAGCCGCGCATCAGTCCTCGGAGCCCAGGCAGGAAAGCGGGGGCCGGCCCGGGGGGCGTCTGCCACAGTCTCCCTGCTGAAGGGCCGCAGGGACAGGAGGGGAGGGGATGGCAGGCGGCCCGCTCCCTGCCGCCCCCCACCACGGCCGCCTCGGAGCCCCAGAGCAGAGCACCAGCCGCCTGTGGGGCTGTGGCGGGGGAGGGCAGGGCCCGGCAGGAGGGTGGGGACCCCTGGCAGGAGGGGCTAGAGTGGACAACCAGAGAGCAGGGTCAGAAGAGCAGCCTCGTCCCGCCCATGTCCACCAGGAAAGGGGGGACGTGCCCCTCTGGGGGGGGTCAGACAGGACGGGATGCCCAGGAAGGGCACACCTGCTCCGCCCCGCCCTTCAGAGACCACCGGCCCAGGCCGCCAGCCCCACAGGTCTCCGCCGCCGCCAGCCAGCCCGAAAACCCGCTGCCTGGACCCCACTTGCGCCCCCTCGCCTGCCCCCGGGGCCCCGGCTTTCTCTCCCTCGCCCGGCTGCTGGGGGGAGGGGGGAAGAGGAGGAGAATGGACGTGGCGGTGGACCCTGCTCCAGGCTACCGGGCAGCTAAGAGGCCCCTTCACAGGACGGACCCCCCTTTCTCCCGTCTGCAAGGGGGACACGCAGGGGCTGAGGCCGGCGGAGGAGCGAGGGCCAGGCCCACACCCCGGCTGGCTGCGGCCACGTCGCCACATTCAGACCCGCAGGCCCTGCTCAGGCCGAAGGGCCGCGTGCTTGTCCCGTGGCTGTCCTCTCCGCGAGCACGTCAGAGAGCTGACCGCGGGCCGCCGGCCGAGAGACGTGAGGTCAGACTTTGAATGTGTTAGTTACAGAAAAACTATCCCCGAGATGGTCCTGCGGGACAGCTGCCGCGGTGAAGCCCACGCGGCACTGAGGGATGTGGCTGGAGCAGGCTTTGGGGCGGGGAGCCCGGGGCGGGGGGACACAGCGTGCCGTGCTGTCCAGAGGCCGTGCGGCAGGCGGCGTGCGGTTAGGGGCATGGCAGAGGCTCATGCAGCTGCGCAGAGCTGGCACTCACCTGGCGGCTGGCCACCCAGACCTGTGACGCGACGAGGGGACAAAAGCAAGATGCCCATCACAACGGGCCACGCCGGGCTCCCCCGCAGAACAGACGGTGCCGGGGCGTGTGGAGACCCCACAGCCGGCACCAACTCGGGCCGATCGTGGGCCGGGGCTCACGCTGGAAATGACCTATGTGACCGCGCCGCAGACGGCCTGAGGCCTGGCCCCGCAACGGCTGGAGGCCCGGGGCCCTCACGCTCCTGCTGGGCAGACCCCGTCCCTGCGCCCTGCTGGGTACCTTGCAGGGCGGGGCCCAGGAAGGCCTCCAGCTCGGGGTTCAGCTCCGCCTTCTCCTTTAGCATGTGGAACAGCAGCTGGTTCTGGGTGGCGCTGGTGATCTCCGTCTGCTTCAGCCGGCCCTCCAGGACCTGGATCTGCGCCTCCTTCTGCGCAGCCTGCAGCCCCTGTGCCGAGGCCCAACGCAGCGTCTCATGTCCCCTGCGGGCGCAGCTAGCACCCGCCCGGGGCCGCCTCCTGCCCAGGCCTCAGCGCGCTGGAGCCGTGGACACGCACTTGAGCTGACCCCGGGCTCGCAGCGGGTCCGGGCTTGCCACACGGTCCCCACGGGGTGTTGGGAGAGGGGGTGCAAACCCGAGGCCGATGCCAGCTGGCCTGAGCCAGGAGTCCTGCTCCGGTCTGTCCTTGCCAGAGCGGCTCTCGGGGCTGCCCAGGGCTCGGGCGGGGACAGCAGGACAGGACAAGCCAGCACGTCCCGGCCCCGGGGGGGAGCACAGAGAACCCGCCCCACGGAACAGGCCGAGGCTCCGGCGGCCAAGACCCACCTTGCTGATGCCCATGGACAGGAAGTGGTTCAGCAGGTACCGGGCCTCCAGGAGCGTGCAGGCGTTGATGACTGCGGCCGCGTCCAGCGTCTCTCCTTCCTCCTGTCAACGCATGGGAGGCCGCGGCCTGAGCTCCTGTGGGAGCAGAGGGCGGGGCCGCCCGGCGCCTGGCGAGCGGCAGCGGGCAGCCCGGCCAGGCGTGGACGTCGGACGCCCAGGGCCCGCACGGGCACAGGCGCGCACTCAAGGCGGGCGCGCCCCGTCTCCCCAGTGACACCACCGCACCACAGGAGCGGCGGACGGCGGACGGCAGCCGGCCAGGGGCCACCACGCACCTTGGCCTCCTCCAGCTGCATGATGCTGGCCTGGCATTCGGAGATGCTATCGTTGATGTAGTCGATGTTGGCGGCCAGCGCCTCCAGCTCCTCCTGCACGCTGGCTGCGCCCCGCTCACCCTCGCCGTCCTCCCGGGCCGTCCTCTCCCTCCTGCGCGACAGCTTCTCCCGCCTCCTGGTGAGCTCCTCCCGTTGCTGTGGGGGACAGGCTGGCCGTGAGGACACTGTGCCTCGGAGGCCCGGGCTGCGCGAGAGCAGCCAGGCCCGGGCTCCTGGGGGCCACGGTCCGCTCTGACTGTCCAGAAGTAACGCTGGCCTGTCCGTGCCTGCTGCCCCCGAAACTGACCCGACTGACCGGAGGGTGCCCCAGGCGCCGCCCGCCCACCCGCCCGACGAGGCACCTTGAGCAGCCGGTTCATGTCGGCCTCCATGTTGGAGACGGTCATCCTCTGCATGATGGCGTCCGTCACCCTGCGCTCCAGCAGCTGCCACTTCATGCGCGCGGTCCTGGAGGTGACCGCGCGGCCGGGCAGGCCTGTCCTCTGGGGCTGCTTCCTGGAACCACAGAGCGAGCTGGTTCATCCCCCGGCGCCCGGCATTGCCGGCCCGCGGAGAGGGACGGGCGCCCACCTGGCTCCGTTGGCGCTGGGCGAGGGCAAGGCCTGCACTCTGGCCACGGGGACCCGGCCCTTCGGTGGGGTCCCCGCCCGGCTGGCCTCCGCGTCTCCGGCTGCCGCGCTGGGCCCTGTGTCCTGGGCGGGGCCCTCGGACGAGCCGGCCTTCCGAGTGACCTTCCCGGCCACTTTATCAGACATGGGTCTCACCTGCCGGCGCAGCGCCGTCACCTGCAATCACAGCCAGGCGGGCGGGCTCAGCCCGCAGCCCTCAGAGCCGCCCGGCTCCCGCCCCACACAGAGCCACTTGCCTCTTCGGTTTTGCGCCGAAGCACCACCTCTTGATTTCTCTTCTGCGCCTCCAGCAGCCGCAGCTGATGCTATGAAGCAAGGCCAAGCCCCTTAAAGCAGCAGAGACGCAAAGCTCCGCCACGCGGACCCCAGGGCCTGGACGGCGGCCCCGCAGGACCCAGCCCCTCGCAGACCCGGGCAGTGAGCACCGGCGCCTGCGCCAGACCAATATAAACATATGTAACATATAAACATTTTTAACACATAAACCACGGGCTGCTCGCTCCTCTGAGACTGCACCGCCTCGTGTCCCTGCCTTAGACGCTCCGTTCTGTGGCCGCGGAGGCACGAGCAGAATGAACAGAACAGGCGTCTCGCGGCAGAGGCCGTGTCAACACAGGGACATGCATTGCTGAGGTGGCCGGCAGCGCCTCGGACGGATGGATGCAGGGGACCCCACCGGGGCTGTGCCCGCGCCCCCACCCCCACGCCACAGGCGCGGACTCACTACCAGACGCTTCCCAGGGATGCGGCTCAAGAAAGAATCTGGGCTGACGAAAAACGGACCTGAGCTCTGGGTCTGTCATTTACTGGACCCATGGCCGTGGGCAAAGCCCAAGTGGGCGTGATCACAAACGTCCTCCGAGGCCTGGAGGCGAACACACGACGCTCGCCTGCTATCTGCTGCCCACACTGCCGCCCCCGCAGAGGGGCGCTCTGAGGAAGGGCCCTGTGTCCAAGGAGCCTTGTCCACTGTGGGCGGGGGGCAGCCGGGCCCCACCCTGCTGCAAACAGTGCGGAGGGTCCTCAAAACACTAAAAATGGGGTCTCCCTGGTGGCACAAGGGGTTGAGCACAGCACTATGAAGCTGTCCACAGCCTCTGCAGCAGGAGTCCGATCCCCGGCCGGGGAGCTACCCACATGGCGCAGAGGTGGTACCCTCTCCTGCAGAGGTGGGTGCCCAAGCCAGGCCGCAGGACGCCCGTCTTCCCGTTCGCCACTAGGGAGAAGCAGGGCAAGTCCCAGGCCCCGGACAGCGGCCTCAGTGCGGCCACTCACGTCTCGTTTCCGCTGATCCTTCTTGAGCTGCGCGATCTCCCTGTTCCTCCTGGACTCGCTCAGCCTGGCCTTTTCCTGTTCTTCTTTCATCTGCCTCATGAGGCGAACCTAAAAACCCAGGAAACCTAAAAACACAGCCCCGATGGGACTGTGCTGCCCGGCCTAGCCTCGCCCTGGGGGCTCCGCGTGCCGGCCGCCCGCATCCTGACGGGCAGTTACCCCGGGCAGGGCCGGCGCGCACCACTCCCCACCGTCCAGCTTGCCCTGTCGAGGGCCCCGCGTATCCGCAGGGCTCTAGGACGCGACCCAGTCACCCCGCTGCCGCCCCCCAGTGCAGGCCGTCTTCTCTGACGCGGGCCATGGCTGGCTGTGGGCGGCACCAAGCCTGGACGTGGGGTGCCCGGCAGCGCGGAGAGCCAGCCGCGGGGCTGAGCTGCAGTCGGCTGCCGCGAGCACAGAGCACCGGCTGCCGGACACACCAAGACACGGCAGCTTGCAAAGCGGAGAACAAAGACCCGTGGCGAGTCGGCAGCCCAGCCACGTCCTACCTGTGTCCTGAGCCCACCCCCGGCCATCCAAGGGAAAACGGTGATTTTTGCGCCAGCAAGAGGCAGCCCATCCCAGCAAGTACCAGGCTGTCCGCCCCCACCGAGACGCGCGGGCTCAGCAGGCTGAAGCAGCCGTGGGGCCGGGGTGGGCGGTCCCGGGAGGCCCTTCAGGGCCGGGGCCACGCGACCCCTGCCCCATGCCAGTCGGCGGTGCCGATACCTTGGTTTTCTTCATCTCTGCCACGTCCTGCTGCAGCTTCTGGAGCTGCTTCTCGTACTGGGACTGGCTGCGCAGCAGCCGCGCATGCTCCTTCTGCGCCGCCTGCAGCCGCTGCAGCTCCTTATGCATGGCCTGCAGCTTCTTCTCGTACTCGGACTTGACCTTCTTGGCCTTCTCTTCCGAGTTGGACTCCACAGAGCCTGGATGCGCGGGTGTTGGTTTGTGAGACACATATTTTACGGAAGAGGGGTTCCCCTCCCCACACACACCCGGGAGGCCGGGGAGTCGCTCAAAACCTGCCCTGCACCTCTCTGACAGCTAAGGGCTTTTACGTTATTTTTAACGTATAAACATGTTCCCAGCACAGGGCCTCCCCGGAGGCCCAGGGGTCAGTCTCAGGGTGTCACTGTCACGGCCTGAGTCTATCCCCGGCCAGGGAGCTACCCACACGATGCGGCAGACCTCTCCGTCTCCCCGCTGCTCCCTCAGCAGTGGGTTTCAGTAGATCCGCCTGTTCTGCTCCCCACTCTGTCTCTGGGGAATCCTCTCACCCCCCACACCTCTGGCCTGCCCCCCAGCTCTTGTACGCAAAAGGCAAATTAAAAAAAGATGTTCCCAGCATAAAGTGAGGCATCAGAACCATCAGCCACAGTTGGGACGAAATCCCGGAGCAGACAGGAGCGGAGAGGGGGCAAGGGAGCACAGGCCGCGGGCCGCGCCTCACCCAGGCTCTGCAGCACCTGGTCCCGCTCCAGCTGGGTGTCGCGGATCTTGTGCTGCAGGGTCACCAGCTTCTCCTCGTACTGCCGCTTGAGCGTCTGCAGCCGCCTCTGGCTATTCTCCAGCTCGTCGATCAGCTTCTGCTTGATGGCGATCTCGCAGGTGATGTTGGCCAGGTCGGCCTGGTAGTTGGCTGTCGGGAGCAGGAGACTGAGGTGTCGTCGCCCGGCCCCCCAGGCACAAGTGGCGTCCCCCACCGAGGCACTGAGCCGGGAACAGGGCAGGGAGCGCAGGGCCCACAGTGGCCAGGGACAGCAGACGCCCCCGGAGCCAAGCGTGGGGCCCGGGGGCCCAAGGACACCACTGGAGCTGCCAACCTGCCCGGTGCATGGAGACTGGGGGCCTCTGTCCGCCCCGAGGCCCAGCCCGGCCCCCATACCCTTCTCGTCGGACTCCGAGTCGGACTCATCAGAGCTCTCAGCCCCGTCCTCCTCATCCTCCTCGTCCTCGTCCTCGTCCTCCTGCTGGCCGGCATCCTGGCTCTCCTCCTGGGTGACAGCGGGCGTGAGCAGAGGTGCCTGTGCAAGCCCAGACGACTGACGAGCCAGGCCGGGGCCAGCGGCACGGAGCCCCCGCCACGGAGCAGGCCGCTGCCCAGGTCACTGCCCCACACTGCAGGGAGCATCCAGCCGCGCAGAGCAGGGCACAGGGCAGGTCCCCCCACCCCTGGAGCCCGGGCCTCACCGCCTCCATCTGGCTGCCCGCGCTCTCGGGAGCGCCCGCCTCCTCGCCCTTCTCTTGGCCAGGGTCTGCGCCGTCCTCCATAGCAGCCACACTGTGAGGAAAAGCAAAGGCGTGAGAGGCAGCACAGAGGAGGCTGCTCGGCCCTGGACAGGTGCAGCCGGCAACCAGCCTGGCAAAGCCACAGTCCGAGGCTTCGGAGGAGACACGCGAGCTCCTCGCCAGCCATGTCTCTGGGGACGGCCCGGACGGCGAAGACGCAGCAGCCTCGTGCCCGCTGGGTGTTGTCGCAGCAGGTGCGAGCATCACAGTTTGTCTGCACTGGCTGCCCATCACGGCCACCATGTTGGCGTCTACGCTGCTGTCCCACCAGGGCTGCCTACACTGGCCGTACCCCCTGGTTCCTCATGACGTCCTCACAGACATGTCTGCACCCAGGCTGACCTTGCTGAGCGAGCGCGGGCCCCAGGGCAGCTGTGAAGCCTGCTTGACCCCTCGGCCCCTCTGCCCCTCGCTCACAGCCAGTGATCTTCACCCTGGACCCCCCAGGGGACCAGGCGGACCCACAGAGGGAGTAGGCGCTAAGTAGCCTACGGTGAAGTCCTGTAGACATCTCAAGGACACCACAGGGTCAAGGGCACCTCAGGATCACAGTTTCCGCGGGGTCGAGGTCACTGCAGGGGCGCTGGAATGTGGCTTGTGGAAAGTCCCCCACGGCGACGGCAGGGAGCCCGGAGGGCGAGGGAGGGCCCAGGGGGCTCGTCCCGGCACAGGGACCCCAACTAGCGGCCAGTGGCCAGCCCCCTCCCCTAGTGCAGGAGCCCAGGCCTGCCCCAGGCCCCTCCTGGCCTACGGCCCCCACCCCAACTCCGAGCAGGGTGCGGATGCTGCTGTTTCCTTCACTGACACGGGCCCCGATGCCCGAGCCAGGCGCACCCCCTCCCCTGTCCCAGCGCCACCCACACCCGTCCTCCTCCTGCCCGCTGGGGTGAGCGCCCGCTGACGTCGTCTCAGGGCCGGGCACCGCAACAGCAGTGCTGTGAGCGCCTCCGTCCACCTGTGTCTTGGAGCTGCACAAGCCTCGAAGCCCGAGTGGACACTTTGTGGCCACTGCCCCTCCATTCTCGCGCGTCGCCGGAAAGCGAGGCTCCGGCGTTGGCAAGAGCCACCCGGGCAGCGGGGATGCCAGGAGGCTGGCACAGGGCTAGATGGATCCTGAGCCGAGGGGTGGGCAGGCCCTCGCCCTGGCGCCACAGCAGTCCTACTGGGGTACCGGGACAGCCGGGGGCAGAAAGCGGCTCCAGGGCCTGTACCCTGCGGCTGCAGTGTGGCCCGAAGGCTGGGTAGGGGCACAAGGCACCCAGCGTTTGCAGGGCTGGGAGGCTTCGGGGGCAGAGCTCCCCCGGGGCCATGGGCCTCTCTTTCTAACCCCTTAACACAAGAGACCGCCTGTCGTCGGGGAGTTGCTCTAATCCCAGCACCAACAGGCCAGCCGGGGCTGCAGCAGCAGCGGGTGACGTCAGCGGGCTCCACGTGGCGGAGTCAGAAATGCACAGGGGTCCTGGGGGCCTCAAATGGCTGAGGTAAAGGAGCATGATTTGCAAACTGCCAGGCATTTAAAGTGACATTTGCCTAATTAACTTCTGCCTCGTAAAAGTCTTCCAAAGGCTTATTCGGAGTGAGAAATGAAGCTCCTTCGTGGGTGCTCCCCAAATATTCACGTGTGATTTTGAAACGCATTTACCTTCCTCCTCATTTTGATCCTATCATCTAGAGGCTTGCTTAGAGAAGTGTGAAATGATGAGAAGTAAAATGTGACTCATCTTTCAAATAACTCTAATTCTAGAGGCATCAAATGCAAATACTTATTCTTGGGGTTCAGAAAAGTGCTTCTGGCGCCTCCCTGGCAGCCTTGGGGTTAGGTGTCAGGCTGTCACCCTGTGGCCTGAGTCCATCCCCGTCCAGGGAGCTGCCCCCAGGGCCCAGCAGACCTCCCCTGTCTCCCCGCTGCTCCCCTCAGCAGTGGGTTTCAGTGGATCCACCTGTCCTGCTCCCCACTCTGTCTCCGGGGAGTCCTCTCACCCCTGCACGTCTGGCCTGCACCCAGCTCTTTTACTAATGAATAAATAAAATCTTTTAAAAAATATGTGTTTCTGAATTTTGCTCACATTTCAAACGTGTGAACAAAAGGGACCCTGCTTCCCGTGCCCGCCTCCCGTGGGCCTGGACTCAAGCCCTGGCTTTCTGACTTAGCCTCACGCTGCCAGGGGCCTGTCAGCTGGGGCCGATTGCCACCTCGGCACAGTTCTGACAAAGATTCAGCAAACAGGGCGAGCAGACGCGCTCCCCCTGGCACAGGGGCCGGCGGCCACGCCACCCAGCCAGTAGCCGGGGCTGCCCCAGATTCTGGGGCCCGCGTGGGGAGCCGAGGGCTGGGGCGCGGGCCACGCTGCGTGCCACGGCCGGCCGCCCGCGCGGGCACAGGGCCTCCTGGAGCCGCCACCGGCCAGAAGCTTCTCAGCCGCTACCGAGGGTGTCTGCTGGGGCATTTCGCGCGTCTGCTCGGAGCTCTGGCCGGTTTCACGGGCCTGGCACGTCCAGGACCGGGGCGGATCAGGCCGAGGCGCGCTGGCCCGGCGCGTGGGGCGTGCAAAGCACACGCGAGTGCAAACCCGGTCCCGACCTGTGGTCCTCGGCACGGTCCTCCTCCAGTCTCTGCAGCCTTGAAGCCCGGCGCAGATTGCGAGGCAAGCCGGGGCCCCCGGCAGAGGGAGCAGCGGGGAGGCAAAAACCACGCGTGAGCCGGGCACCGGCGTCCAGACCCCGCGGGCGCGGCGGCCGCTCGGGGCGGCCGGGCGGGAGGGACAGGCCCGACCAGGCCAGGCCCCGCCCCGCCCGCGAAGCCCGCCCACATCGCCCCGCCCACACAGGCCCCGCCCACCTCGCCGCGCCCCGCCCCCGCCGGTGCAGGCCCCGCCCACCTTGCCTTGCCCCGCCCAGAGGCCCGTCCCTGCCCGCGCCGGCCCCGCCCACCTCGCCCCGCCCCCGCCCCGCCCCGCCGGCGTCATTACTGTCGCTTTTCGTTATCTTTGCCCAAATAACCGCTTTATCTACCCAAACTGCCGAGTGGTCCTAAGTTTTCACTTGCAAATAACTGGATTGTTTTCCGGACCTTAAAGGGGGTCCTCCCCCGCCCCTCCCCCCAGCCCCCCCCCCGCACCCCCCGCCCCCCGCCCCCCCCCCCCGCCCCGCACCGACCTGCGCCTCTTGCGCTGCTCGCGCCGCCGGAGCCGCTGCAGGTCGCGCCGCGCCAGGTCCAGCACCGCCGCCGCCTCCCGGTCCGCCGCGCCGCCCGCGCCGAAGTAGGGGCCCCGCGCGGCCGCCCGGGCCAGGCTCCGCCGCAGGGCCGCGCCCACCGCCTCGCTCTCCAGCAGCCGCGCCCTGGGCCGGGGCACGGGGGCGTCGGCGGAGCCCGCAGGCCCCGCCGCCCGGGGGCCCCCGGGCCCCCCCGCGCCCCGCGGCCCCGCCTCCGGCCCCCCCTCCAGCCCCGCCCGGCAGCCCCACACCTGCCCCGGGGGAGTGAGGCGCGTCCTCGGTATCCAAATTCTGTCAAAAGCTGTTTGCGGGGAGCAGCCTCCCGCACCGCCCGCGACGGGGCGCAGGCTCACCCCGCTTCAGGGGCAGCTGCCCCGCCTGCGCTGGCCGGCCCGCGCCCTCATGGGGTCTGCGCGGCCGGCTCCAGCAGGGCCGGGTCCCAGGGCACGTGCTCCCGAACACCCCCACGAGGCCTCCAACTCCCGCCGAGGGGCTGAGCGTGAGCTCCCCCCGCAGCCCGGCCCCGCAGCCAGGCGCACCCCCCCCAGCCCCCCCAGCCCCGGCTCCCTTTGTGGTCCAGTCCTGACAGCCGCAGGAGGACGATGCACCGGCGGTGGGTGCCGACCCAGGACGCGGCCCCACAGGCCTCGCAGGGCCCGCCCTGGCTCAGGGTGGGGCGGGGCCCCGCGCAAACCTGGCCAGGATGGATGTCTAGGCTGCGGGCACAGGGCGCGCTGGCCGCAGAGAGGACGCAGGCCTCGGCCTCATCCGGAGCCAAGGCTGAGCCGCCCAGGGCCAGGCTGGAGGCTGCTCCGTCCCCTGCAGCGGGGCGGTGGACTGGGAAGCGAGGCGCCCGGGTGGGTGGGGCCCCGGAGCGGGGGACCTGACAGTGACAGACACGAGGGGGAGTGACGCACCCTCCTGGCACCACCCCACAGCAAGACAGTAGCAGCCTCGCCCAGCAGCGGGCCGGGCAAAGGCCACCTGCAAGCCCAGTGCCCGCCCCGCAAGCTCCCAGCCCACACCCGCCGGCTGCACCCAGCCCGCACCTCAGGTCCTCGATCTCCTTGATGTAGCTGTGCACCATGTTGCTGACCTCCTCGTGTCCATCACCTGGGGGCAGCAGGCGCTCAGGAGCCCTTCCCCGAGGGCCCCACGGAGAGGCGGCGAGAAGGGGGCGGAGCGTGACACGATGGCATGCGGCCACCCTGGGTGCGCAGAGCCGGGACAGGCGAGGGCACAGCCGGCCACAGCCACGGTCGCCCCCACCCCCAAGCATCCCGGGAGCCAGCGGGCACGGGGACGCCCGCCCGCCCCCCCTGCCAACCCACCTGCTCTGGCCAGCACCTGGCTGGCCTGCTCGCTGACCAGCTGCGTGACCCTGGCCCTCAGGGCGTCCACGGTCTCCTGCATGGCCTTGATGCGCACGCGCAGGTTGCTGTTCTCCGTCTGCAGCATGGCGTTCTCGTGGAACATGTCGTTGACGCTCTCCATGCCCTCCTCGTCGATGATCCTTTTACCCTGCGCCAGGGACCCAGGCTTGGCCCCGACCTCGAGCAGCCCCAGCCAGAGACCCCGCCTGCTGGCCCCGCCCCCACACCAGCTCTCCTTCCGGTGCCCCCACCCCCAGGCTGGCCACGCCTAGACCCCACGCCCTTGGTGCCCCCCACGCCTGGCTCACGGTCCGGTACTCCATGAGCTCCATCTGCAGCCGTGTGATCTCCCCACGCAACGCGCTGATCTGCTGGCTGGCCCGGTCCTGGTTGGCCATCACCTTGTTCTTGATGTTGCGGGCGCGGTTGGCATATTTCAGGGTGTTCAGGGTCTCCATGAAGTCCCGGTCGGAAGGGCTGACGCAGGCGATCATGACCGTCTGGCTGAAAGGTGGGAAGAGCCATCGGGCCACAGGAAACGGCCACAAACACGCTAGAATCACCATTTAAACTTATATTCCCTAGGGCCTCCCCGGTGGCGCAGCAGTTGAGCGCTGGGTTGCGAAGCTGCCTGCAGCCTCTGCAGCGCCGGTTCGATCCCCGGCTGCTCCCCGGCCACCGGAGGAGGGTCGCCCATGGCGCGCAGACCTCTCCTGCCGCCCGCTGCTCCCCTCAGCAGTGTCCTTCGGTCCTTCTGCCTGCTCTGCTCCCTGCTCTGGCTCTGGTGAATTCTGTCACCCTCCCGCGCTTCTGACTGTACCCAGTGCTTGTATAAATAAATAAAATAAAATAAATCTTTAAAAAAAAAACAATCTTATATTCCCGCCCTTTGAACAGCCTCTTCCTGTCAAGATGCCCCGCGGTGGACACTCGCTTAGAGGAGAAAGCAGAGTCTGGGGCCCCGGGCTACAGCAACGACCAGGCCATCGCAGAGTCGCAGAGCTGTGTCTCGGGAGGCAGACCAGCCCCTGACCGCGAGGCCTCGGGAAGGACCAGCGTCCATTCACCCACTGCTCTCAAGGCGGTGCAAGTGCTGTCCACAGAGTAGCCCTAAACCCTGGTCCACCCACACGACGGACAATTAAAGCTCAAAATTCACTTCTCTCATCATGGAGTTAGCCTTTCAGAATTTTAATCTCCTTTTGCTCGAGTCACATGTGCCCCGACTTTGGTGTCAACAGAGTTTTATGCAATATCCTGAAGCCTGGGGGGAGTGTCTGGCACGTAGACCGGAGTCAGGCCACAAAGCATCTGTCTCCAAACTACCTGGGGAGGCGTGTGAGTCACGATCAGCTGCTCCGCACGGGCTCAGCCAAGGCGTTTACAGTGACCGATACGGACTCGGCTGGGGCTAAGCCGCTGGTCCACCCTCCCTGATGGGAGACTCGGCGCCAGCCACCCTGACTGATGGCCCCCACCCCCTACGCCCCCCTGGCCCCCAACATCTGAGCACAGTGACCCTTCAAAAGTCATCCTGCTCCACCTGTCTCTCGGGTCTCAACTCCTGCCCTGAGTCTCCCTCCCTCTCACTACCGGTCAAGCGTCAACTTGGGCTCTGTCCCCCTGGGAGCCGCCCTCTGCCTCCTCACACACACCCCTATCCAGCCGCAGCTCCTGCTACGTCCACCCGGAATATTACACACCCCTGAACAGCAGCCAAGGACCGTCTTATCCACCACTCTGCGCTCCATGCAACACAACACTTGGGCCACCGTGGTCACTTGTGTGTCATGTGTACGTGACGTTCCTTATGGGGGGGGTCAGGACGCTAAGGTAATTAGTGTGCTTCTGGCTCGCTCCGTGAGGAAGAAGATAAGGGACTGAGTGAGCGAGGCCAGTGGACACAGATCAGGACAGACACCGGGCCCAGGCCAGTCTGCAGGTGACTTGTTCCCCATCACAGCAGGTGCAGGAGTTGAGAGTGTGAGCTTGAAAGGGCTTAGACAGTTGAGGCCACCGTACCGACGGACTCCAGCGGCTCCACACATGTGGGAAGCCACAAAGGGGCGAGCGCGCCAGCCACACAAATGTTAGCCCCACAAACATGGGGCAGGGCCTGCCCTTCACAAGCATTTTGAGATGCACAGAATGAAGAGCTTAAACCACAGAAGGGAAGGACAAGATGAGCTGAGACCTACTACACGGTACACCATGCAGGTGACGCGCAGGTGAGGTTCAGGTGACACAGGTGAGGCACAGGTGACATGCAGGTGCCGTGTCTGCAAAATGCACAGTGAGCTGAAAGCAGTTTCTTTGTAAAAGTACATAACACACCAACTCTGTGCTGAAGGAAACGTGTCGCTCAGCTGTGCGGAGCCGTTACAAGCAAACGCAGCAGCTGTGGCCATGATTATCCAGCACCAGCAAGGTGGCGGCGGCCACGCGGGGGAGGCAGAGATGAATGTGGTTCTGGTCACGCCTTAGGTTTTTCAGTGTATTTCAGAAATCTTATGTAAACTTGCTCTGATGTCCCCTTAGACATTACAAACGTCAGTCAGTCAGCTGGTTTTAAAAAAGCCAAGAAATGACGCACAGATATACATGTAGCTTGTTTCCAAAAATGTCTTGGGTGAAGCCTTTCTTTGAATTTTAATGTTCAGAAAATGAAAGTGCTGCTATTTTGCTCCCGCGCACAATGCTGGGAATCGAGTCTGATCTCAAACTTCTAAGCGGAAACGGAGGCTCGCCAGGATGGGATCAACGGGCCCCTGAGGCGCCCCTACCAAGGAAACTAAGGGGAGGCCATCGGGACATTCCCGTGGCCAGACATGACTGCTGGGGGCCAGCGGCCTCGAGCCCCCACCAGTCACGGTCTCCCATGTGCCCGCTGGAACATGCACAGAGAAGCTTCGACGCGTGACCTGAGAAAGCCTGTGTGTCCGCAGCACCCAGCCGGAGCAAGCTGGCAGCACAGTAACCCCCTCGGTGTAACAAGCCCCAGACTGACACTGATGGTTCTGAGTGAAACTGCAGAAGCGAAGACACAAGAACGAAAGTCGTGCGGGCACAGGGTGGACAGGGCGGAGGCTGAGCCGGGCGCCGGCAGACACTGTCGCTGCAGCCCCCCACGGCGCTCTGCTCCCGGGCCACACCGACGCCAAGCCTGGAGGGCCGACCCCGCCACGGGACTGAGCAGCGGTCTTCAAGACGCAGCTTTGCAAGCTGGGTCAGCTCGCCGCACCGCATGCTCCAGCCAGTGATGACTGCTGGACATGAGGACACCGCGAGGCGGGCCCCTGCGGTGGCCACAGGTGTGGGGCAGCGCTGTGCCCAAGCCTCGCTGGCAGGACATGTCCGTTGTGAAGCCAACGAGTCCTGTTTGTCATGCGAGGCAGACCCAGACTCCACGCGAGCTTCCACGGCCCCACGGAGAAACAAACAGCCAGTCAAGACAGCCCGAGAGCTGACCAGGCCCCTCTCCAGAGGCAACACGTGGGTGCCGGCAGGGCCGTGACAAAGTGCCCCGGCCGCTGACCCTCAGGGACACGCAGACCAGAGCCAGCGGGAGGCCGGCACCAGGGAAGGGCAGGCACCAAGGCCAGGAGCAGCAGGCGCTGGCAGGACGCGGAGAGCAGCCCTGTCCCCTGGGGGGAGGCAGAGGGCCTGGCCGCAGGGACAGCAGTGTGGAGTGGCCTCAGGTTAGATCTGCCTCGTGACCCAGAAATCCCACTCCTGGGTGTCCACCCGAAGGCTCCAAGGCCACTCCTCTGAAGGGCCCCTGCACCCCCCGCTTCCCAGCCCCACTCCCGCCAGCCGGCAGCGGAGCTGGCCCAGGGCCTCGGGGAGACCTGAGCTGCGCACCCATGGAGCACTGCTCAGCCCTGAAAAGGGGGAGCCCTGCCACTCCTGACACGGGCGAGGGAGAGGCGCTGAGTTATGTGAGTCGGGCAGACAAACACGGGGCGATCGCTCCTATCTGGGGCTCCTGGCGCTGCTTGTGCACTTTCTGATGGCAGTGCCCGCGAGCGCCCTTCAACAGCTGGGAAGACCGGTGGGCGGGCAGGGGCCGGGCGTGGGAGCGGGGCGAGGGGGCCGGGCGAGGGGGGGGTTGGGGGGGAAGGGCGCCAGGGCCGGGCCTACCTGTTGCCACCCAGTGAGTCCTGTAGCAGGCGCGTGAGCTTCGAGTCCCGGTAGGGCACGTGCGTGGCCCTCTTGCTCCGGTCCCCCAGCGCGCTGATGACGTTGCCCAGCGCCAGCTGCAGGAGGGGCAGTCAATGGGCGTTCAGCGGCCGGACACTGCCCTCGCCCGCCCCCGTGCACCCCGACTGCTTCCCTGGGGCTCCGGAGATGGGAGCCAGGCCCGGGGCGTTGGCTGCGGGGGTGCCATCAGGCCCAGGGAGACCCGCAGCTGCCAGCTGGGGAGCCGGTGGGTGGGGAGGACCTGCGGGGCAGTGCCCAGGCGGGGGGCAGGGCACAGGCCACAGATCTGTTGCCCCGCTGGGCTCTGCTCTCCGGGGCCCTGCTCCCGCGGGTGCTCCTGGCACCCACCGGCAGCATGGCCAGCAAGGGTCTCCCTGTGCCGCAGCCCCGGGCGTCCAGCCACTGCCCCTGAGGCCAGCCCTCAGGACAGCCCTCTCTCTATGCCCGAAGGAGCCTTTCATCTTTCTCCCCCTGCGCGGGTGAGGGCAGGCCCAGGCCTGGGGGCTGTGGCTGGACAGGTCTGCGGGCGCCTGCGCGGGCAGCGGGCGTGTGGCCTTACCAGCCCACAGTTGATGGAGATGCCCTCCTTGGCCCTCTCGCCCGTGGCCCCCGTGCGCTTCAGCCGCTCGGACCCCGCCAGGTCCACGAAGTGGAACTTGGCCGTGAGGGTCTCGAACTCGTTCATCTGCGGTGACTCCGCCATCTCCTTGCTGTCCGCGGGGACCTCCTGCCCAGGGGAGAGAGAGGGGACCCTGTCCCGCGGCACGAGACCCCGCCCCCGCCTGCGCCCCAGGCCTATGAATGCACATCACACGTGACCTCCCCAGCAGGCCCGGGGCCCGAGGACGTGTGCTCCTGCCAAGCGCCGCAGACGCGGAGAGAAGCCGGCTGGGGCCGCAGGGGCGCTGGGCAGGTGCCGGCCACCAGGCCGCCCTGGCGGCAGCTTCCAGAGGGGCGGCCCCGCAGGAAGGGGATGTGGGCGCTGCACTGCCCTGCCCGGGGTCGCGGACCTGGGGGCGCGGGGCAGGCACTCACGGCGTCGGCGGGCGGACACAGCCGGGTCTGGCACAGGTGGATGGTGAAGATGGCGTGCGAGCGGGAGCTCTGCACGTTCATCTGGGTGCTGGCCGTGGTACGGGACAGGGCGCCCAGCTTCAGGCACTGCATCATCTGCGGGGTGGGGGGGGGTCAGCGGGCCCGTGTGCGCCTGGTGCGCTCCGAGCTGAGGATGGCGCCTCACTTTCTGATGGAGGAGCACTGCCGCTGCGCCCCACCAAGCCCTCAGCAACCCGGGAAGGAGCCGGCAGCAGGACCGCCCGCCCCGCGTCGCGTGGGAGACGGCTGCCGTGAGCTCCTCGAGCCCCTGCACACCTGCCCGCGCGCCCTCTCCGCCCGACTCCCTGAGGGGGAGCGCTGGCCTGAGCACAGCCCCGAAGGGAAGTAAGAAAGCCCTGGGGCCTGCAGGGGGCTGGGGTCAGTCTCAGGCTGTCACCCCGTAGCCTGAGTGTGATCCTGGCCAGGAGCTGCCTACAAGGCGCAGCAGACCTCTCCTGTCTCCCCCTGCTCCCCTCAGCAGTGGATTTCAGTGCATCCGCCTGTTCTGCTCCCCACTCTGTCTCTGGGGAATCCTCTCACCCCCCACCTTTGACCTGCACCCCATCTTTGTTACACATAAATAAATAATAATAGAGGCCTGATGCAGGGCCAGGCACACGACGAGGCCGATGCTGGTCCCCTGGGCGCCTGGCACCGCGCACCCTGCTCTGAGGCAGACCCTGTGGGAGGCCGGCCGCGCGGTGAGCATCACCTCAGACTCCGTGGTCACAGTGCGCGTGGTGACGCCCACGGTGTAGATGCCCCCGGCTGCGTCCTCGTGAATGCGAATGCCAGACTTCTTGTTCTTGGCGTCCATGTCGCGGGTGGTGTCGAACAGGTCGAGGACCTCCTCATTGTACAGCTGCAGGGGCGGTTCCGGCGTGAGCAGCAGGAGCAGCCCACCACACGCCCACCTGCCCTCCCTAGGGCCGTGCGTCTCCTCAAAGTGGCAACGGACGGGGCAGTTATCATACCAGCAGCGTCAGACCCGCGAGAGGAGAGCAGGGCCAGCGGCCACTGCCTGGCCCTCTCCGAGAGCCGAGCAAGCTCTGAGCAAAGCAAGAATGCCTCCAAGAAGCGAGTGTGAGGCGCAGCCGAGCCTGGGCTCAGCAGGGCTGGGTCTCTGTGGGCGCATGGCCCTTGCTGTGGGGTCTGTCTCAGCTGAGGCCCCGAGTTGCCTGCCCGCGGTAGGAGGGCACAGGACGGCGGCGCCCACAAGCCCAAGCTGCGCTCCCAGCTGCGGGGGTGACGGGAAAGGAGGCACCTGCCCTTGTACGGGCGAGCGCGACGGCCTGGAGCACAGTCCCCACCAGCAGGGAGACGCTGGTCGTCTGAGCTGACGTCCACCGAGAGCCCTAAAGTGCTTGTCCGTGATCAGAGGGCAGTTGGTGAGCCCGGCAGAGCTCTCCCTGCCCGGCCCGAACCAGGCAGCAGGCACCTGCTATGCATCCTGACACGACTCAGGTCCACTCTGGCCCGGGCCGTGCGGCCAGCCTCCTGGCAGCCCAGGCCCCCCAGTGTGGGAACCAGACCTGGCGCGTCTGCACCCAGATGCAGCAGTGCGGGCGGCAGCCAGGAGGGGCGTGATGCCAGCTTCTCCTCTCTGTGCCAGCCTAAGGCTCCTGCTGGAGCTCGGCTGTGCAGCCCTGGCGGTGGCCGGCAGAGGGGGCTGGAGGCCGGGGCTGGGCAGGTTGGGGGCCGCAGACCGGGCGGTGTTACCTCCAAGAACTGTGCGTTCACTTTGAAGTCCGGCGAAGGGAGCCCGCTCTCCAGCGCCGCCTGCTTCCTCTCCTCGATGCTCCTGAAGAGGTGCCGCACGGCCCGGGAGATGATGCCCTGTTCCTGCTCCGCCAGGCTGACGTCGAAGCCCGTCCCCATGGTGTAGGTCTTGCCGGCGCCCGTCTGTGGGCAGAGGGCGAGACTGGGTCTGGCCGCGGCCTCGGGTGGCGGGCGCGGGGCGCCAGTGTGGGACTCACCTGCCCGTAGGCAAACACGGTGGCGTTGTAGCCCTCGAAGCAGCCTTCGATGAGCTTCTCCACGCACTGCGCGTAGATCTGCTCCTGCTGGGACGCGATGTCGAACACGTAGTCGAAGGTGAAGGCTTTATCCTTGCCCAGGAAGACCTGGGGCTCCCCCGGCGTGACTGAGGTGCAGACATGACACCCCTCGATCTTCTCTTTGGCAAGCTGGGGTCTGATTCTGTGAGAAACCAGCAGAGGAGGAAATAAATGGAGGAAAACTGAGCAAGCGGAACTTTGAAACTCCCGGCCAGATCTCAGAACCCAAAATAGGTCAGTGTCACGGACGGGTCCTCAGAGATCATGAGCGAGAACAAAACCCATCTTAAAATCAAACCCTTCTGGGGGCCTCCCTGGTGGCGCAAGGGGTTAAGTGTCAGCACTATGAAGCAATCTGCAGCCTCTGCAGCGCGAGTTCGATCCCTGGGCAGGGAGCTACCCACGGGGCGCAGCAGACCCCTCCTGTCTCCCCGCGGCTCCCCTCAGCAGTGGATTTCTCAGTCTGCCTGTTCTGCTCCCCACTCCGTCTCTGATTAATCCTCTTACCCACCCCTCTCACTTCTGGCCTGTGCCCCGGTTCTTGTATGCATAAATAAATAAATCTTAAAAAAAAAAATCAAACGCTTCTGCAGTGGACACTTCTCCACTCTCAGAGGCAAACACTCCGATCAATAAATTCGCTACCAAAATGCTATTTGTGTGCATTTTTGGATTCTTTCTCTTCATCCATGGCGTCACCGGGAAAGAGATGCTGGTGGCCTGTCTCCTGGTGCCCCTAGCTCACCCCACTAGCCCCATGGCCCTGTACCCCCCCCGACGTGTGCCCCTTCCCCCTGCCGCACTCGGGATGCCCCCACACAGACACGTGCCGCCCCGCACTTGGACGCCTGCCAGGCAGCCCTGCGCGGGACAGCAGGTGGGGCTCTGCGTGGGACAGAGGCTCCGCCCAGGGCTCATGGAGAGGGATCAGCCCGCATAGCCTCGGCCCCCGACATAGGCCACGTTCTAGCACCTTCCTGCCCTGCTCCACTTAACTTCAAGGTTGCTTTTCAGAGGAAGAACGTGAACCCGGGGATACCCTGACCACAGCCCCGTCCAGGCGGCTGGTCCCAGGTGGTCCCCTCTCGCTCGCTCAAGCCCTGGGACCGCCCTGACGTACGCCCTGCCCGACGGCAGGACCACGCTGGCGGAAAGTAACAAATCACAGACAGAGCGTGGAGGACGCCTTCAAAGGAATCTGGCTCCACATCTTGGTCTTTGCGATGCCGGAACTGAGGTCAGTGAGAGGAGAAGAGGGCAGCCGTTAACCCACATCGCCTGGGCCCTGACCCCTCTGTCCCCAGGGTGGGGGCCAGGAGCGCAGGAAAGACACCAGAGAGGAACCGCCTGCCCAACACGGCCGCCTAAAATGGACCCCTGGCACCAAATGTGTTAAGAATAGATGCTGGGGGCCTCCCCTGGTGGCGCAGCGGCTGAGCGCTGGGCTGCGAGGCTGCCCGCAGCCTCTGCGGCGACGGTTCACTCCCCGGCCGCTGGCGAGGGTCCCACAAAAAAAAAAAAAAAAAAAAAGAGTAGATGCTGGGCCTCCCCAGCGGCGCGGGGGTTAAGTCTCAGGCTGTCACCACCACAGCCTGAGTGTGACCCCGGCCACGGAGCTACCCACATGGCGCGGCAGAGCTCTCCCGACTTGCTCACTGCTCCCCTCAGCAGTGGATTTCAGTGGATCCGCCTGTTCTGCTCCCCGCTCTGTCTCTGGGGAGTCCTCTCACTCCCATCTCTGGCCTGCGCCCCAGCTCTTGTAGCATAAATACATAAAATAAATCTTAAAAAAGAGAACAGGTTGCTTTAAGCATCTTTTTTCTTCCACTGTGATCAGATGTTTTCCTCTAATAACGAAACCCCCAGCGTGCTTGTTTGCTTGAGGGGTGGGGCGCTGCCAGCCCCCATCCTGCCGGGGACACCCCGCCACTCCCGCGGCCCCGTCTAGACCTGGCAGTGTCTGGCTGCAGGACAGGGAAGGGAGAAAAAGTGACTGTCATGGACACTGCACGGACCGGACACCAGAGCAAATAAGACCAGGGCCCCTCGTGGCACGTCCGGCTCAGGCACCCTCTGGCTGGTGCTCGGAGCTGTGGCGTCTGCTTTCCTCCTGCTCCCTGCATCCAGCCAGGGCGGGCGCCGCCACGGAGCTCGCCATCCATGCCAGAAACACAGTGTCCACTCAGCGTCCCTGGCCAGCTCGTCTCGCAGAGCCACGCCATCTCCCCTGCTGCCACGGCCCATTCTTCCTGCCCATGGCTGCCGCCCACAGCCACCCCCGCCAGCCCTTTCTCTCACTGGACTGTGGCAAAGGTCCTGGGGTCAGCTGGCCTGGGCAGCTCCACCCCACAGCCTGCCCCCCACAGCCCCATCAGCAATGTTTGTGGAACAGGAGGCTTTCGTGGAGGGAAGGGCAGTTTGCACAAGGGAGGCGGAGCCCTGAAATGCTGGTACCGGGGCCAGGCCATGCCCAGACCCTCCAAAGCTGACAGGTGGGAGACTTCCCAATGCCACTGAGGCCCCCCAGGCCCAAGTGTGGCCCAGCTCCCTGCGGAGGGAGGCGGAGGCATCACCCAGTGTGAGCAGCAGCCTGCGGCCCAGCCCTCGGACCCTGGGGACACCCACTGCCCAGCCCTCAGACCCCAGGGACACCGGCTGCCTGGCCCTCAGACCTGGGGGCAGCAGTGGGGGGTTGCAGGGAGGAGGGCGTTTCCCCACGACCTGCTGGGCTGTGTCCTTCTCCAGTCCAGTGGGCTCCGAGTGTAGGGGTCAGGAGCCAAAAGAGGGGAAACTTCTAGAAGCCAAAAAAACCAAGGACAGAGGCCCCCAGAAGACAGCCCTGCAGACCACCAGGACCCGACACATGACCGTGCGGTGCTGTGCTAGGACAGGAACCCCCCCGGCCGGCAGGCCTGCTGCCCCTCGGGGCCCTGCCTTGCTCTGGAGACCTGACCCGCTGGGGACAGAGGCCCCCAGAAGACAGCCCTGCAGACCACCAGGACCCGACACATGACCGTGCAGTGCTGTGTTAGGACAGGACCCCCCCCGGCCGGCAGGCCTGCTGCCCCTCGGGGCCCTGCCTTGCTCTGGAGACCTGACCCGCTGGGGACAGAGCCATGTACCCCATGCTATGCCCTTAGCACCCACCGCACAGCATGGCCCGAGCATCTACCCGCAGGCCCTGGCCCCACGGAGGCTCTGTCGAGCGAGGGCAGGACCCATGGGGCCGTTGCATGGGGTCAGGAGGGAGGAGGGCAGTGAGGGCAGCATGGGCAGAGGCGGTCAGGGTGAAGGGGCACCCGAGCCCCAGGGTGCGGCAGGAACCTGCGTCCAGCTCCGTGGAGCAGCCTGTCCTCGAGCGCATGTCACTGCGGGGGGCAGCAAGGCCCACTGGCCAGGCCAGGGGCTGCTGGAAGCGGCCGTGGCCAGGCCAGGCCCTCGGGCGTCCCAGGAGACCAGGCCTTGAGCAGCCATTGGGGGTGCCACCCAGGAGGGCCGAGTCACAGGAGTCACACCTGCAGGAGGTGCTGCAGGCCAGGGCAGCTGGCCGGGCGGGTGGGCGGCTCCCACCCAGGGCCACACTGTGGCTCCGCCACCCTCGGCTGGGCCTGGAGACGTGGCCTGGGCCGCTGTCACATTCCCAGCCCCGCCCAGGACCAGCCGAGTCAGAGTTTCCAGAGGTGGGGCCGGAGTCCACATCTCTGCAGCTCTCCCGGGGCGTGACTCACGCGGGTTCCCACGGCTGGGCCAGCCCCACGCAGCAGCCGGCCGGGCCCTGGCCGCAGCCCGCAGGCGTGGGCACCTGCACCGAGCCTGGGCCCAGGCTGCTGTGCTCGGTGCCAGGTTGGCAGCCACTCAGTGAGCTGCGTCTGCCCGGCCGCTGTGGGCGTCACCAGCCAGCGCTCGCCCAGGGCACCGCACGGGGGCACAGCCCTCACCCCTGGACGCGCGGCAGACGCAGCAGAGGCCGGTAGTCTCTGCTGAGAACGGGGCGCCCTGGGGCTGCACAGACAAGTGTGGAACACGCTGTAGGGGGACGCCCTGCCTGGACCGAGGTGCCCCACACCCCACCTCAGCGCCCAGCCCTCACGTGTCCGCAGTGACCAGGCTGCAGCAGCTGGGGTCGCCACAGGGCAGGGATGGAAAGTGTGTCAGCCTGAGAGCTGCGTCCTTCCCTCCCGGGCAGCCTCGGGTTAGTGCCCAGATCTCCCCACGACGGCTCCTGCAGACGCGGTCTCTGTTCTCGCTTCATGTGGGACCACGTGTGGCCCACAGGGCCGGGAGGCGGTGGCACTGGAGGGGCTGAAGGCGGAGAGCTGGCCCTGGAGCGTGTCTGCCTGCAAGGACAGCGAGGAGGCGGCCGTGTGCCCCAGAAGCCTGAGACGTGCTGGCCGGCACCCCAGGATGTCCAGCCTCCCCGAGGGGCATGGTGAAGGCCGGGGGGCTGCAGCCACTGCTCTGAGCGGCATCTCCCTGCAGGCGCGCCAGGTCCCGAGCAAAGCCTGGCGGTGGGGCTCGGGAGCTCGACAGGACTCAGGATGCAGCTGCAGCTGTGTGGAGGGTCCTCAAGACTAAAAGTGGATCTGCCATACGACCCAGATTTCCCCTCCTAGAGATCCACCCAACGGACACACAACACTTGTTCAAAAGGAAACCTGCACCCGTGTTCGCGGCAGCACTACTCACAGCAGCCGGGCTGTGGAAACAGCCCAGATGCCCCCAAATAAATGACCGGATCAAGGAGACACAGTGGAACACTCCTCAGCCCTCAGAAGGGATGGGCTCTTGCTATTCGCAGCAAGATGGATGGAGGTGGAAGGGCGATGCTCCGTGAGCTCAGCCGGGAGGAGAAGGTGGGTGCCAGATGGCGTCACATCCAGGTGCAATCTAGAAAGCTGGCCGCTGCTCTGAGGCGCGGGGGCAGGGAGCGGGAGGAGGAGGGCACGAGGGAGAGCGCCCTGGACGGGGGGTGCGCTGGAGGGGGCAGCACCTGAGACCACACCTGGGGGGAGTCCTGCACTGCCACAGAGATTACCCAGGGCGTGAAACGATGTCATTTCATGTAAGGAAGCAAAACCAAAAGGACCCCGTAGATTGTTCAAAGAAAACTAAGTTCCAAAGTAAACAGTTAAGAAGTGACAT